TCACCCTGTAGGTGTTCAAATAAAGCTAGTCATTAAAATATTTGATTTCCACCAAATCAAGTGACAACACCCACCAATGTGTAGAAGAATAAAACAGCTGACAGAGCTCCAAGAAGTTGGATAGCCAGTATGGTCATACTATCTGATACTTGAAATGTTACTGAAAGATTTAACAAACATGGGTTAAAATGTCTGGCTGTCTATTGCCAATTAAATATAAATATATATGTATGTGTGTGAGCGCTCATGTTACTGAAATATCACATGAGTTGTGTCAAAACATACAAGATGCTTTATGTAAGAATTTGATGTATAAATAATAAATATATATTTAAAACTACAATATGGTGTACGTGCTTAAAACTCAAACCAGAATATGAATATAAAAAAGTTCTCTGTAAATCAATGGAATTAAAGGGACACGCCCAATGTTAGCTTAATTTTATGGTTTTGGTGTATAGATCTTGTCCCTGCAGTCTTACAGCTCAATTCTCTGCAATTTAGCAATGAGCATGTTTTGTTTAGGCAGTCCTAGCCATACCTCCCCTGGATAAAAATCACGCCTCCCTAGCACTTCCTTAAAACGATTGCTTCCCTCAGTGCACAGTGTGTTTAATGTAAAAAATCTTATCTCCTGCTCTCTTAATAGCCTGCTAGCGCCTGCAACAGCCTTCTGTGTGTAATTACAGTTCATTTAAAAGACCATTAAAGTCACCCAGACCAATTCATCTCAATGAAGTGGTCAGGGTGTAGTGGGCTTGTCATTTTAACCCTTCAATGTTTTGTAGAAACGGCAATGTTTACATTGCAGGGTTAATACACCTTGTGCTTCTTCCTCCAGAACTAAGGTAAAATCAATGCTGCAAATAAATGCTATTCATAGCAGCATATGTTCGGAGGTGTGCAGTGTTTGGCCACGCATACCCCCCGTCCCCACACTACAGTAAAACTGCACATTTTAGAGTGGCCTTTTATTGTGGCCAGCCTAAGGCACACCTGTGCAATAATCATGCTGTCTAATCAGCATCTTGATATGCCACACCTGTGAGGTGGATGGATTTTCTCAGCAAAGGAGGAGTGCTCACTAACACAGATTTAGACAGATTTGAGAGAATATATATTTGGGGTCAAAACAAACCATTAGCTGCAAATCTGTTAATAAACAGGGCTATACACGCATTTAGACTGGAAGAAAGGAGATTCAGTTTAGGGACAAAGGAAATGTTTTTGTTTTTTTTACAGTAAGAACAATAAGGATGTGGAATTCTGTTTGAAGAAGTGGTTTTATCAAAACATATTGAGAAATCAGAAGCAAATACAACGAACAATTGACCAAGTTTCATTTGTTTCCTGATTCAGAGACATATCCATGGCACCAAAAAAAAATTGTAAAGAAAAAAATTGATGAAACACAATGATTGAATGTGAGTGGCCAAACACTAAATGTTGATTTTATTCACAGATAAAGTGAAAAGTGACCAACAGAGGAAAAGAAAAAGTGAGAGCATTAAAAAATAATCATTATTTATATATTATATATGTAATGCAGAAACAAATAAAGATTTATTTTTACTACTCCTCCACTTTTTCTCTCTCTATCTGCAACTTTTTTTCACTTGGTCTGTTAACCAAATGGCACAAAAAGGCATAAATCAGTGTACTGGGAAATATATACATAATATTTATGTTCTGCAGCACATTGATTGGACAATATTCGCACCATTTTGGTTCTTCCAAATAGTTTTTCCCAAATATCATTAGGACAAAATTTGTCAAAATAAAACACCACATGGACTACTCCCGACTTGCCTGAAACAATTTTTTTTTTTTTGACAAATCGGTTTGACTCCACCAATTATTTTCATTGTGCGCAAGTCTACAGTAAAGTGCTATGGAAAATGTTGGCACAATATGAATGCAGTGACGATTTAATGAAAAGACACTGCAGTGACTTTTTAGTGAATAAACAATGCAGTGGCTGGTTAGTACGTAAAACAATTGCAGGGACAGTTTAGACAATAACGCCTGCAATGATGGTTTAGTAAGGAAATAAAGCCTACAGTGACGGTTTAATAAATAAATGTGGGCTTAATAAAGCCTGCAGTGACGGTTTAATAAATAAATGTGGGCTTAATAAAGCCTGCAGTGACGGTTTAGTAAATAAATAAAACCTGCAGTATTTAGTGAATACAGCCTACAGTGACTGTTTAGTAAATAAACCCTGCAGTCAGTATTTAGAGAATAACCCCTGCAGTGAGGATTTAGTAATACACCCTGCAGTGAGGATTTAGTAATACATCATGCAGTGAGGATTTAGTAATACACCCCGCAGTGAGGATTTAGTAATACACCCTGCAGTGAGGATTCAGTAATACACCATGCAGTGAGGATTTAGTAATATACCATGCAGTGAGGATTTAGTAATACACCATGCAGTGAGGAGTTAGTAATACACAGTAATACACCCTGCAGTGAGGATTTAGTAATACACCCTGCAGTGAGGATTCAGTAATACACCATGCAGTGGGGATTTAGTAATACACCATGCAGTAAGGATTCAGTAATACACCATGCAGAGAGGATTTAGTAATACACCCGGCAGTGAGGATTTAGTAATACACCATGCAGTGAAGATTCAGTAATACACCCTGCAGTGGGGATTTAGTAATACACCATGCAGTGGGGATTTAGTAATACACCCTGCAGTGATGATTCAGTAATACGCCATGCAGTGGGGATTTAGTAATACACCCGGCAGTGAGGATTTAGTAATACACCATGCAGTGAAGATTCAGTAATAAACCCTACAGTGGGATTTAGTAATACACCATGCAGTGGGGATTTAGTAATACACCCTGCAGTGGGATTTAGTAATACACCATGCAGTGGGGATTTAGTAATACACCCTACAGTGGGGATTTAGTAATACACCCTACAGTGAGGATTCAGTAATACACCATGCAGTGAGGATTTAGTAATACACCATGCAGTGAGGAGTTAGTAATACACCGTGCAGTGAGGATTCAGTAATACACCATGCAGTGAGGAGTTAGTAATACACCGTAATACACCCTGCAGTGAGGATTTAGTAATACGCCCTGCAGTGAGGATTCAGTAATACACCGTGCAGTGGGGATTTAGTAATACACCATGCAGTGAGGATTCAGTAATACACCATGCAGTGAGGATTTAGTAATACACCCGGCAGTGATGATTTAGTAATTCACCATGCAGTGAAGATTCAGTAATACACCCTGCAGTGGGGATTTAGTAATACACCATGCAGTGGTGATTTAGTAATACACCCCGCAGTGAGGATTCAGTAATACACCATGCAGTGAGGATTTAGTAATACACCCGGCAGTGAGGATTTAGTAATACACCATGCAGTGGGGATTCAGTAATACACCATGCAGTGGGGATTCAGTAATACACCCTGCAGTGGGATTTAGTAATACACCATGCAGTGGGGATTTAGTAATACACCATGCAGTGTGGATTTAGTAATACACCCTGCAATGAGTATTTAGTAATACACCATGCAGTGAGGATTTAGTAATACACCCTGCAGTGGGGATATAGTAATACACCCGGCAGTGAGGATTTAGTAATACACCATGCAGTGAGGATTTAGTAATACACCCTGCAGTGGGGATATAGTAATACACCCGGCAGTGAGGATTTAGTAATACACCATGCAGTGAAGATTCAGTAATACACCATGCAGTGAGGATTTAGTAATACACACTGCAGTGAGGATTTAGTAATACACCATGCAGTGAAGATTCAGTAATACACCCTGCAGGGAGGATTCAGTAATACATCATGCAGTGAAGATTCAGTAATACGCCATGCAGTGAGGATTCAGTAATACACCATGCAGTTGGATTTAGTAATACACCCTGCAGTGAGGATTTATTAATACACCATGCAGTGAGGATTCAGTAATACACCATGCAGTGAGGATTCAGTAATACACCATGCAGTGAAGATTCAGTAATACACCATGCAGTGAGGATTCCGTAATACACCATGCAGTGGGATTTAGTAATACACCATGCAGTGAGGATTTAGTAATACACCCGGCAGTGAGGATTTAGTAATACACCATGCAGTGAAGATTTAGTAATACACCCTGCAGTGAGGATTCAGTAATACACCATGCAGTGGGGATTTAGTAATACACCATGCAGTAAGGATTCAGTAATACACCATGCAGAGAGGATTTAGTAATACACCCGGCAGTGAGGATTTAGTAATACACCATGCAGTGAAGATTCAGTAATACACCCTGCAGTGAGGATTTAGTAATACACCATGCAGTGGGGATTTAGTAATACACCCTGCAGTGATGATTCAGTAATACGCCATGCAGTGGGGATTTAGTAATACACCCGGCAGTGAGGATTTAGTAATACACCATGCAGTGAAGATTCAGTAATAAACCCTACAGTGGGATTTAGTAATACACCCTGCAGTGAGGATTTAGTAATACACCCTGCAGTGAGGATTTAGTAATACACCATGCAGTGGGATTTAGTAATACACCCTGCAGTGAAGATTTAGTAATACACCCTGCAGTGAGGATTTAGTAATACACCATGCAGTGAGGATTTAGTAATACACCCTGCAGTGAGGATTTAGTAATACACCATGCAGTGAGGATTTAGTAATACACCATGCAGTGAGGGTTTAGTAATACACCATGCAGTGGTACTCAGTAATACACCATGCAGTGAGGGTTTAGTAATACACCATGCAGTGAGGGTTTAGTAATACACCATGCAGTGGTACTCAGTAATACACCCTGCAGTGGGATTTAGTAATACACCCTGCAGTGAGGATTTAGTAATATACCATGCAGTGAGGATTTAGTAATACACCCTGCAGTGAGGATTTAGTAATACACCCTGCATATGAAATCCATTTATAGTTCCAGGAAGCTGTTAGTGAATTTCCTACCAATGTGACAGTGAGGAGATGGGGGCTGGTATAGAGAGAGAGCATTGAGTGGCTGTGGGCCGGAGTCTGGGAATTACACCGGGAAATGTAGTTCATTCGCCTATCTTCACACATTGAGACTCCGCCCTTTTAAACTACGTTTCCCGTGAGCGCACCGCGGCGGGTTGGAAAGCGTGCGGATAGTGTTGCAGATTGTAGTCTCCCAACATGTCGTCTGGCTGTAAAATCGGACCGTCCATCCTGAACAGCGACCTGTCTCGCCTGGCCACAGAATGTGAGCGCATGCTGAGCTCAGGGGCTGACTACCTGCACCTGGATGTGATGGACGGGTGAGAGGGCTGGCTGGGCTCGGGGACCCTGCAAGGGAGGGCTGCATTGGATGTGGGTGCAGAGCAATCAGTGAGCATGGGGGACTACAGTGAGCATGGGGACTCTGGGGGGTTACAGGGAACACAGTGAGCATAGGGGCTGTGGGGGGTTACAGGGCACACAGTGAGCATGGGGACTCTGGGGGGTTACAGTGAACACAGTCAGCATGGGGGCTGTGGGGGGTTACAGGGCACACAGTGAGCATGGGGACTCTGGGGGACTATGGGGCACACAGTGAGCATGGGGGACTACGGGGGCACACACGGTGAGCATGGGGGACTACAGGGCACACAGTGAGGCATGGGGGGGACTACAGGGCACACAGCGGTGAGCATGGGGGACTACGGGGCACTGGGGCATGGGGGACTGGGGGCACACAGTGAGCATGGGGGACTACGGGGCACACACGGTGAGCATGGGGGGGACCTCACAGGGGCACACAGTGAGCATGGGGAACTTCTGGGGCACACAGTGAGCATGGGGGGACTACGGGGCACACAGTGAGCATGGGGGGACTACGGGGCACACAGTGAGCATGGCGGGACTACGGGGCACACAGTGAGCATGGCGGGACTACGGGGCACACAGTGAGCATGGCGGGGACTACGGGGCACACAGTGAGCATGGGGGGACTACGGGGCACACAGTGAGCATGGGGGGACTACGGGGCACACAGTGAGCATGGGGGGACTACGGGGCACACAGTGAGCATGGGGGGGACTACGGGGCACACAGTGAGCATGGGGGGGGATACCGGGCACACAGTGAGCATGGGGCGGGGGGTACGGGGCACACTGTGAGGCTGGGGGGCTATGGGGCACACAGTGAGCAATGTATCTCCTTTCTGCACAAGGATCACGGCCTATATCTACTAATAGAAGGTTTGAGACCGAGTTGCATGGGGAGCATGCATGGCATATGTGGTGGGCACCTATGGTTTCAATAAAGGCTGGAGGAGTGGTGGAGCAGAGTAGCCATTTGTTGTACAATTTAAATATTTGCCAGTCATATTCTATCAGCTTGATTATTAATAACTACAGGTAACTGCAGGTACAATATTACAGTAGTAAACAATAGGAGACATTAAATTTACTTTGGTGCGGTCTGTTTTACCAACGAGTGACTCAGGCACAGTTATTGACTTGTGTATTAGGGAGACTTAAACTGCTTTCAATAGCAAATGTCTGTTAAAGTATAAGCCTCTCTATTCTTTAGTTTTTATTTATAAAAATAAAGTGTTTCCTTTATAATGAGCCCTCTTTTCTATATCTTCCCATATATATTCCTTATAGTTGCAACATCTCTTATCTTGGCTCATGTATCAGTTAAAGTTCCTTCAGAATGTGAGCTATGTATGAATAATACTCTAGTGCTAAGCATGCTCTGTTTGGTCTTGTAATTACCTTTGCACCTCTGTGCCGTGTAAAGATGTCAAACAAATTTTAGTCTCACGTTTGCAGTTTTTCTTCCTGTACACATATGGACATCTACAGGACGGTGAAGGACTGTAGTTTAGCACCCAAATGTGCACTTTTGTGCCTATATTGAAACCTAATTTGTGAGAAAATACATGATAATTAGAATAGAAAAAAAATGTAACATCTAGTGTAACGGATGTATACCGACAATTATAATCATAACTGTATTACTTTAGTCACAGGAACACTTTTAAACATAACCCCCATGAGTCTTTTCCAATGCAGTCCTCACACCCCAAGAACATAGCCCTCTAACTATTGCTACATATACTGTATTACATGCCATGTAAAGTTTACATACCACATTCTTTCTAAATATTTTAATGAAATAATTTGTTTGTACAATTCTGATAAAGGAAGGGCCAAAAATAGTATTAACAGGGGCCAGTGGCGAGTTAAAATTCAGCCCTGGTGAGTAGAAATTCACCCCCATTTAGGCTTGCAGGGGCTAGTAACTTTTAGGCTAGTAGTGTGGAACCTGAAATGTTGAGGCCTCATATTAATAATAAATGATTTACACCACCTTTTAGTGCTGTTCTATAAAGGAGTATATTTCCAATGGAAGTGTTACAGGGCTATGACATGAGGGAGACCTTTACCCTATTAGAAAGCCTCTGACCTAACCAGTTAGACATTCCATTATACTTGTTTGTGAGCCTAACAGTGTAAATCTTTGTAATTGGCCTTTTCAGCTGTTTGGGGGAGTAGTGCAGTATTTGTAATTGGCCAAAGCAGCTGTGTAGGAGCAATAATGCCATACTAGGAGTAGTATTTGCTACACATGCAGGCTTTGAACATGCCAAGCACTCCCTCTAAACTATAGCCTGCTGTAGTGGTTATGATGCCAGGATACCCAAGGTATAAGCCCACTTTAAGTATTCAAACAATCTTCACATAGTTTTACTCTTTTCTAGGTTCGGCTAGGTCACCAAGCTGCTTCCAGTCTGCAAGAGCTGCCTGTAGCGGAATCTGTGCAAGATAGTTTATTAATTGGCTGAAAACCATCAGTTGGCAACTATTTTGCAAAAAGATAATGCCTGCCTTACATAGCTCTTGAATGTAGCTGTGGAAAAGTTGTGCTGAATTGTAAACTGAATAACAAAAAGTTAGACCAAAAATAGCTGATTTAGGCAAACCAATTATAATCTTCAACTCTTCTACAGTCACAGCTCGGTTATTTTATTTTAATATGGTGTTTAGTTAGAAAGATTTAAAAAGCAGCGTGTTTTTGAGTTTTATGTTTTATGATGGAATTATTAGGGTGAAGTTGAAATCTGTTGGATAATCCATGTTTGCTTTAAATCCATCATGTGCCTTCCCGTGCCAAATTGTGATTTTTTTTTTTTAAGGAGTGTTTCCTGTACAGACACACTGTACATTGTCATTGTAAGGGGAACGTGTGCAGTGAGAGCAGGGTACAGATAATGATTTCATCTCTGCTTCAAAGAGTCCAACCTTTTGATTCCTCTTACTTGAATTTGCATTAAAGGGACTGTAAAATGTAGATGATTGAGATATATATATATATATATATATATATATATATATGTATGTATGTATGTATGTGTGTGTGTGTGTATATGTCTTTTGTATATATAGTCTTGGGCCAAATGCTCGCCACAATAATATATGTCTATATTATTGAAAAGTAGTAATACGCAATCTGACTTACGGTTTATTCAGGTTTATTCTTAGTTACTCATACATAATAAAACATAATAAAGGATGTTACAGGATAGTGGACATTCAACAGCAGATGGTAATTGCTGCACTTCTGATGGGAGAGTTACATCGTTGTACAGAGCCAAGAGCCAAGCCAAGAGAGAGCGACCTTGTGTCCCTCTGTTACTATAAAGATGTGCTAATACTAACGTCAGCATTTAACTCAAGCCATATAAGGACAAGACCCCCACATCCACATTCCAGAGCTCTCGGACAAAGAAAGCCTTGTGACTTATACCATCTGTTACTTATCTCAATCCACTCATCCATATATAATCAATAGAAACATAGAATATGCAATATTCTACATGGACGCTATAGTGCTAGGATTGCAAGCTTCATCCTCCCTTCTGTCACCTGATTCCAGCGCCGATATCCCTCGATGCTGGGTCAGGCTCCACATCTGCTCCTTCCCCGCCCCACGTCACCTCGCGGGGTGGGGGACCTAAGCTTATGCGCAGCTAATGCCATGCCTGCATTAGGACTATCCTACTGGAAAGTATTTCTCAACGTTTTTCTATGAAGTTTTAAATGACGTTGGATGTCTTCATGCAGAGTGTGAGGACGTCTTGCGTCAGACGACCAAAAGTAGCCTAACCACCCAAAAGTCCTTCTGATGTCCAATCATATGCTTCTCATTGAACTAGTGAGAACTGGTAGAGGAGTAGGCAAGGGGGGGAGGGCTTTCCTTTTAGGATGCTTGGAGACCAGGATGAAGAGAGCACTGCATGGTGGTGATGCTAGAACATAAGCTGGGGATTATCTTCACTGTGTAAGGAGAATGGAAGTGAGGTGACCATTACAAAAGCTGATTTACAACTGTCGCTAGCTCACAGTGTGTTGTGACGCAAGCATCATTTTTTGCACAGGACTAACATTAGTCAGTCTGGAACAGAGTTCCGGGCTGTCTGTTACTTCTGCCGGGGTTGTAACTAGACCCCTGCACAAATTACCGTAGCTAATATCTCTATCTCTGTGTAGCGTTTCATATACTGCTTTGTGACCACTTAAAAAAGCAGAAGTAGCCATGACAGTTGGAGTAACCCTTCAATCATTATTTGCAGCATCTAATCCTCCTGTATCTTCCTCCCCTCTGGGTTTGACATTTTGCTAGTGGGGAGTCGGTAGTCTCAGTGTAGGTAGCTGCATGCAGCAATGCAATTTTTTTCAGAGCTAGTAAAGCCTTTTTATATATGGTTTCTAACTGAAAAACGAACTTATAGTTTTCGATTCAAAAGAAAACAAAACAAAAAATCTGTTCCAAACCATGTCCTGATTAGCATAAATCAGTAATGAAGCACTAATTGCTTTTAATGTCCCTCTGATATGCTTTTTTTACTGGAAAATGGGGTTTAAGCTGTTAATCTTTATGTATTGGATATTTATCCTCTAGACATTTACAAATTCTAAAATGAACATCCAGTATAAATCTTCTTTTATGATACAGGCACTTTGTTCCTAATATCACCTTCGGACATCCAGTGGTGGAATGTCTAAGGACGCAGCTGGGAAAAGACCCGTTTTTCGGTAAGCTTTGAAGATGTTACTGTCCTAAAAGTTGCGTTTGTACACAGTTTTATACTTTTCAGCCTTACAGAGGAACTGTCATCTCTTACGATGTGTCGCAATGTTACGTATTAGTTATGCAAAAGTATTTATTTTTTTTAAACTTGGAGATGGCAAAGACAGAGCATGACGTGATGCAAATTATCGGTATCCCATGATACAGTGTGAGTGGCACATAAACACGCATGCAAGCCGTGGCACCCTGGATGTACTACCTGATTCAAATGCAGTTCACCTTGGTAATTTAGCCATTGATCAACAGATCCAGTTGGCTTTAATTTATATTAGCTATTTATATAGCTTTAATGTATAAGTTGCCGATAGCTTCTATGAAACTCGTGAACAGTAAAAAAAAAAACCTTCCATAAACATGCAGTATACCATTTCCAAATTGTAATTTCATCTATAAAATTAAGCTGCTGTTTTCAACTCTCTTATATTTCCATTCCCTTACAGTTGGGTACTTGGAGAAGTGTGAGTTGTTATTTTTACAAACTAGATCTATGGTTATTGCTGTCAGAGCCATCACTACATACACAGTAATTTAGAAACATTGACTTGCGTGATCTGTCATCATGCTGCACAGCTCTCTTTCTATAGTAAACCCTCACATGCCTGGCACATGAAGGGATACATGGTCCAATGTAGTCCTTCAGAAAATGTGTTTGTAAAAAAAAAAAAAAAATGCCACTGTGGTTCTTTTAAAAAGACACTTTATATATCAGTAAATTAAAATCCGTCATGTAAGGTAATGTCCTGCCACATGCTGTAGCATTCAGTGAGTTAATCTGGTGATTGCATTGCTATCCTTCTCCTAGGATTGAATGAGACCTTTTAGTATATTCTCAGTTCAGCGATGAACATAGTAATATATGTGACCGCGAACCCCGTTCATTCTGTTTGAAAATAATGACTACTTTATACTTGCTGCTGTACAGAAAATAACCCATTAAAACAAAGTTCGACAAATCCCAGGCGCCAGGTCGCCACGGCGACTAATAATTTTGCGAGGGTGCCTGGGATTTATCAACTTTTTATTTAAAACTCCTGGCTGAGCAAATAATGGAGCCGGCTGTCCACCCGCGGGAGCATGGAGGCGGCCGGCTAAGTAAGAATTGTAGCAGGCGGCCGGCTAAGTAAGAATTGTAGCAGGCCGCCCTAAGCTTCATGGAGGCGGCCGGCTGAGTGAGCATTGTGGCCGGCCGCCCTGGACTTCATGGAGGCGGCCGGCTGAGTGAGCATTGTGGCCGGCCGCCCTGGACTTCATGGAGGCGGCCGGCTGAGTGAGCATTGTGGCCGGCCGCCCTGGACTTCATGGAGGCGGCCGGCTGAGTGAGCATTGTGGCCGGCCGCCCTAAGCATCATGGAGGCGGCCAGCTCAGTGGAGCATCCAGGCAGTTGGCTGGGACAGCGTGCAAGGGAGCAGCGATCTTCCAGCGGATCCACTCTGCTCCCTCACGCTGTTTAATGATGCCGGGAGCTGGAACGTGACGTCATTCCCTGTCAGTGTGTGTGTGTGTATGCCCCTGTCAGTGTGTTTGTGTGTATGCCCCTGTCAGTGTGTTTGTGTGTATGCCCCTGTCAGTGTGTGTGTGTATGCCCCTGTCAGTGTGTGTGCGTGTGTGTCTGTTTAGGTACCTGCGATCACGATTGGTGTTTTTACTCGCCCTTTTTTTTTTTTCCCCACGATGTGCAGGTTTTGCCGTGGCTTGTCCCGCCCCCATTGCCGAGTTCATCAATCTTTATGGTCTCAGCAAAGCCAATGCTTTTCCATAGGAAAGCATTGGGAGGATATTGCGCATGTTCTGTATGGGTAACATTCAGCACGTCCATGCAGAGCACTGACACAGGACTCTCTAGTGGCCTTCTGAGTGACAGCCACTAGAGGTCTTAGTAGGCAGCAATGTAAACACTGCCTTTTCTCTGAAAATGCAGCGTTTACATTGAAAAGGCTACAGGGACAGGCTATAGGCACCAGAACCACTCCATTAAGCTGTAGTGGTTCTGGTGACTATAGTGTCCCTTTAAAAAAAAAAAGGCTCCTAACTTTTTTAGCTGACTCCTAGATTCCAAACAAATTTGTCAAGCCCTGCATTAAAAACTTGGTTGATAGCTCTACTATGAGCTATTATTATTATTATGATAATTAAATAGCGCCATCAAATTCCGCAGCGCTTTACAATGGGTGGACGAACAGACATGTAGTTGTAACCAGACAAGTTGGACACACAGGAACAGAGGGGTTGAGGGCCCTGCTCAATGAGCTTACATGCTAGAGGGAGTGGGGTAAAATGACACAAAAAGGTAAGGATAGTATTAGACTAGTGACAGTTGCAGAAGAGGAATTAGTCAGGAGCTATTAACAGTTTAATTGTTACGCTTTTATGAAGAAGTGGGTTTTTAACGATTTTTTTTGAAGGAGTGGAGACTGGGTGAGCATCTAACGGAGGAGGGAAGCGAGTTCCACAGGGAGTACGGACAGAAGATAGACGTAAGTCTTCAGCAGATCGTAAGGGCCTAGACGGGACATACTTGTGTATAAGGGGGGATAGATAGGTGGGAGCAGCATTATGTAGAGATTTGAAAGCAAGAACCAGAATTTTAAATTGAGCTCTATATTTTATAGGAAGCCAATGTAGGGACTGACAGAAGGGTGAGCCATGGGAGGTGCGGGCGGACAGGAAGATGAGCCTCGCTGCCGCATTCATTATGGACTGTAACGGCACAAGTTGCGAGCACGTAAGACCACTGAGAAGCGGATTACAGTAGTCAAGGCGAGAAAGGACAGTGGAATGGACCAACACCTTAGTCGCATCTGGTGTTAAGAAGGGGCGGATGCGCGCAATGTTTTTGAGATGGAAATGACAGGATTTGGCGATAGAATGAACATGAGGCTTGAAGGAGAGGTCAGAGTCAAAGAGAACACCTAGGCAACGAGCCTGCAGGGTGGAGCTGATGGTAACACCGTTGACTTGGAGGGAGACCGACACAGGAGTAACAACACTTGAGGGAGGAAAGACCAGAATTTCAGTTTTGGTTAAGTTTAGTTTAAGGAAGTGGGCAGCCATCCAGTTAGAAACAGCAGAGAGGCAGTCAGAGACACTAGTTAAGAGGGACAGAGAGAGATCAGGAGAGGACAAGTAGATTTGCGTGTCATCTGCATAGAAATTATATTGGAAGCCAAAGAAGCTAATGAGTTTACCAAGGGAGGCAGTATAGATGGAGAACAGTAGGGGACCAAGGACTGAACCATGGGGGACACCAACAGAGAGTAGTTGGGGAGAAGAAGCAGAGCCAGAGAAAGAAACACTGAAAGAGCGCTGGGAGAGGTAGGAGGAGCACCAGGAGAGCAATATCTTGTAGAACGATATTGCGGAGGATGAGAAGAAGCTGTTGATGATTAACAGTGTCAAAAGCCGCAGACAGGTCAAGGAGAATTAGGATAGAGTAGTGACCACGAGATTTTGCAGCAAGTAGATCAGTCTGGTTTCCACGCTAAGCACTGACCAAAGTATCCAATGAAGTGGGTCAGCAGAGAGTTGGACTCGAGGAAGTCTGTCAATCTCGCATACACAATTCTTTCAAGGATCTTGGATGCAAAAGGCAGTAGCGAGATAGGACAATAGTTGGATGGGGAGCTAGGGTCAAGATTGGGCTTCTTTAGAATTGGGGTTACAGTTGCATGTGTTATTAAAGCTTCCCTTTAATAATTTTAAAGGGCACACAGACCTATGTGTTTTTGGCCATTGTACTGATTTTATAATGTTATGTTACCAGCCGATGAATCAGCAGTTAGGCCATGGTGGCCAGGAAAGTGTCAAACCATTTGAAAATGGTTTGACACTTAACAGTGAAATTGAGCTTCGGCACCATAAGCACTACAGCACTCCGTAATGGTGGACAGTGCCCGTTTTAATTAGCAATGAAAGCTCAAAAGCATGTCAACTTACCTGATGAAATTACCTTTTTCTCTACAGACATGCATATGATGGTTGCTAAGCCAGAGCAGTGGGTGAAACCGATGGCAGCTGCTGGTGCGAACCAGTATACTTTTCATTTGGAGGCCACAGACAACCCAGGAGCTTTGATTAAAGACATAAGGGAGAGTGGTATGAAGGTAATCCAAGTACATGTAATGTTATTGAATGAGGGTGCTGTTTACTCCACTGACCTTTTCAGCAGATTTCGATATGTATCTCTTCGGATTGACATCTCATACACTATATCAGGTGTCAGCTACCCTATGACACTTAAGGTTCCTTTCCACGGCACTCAAGGCTGCCACAGCCAAACAGGCCCTGGCCTATCAGGAGTCCCAGTGGGATTTCAGATATCTGCTACAGAAAACTGATTGGTAATTACAGGTGGTGAGGGACAATCCTCATTTTACAAATTGCAGCACTTAGAGGAAGTGATCTCATCACTTCCTTCCAGCACTTGTGAACGGGAATCTGCACTGGAATAGAGCAGACTGAAGCAGCTATCGCAGCTCCTGCCCTTGACCTTTACCTGGCCAGCCCAGTCCTCACTGGTCCCAAGGGAAGACGGCCACACTGCTAAAGCTGCAGAATAACAGCCCACATAGTCCCCACAAACACAACACCATTGACAATCTACATACACGCACACAACCCCAAAAGCAGCCTCTCACATGCAATACCGCAAGCAGACAACACATACACAGTATGACTTATCCACACAATTCCACAAGCAGCCCCCATACACAGCCCACATTCACAGGTATTATTCACATTACCACAAACTACTCATAAACATATACAATAGAACAGCCCACATACGCACAGAGGCAGCACCCATAAAGAACGCAAGCAGAATACAGCAACATACACACCTCAATTTAAAAATAAAATAGGACCAGCATGCCAAGAGTCTTAAAGATATTGTTTTGGCACAGAACTATTAAAAGGTTGCCTACCCCTGCCCTATATGGACAAAAGTACTGTGACACACCTCTTAATTATCGAATTCAGGTGTTTCAATCAGGCCACGAATGAATAAAATCAAACATCTAGCAATGCAGGCTGTATTTACAAACGTTTGTGAAAGCAAATGGATAGTTCTGAAGAGATCATTGAATTCAAGCGTGGTACTAAGATAGGGCGCCACCTTTATAGTGGTATTATGGGAAAGTGGAAGCGTTTAAGAACAGCAGCACCTCAACCACAAAGTGGAAGACCACATAAAGTTACAGAACGGGGTCACCGAGAGCTGAGGCGCAAAGTGTGTAAAAGTCGACAATGCTCTACTAATTCAATAGCTGAAGAGTTTCAAACTTCCACTGGCATTACTATCAGCACAAAAACAGAGCAGCAGGAGCTTCATTGAATGGGTTTCCATGGCCGAGCAGCTACATGCAAGCCTCACATCACCAAATACAATGCCAAGCGTCGGCCGCCACTGGACTCGGGAGCAGTTGAAACAAGTTCTGTGGAGTGACAAATCAAACTTGTCTTTTGGCGAGTCTGGGTTGGGTGGATGCCAAGTGAATGCTGCCTACCTGATTACATTGTGCCAACTGTAAAGTTTGATGGAGGAAGGATAATGGTAGGGAGCTGTTTTTCAGAAGTTGGGCTCGGCCCCTTTCAGTGAAGGGAAATCCAGCATACCAAGACATTTTGGACATTGCTATGCCTCCAACTTTGTGGGAACCCTTTGAAGAAGGCCCTTTTCTATTCCAGCATTTATGTGCCCCAGTGCACAAAGCAAGGTCCATAAAGACATGGTTGGATGTGTTTGGTGTGGAAGAACGTGACTGGCCCACACAGAGTCCTGGCCTTTAACCCCATTGAACACATTTGGGATGAACTGGAATAGAGATTGCAAGATTTTCTACTGGGTGAATGGGCAAAATTTCCCAGAGAAACACTCCAAATGTTTGTGGAAAGCTTTCCCAGAAGAATGGAAGCTGTTATAGCAGCAAAAGGGGGGACCAATTACATATTAATGTCCATATATTTAGTTTAGAATGTTGGTGTAATGGTCCGGTATCCCAATACTATTGTATCCCAATACTATATAGTGTATGTGTGATTTTGTTTTAGCCTTTTTAACCGTTCGCAAGTGATTGCAAACGGTACAAACGCCTAGCAACTCCTGTTCTTGTGTCTATGCCCCAGTGTTACACATGGTACTACCATAAATGTTTCTGTCGTGGACCAATGTGGGGAGTCACCTGAATTCTCATTAGTGAGTTTGGAAGAAAAGTATGTTAGGGTTATTAGTGAGAACTATTGGGCATTCAAAGAGAATTTCACATTTAAGGTCACAGTAGCCAAATTGGAAACATAGTTGAGTTGGAGAATGTTTGTTTGTGTTTTTTCAGGTTGGCTATTTTAGCTTTAAATTTTAAATTCACTTTCAATTCTCACAAATTCTCTCACATTAAATAACCCTGTTGGGCTATTTGTGTTTATTCATTATTCTGGGAATTATTCTGTATTTTTTTTGAGCAAAATGGCCTAAAACATGCAGTTCCATTGTTCATTCTTAACGACTCTTTTAAGTAACTAACTCAACCACATCCAAGCACATGGACAGCAGGGGGCAGCAAGGAGCATGACAGGAAGAATGTAAGCTGCAGTACATATTATTTTTACTTAACACTTTATTTTTTCTTTTATGTTTTGCATGCAGTAAGGAAGAACATTTGGAATCATTATACACACGCGCACGCACACACACTCTACATTCCATGGTACACAAAACAAAGTGTTTTTCCTTTCAATGAGGCTGCATGCAGTGATTAAATTAGAGACTTGGTCTCTGGTGAAATTTAGGTTTTGGTTTTTTTTGCACCCCATAAGGACCAAACTTCTCGAATAAAAGGGAATCATGACATGTCACACGTCATGTGTCCTTAACGGGTTAAATCAAATTCCGATGTATGAGAAATAAGAGATCAGTAGGACACACCTTTCTATCTTTTATACTTTTCTCAACAGTGCATCATATTAGGTAAAAGTGGTATTGAATATAAGAAAAATACCTTGGCAATTAATGGACTTTTTTTTTTTTCCCTTTTCTTTTTTTTCCATGTGCTCAAAATATGGCACTTTGGATCAATAAAGGCAGTGGTACTAAATTAACAACATTTTGACTTTTCTCCCCCAACACTGACAAATGCAAATAAATAAATATATTGAGTTTGTGTTTAGCTAGATTTGCTATGATTTGCTTGCTCCACTCACTCCTGGATTATATTGGATAAATGGCATGGCAGTAAACATACCTCTCTACACTCTGTCATTAGATCACCTCTACATTGGACATGGTTTTATGTGACTGGTCTTTTTCTTCCAGGTGGGGATTGGTATTAAGCCAAATACAACCGTGGAGTACCTTGCTCCGTGGGCAAGTCAGATCGACATGGCCCTTGTTATGACTGTGGAGCCAGGCTTTGGAGGGCAGAAATTCATGGAAGACATGATGCCAAAGGTAATCTATGCCCATTATTTTTATCCAGCATATTACAAGGGTATTTACATTTTCTTGACAAATTAAAAATAATTCAAGTGATTCTCTTATCAAAAGTACTGTTTGTACAGTCTTTAAAAGTACCCACATTCCTTCTAGATTTTGCAATGTGGGTTTACACTCTTTCAATGAATGATGGTAAAAGTTGAACACAATTCATGTTTAACGTAGAATAAGAATTTTGTGAAGACCAAAAGCCATGCAGGAAGACCAATGCAAATGTCAAGCCATTCAAAAAATGGTTTGATTTATTACCATGGAGAGCACTAGGGGACATCCGGCACCATAACCACTCTATTGCACTGTAATGATTTGTTTCTTTAATCGTATATAAATCTGTGCCTGCAGTCTATGTAAAATAATGCTGTTTCTGAGCAGTGGCAATGTTTGCACATTGCCAAGAACACTCCTCTTGTGGCTGGCCGCTTCCTCATTAAAGACGTCGCAATTCAAATCTTTTAAAAAAATTTGAGTCCTCATGCACAACACTGTGAATTAGTCAGTGGCATTTGATAGGTCAAGTGCAGCAATTGCCAATTTCGGGTTACCGATTTAGAATAGCAGGACACAACATTAAATTGTACTCTTGCTCAAAAGTGGCACAGCGCATCTACCCCCCTCGCTTTCTCATGTTCCATGTTCTCGGTAAAGGCTGAGGCACCACAGTAGACACAAGTAATCCTTCAGGCTTCTTCACCGACGTGAATTTCAACATTGTAATCTCTCTTAAAGCCCCTAAATGGCAGTATGATTTTATTTTTTTTCCTCTTTTCCACTCAGGTTTACATTCTAAAATGTAGCTGAGTCTTGTTACAAACTAATCACAAGAAGGGAAGTGATACCAAGTAACTGGGAGAGTAAGACTTGTGGTTTCAAAAATCAATTTTTATTTATTGGTTTGACAAATCAAGAGCTAACCATGACCACTAGTATGAACTATAGTGGTTGGGTTACTTAGTGTGTACATTTAATATATTATCAGTTCAATAACTGTAAAATCTTTACAATGTGTGTTATACAGAGGGAGAGTAAAATTCAGGAACCACTTAATATTACACTCTAGGCACCATTTACAACTCATCACATTAAAGTGATTATGGTGCCTGGATCTGTCCCACTATTCAGTGTCACACTGTTCTCTACTAATTTGACACAGAGGACTTTCCTTGTGTGAGCGATCTGGTTATGTCTATGCTGTATTCTTAAAGAATTAACCTCGGTGTTTATGTAAGAATAAGACTTGTGTGCCCTACTGCTAGATGCAGGTTAATAGAAGTGGTTATTTACAGTTTGCCTTAAATATGTTGCTTAATAGTCAGGACCCTTCTGCAAAAAAAAATAAAAAATGAAATGCCTTAAACTACAAAGACAATTGAAAAACATTTATTCTTACTGGACGTCATGTCTGGAACAATGGATCAACACTGACACGTTTTGTACTTTTACAGGTACTTCATCACCTAATTATTATTTTTCACATTTACCTTTTTATTTCAGGTACAATGGCTAAGGTCGCAGTTCCCTTCATTGGATATTGAGGTTGATGGAGGTGTAGGACCAGATAATATACATAAATGTGCAGAGGTGAGAACTACAGCTTCATGGATACAATGCTTATATGGCTGTATTTTCATACTAAGTGGCTGCTGGGGTTTGTTATCCCCTGCTTGTGATGGTCATCTCTGCTCATATTATACTACATTATATGTATCTAGTTTTAGATAACGGATCCTGGCACCTTTCAAGATTGAGAACATTCTTACGCATGGATGTGTGAGAGATTGGGCTTTGAACATAAGTACCATTTCAGTAACTTTCAACATTTGACAATGGACTGTTCACAGCATTTTGCATCTTAACTCTAGACCCTATGTCCCAGCTCCCCCACTCTAAAAGACTTCCTTTTTGCCTACTGCCGTATAACCAGATATGACCGTTCCATTTATACTTTTATTTTTTTACTTTATTTGCCCTTCAGTCTTAACTTTGCAGACACAGGTAGCTGTGAAATCTGCTATTCAGTCCCTACACACTATTCAAGTAAAACAGCTGCCTGTTTGCTTGAATAGCGTGTAGGGCCTGAACAACCAATTGAAACACAGGTTATTTGTATTTGAGCTAGTAAAAGCAAAATTTCTAATAAACCTTTACATCTTCAGGATTGATGGGTACACTGAAGACAGGCATTGAGTTTTAGAGCCACAGGTAGCCTATAGGCAGACATTATACCTTATATGCTGTGGCATGAAGGTTGCATAGAATATGTATAATTCAGATACTTTCTCTTTGTACAGGCTGGAGCCAATATGATAGTCTCTGGCAGTGCCATAATGAAGAGCGATGATCCTCGCACTGTGATTAACCTGCTACGAAATGCCTGTTGTGAAGCTGCTCAGAAACGCTCTCTGGACCGATGAAGAGAATGGAAAGCACAATTATTTTTGGCTCTGGCCATACACTGTTCAGACTACTGTAGTGAGGATCCATTCCGATTTCAAAGAAGCGGCTCTGGGACCAAGACCAGGGTGGACAGTAATGAGATGGAATAACCTTGCAGGTTACAGAGACTGATTTGAGGAACAGGAACTAGTGTTGGGTTTATTTAGTAAACTGAGCATTGTGGAGAATTGACAACAGGGGTTTCAAATTTTACACCAAAATGTAGGGAGGAGGGGAGGGAGAGCGAATGAGAAATCAGGTTGTTTTTTTGGGGCGTTTTTCCTCCGCTTAGCTTCTTTGGTCTAAAATGTCCAATTTATTTGTCATTTTTCAATAATATTTGGTTTAGTGACTAAACCTTCTTCCCTTTTGTCTTTACATATAGCATTAGTTTGGAAACGGTTGGAAATTGGATTGAAGGGCCTGTCACCTGTGAGGTTTTAATTAAAACATCTTTATTAACAAATGCGTTTTGTTTGGGGGGTGGGGTGGGATAAAAGTTTTTTTACAGGGACAGTATAGGTACCAAAACAATTTGTTTAATAAAGCAGTTTATAGTATAGATCCGGTTGGCTTAAGAAAAGTAGATCCCCACATGTTGTAGAACTACAAATCCCATGATTTATTACATGCCTTTAGAATGAGAAAAAGTTAAGGAAGCTGTAGTTTTAAAATATTCACCTTTTGCGCATCCCTGGTATACATCGTGCCCTTACAGTCTCACTGCTTAATTCTGTCATTTAGGAGTTAAATAACTGTTGATACAGCCATAGTCACAACTCCCTGCATGTAACACACCAATACTGCTTCATTAAGCCTAATATCCTTAGGTTGTTACCAGTAATTTTAAAATCAAATATGTAAAGGTCTTTAGGTGTGTAAATATTATCCAGTAAATGTAATTAACATACTTTAATAGATAACCCCTTTTTTAAAGCTTTTTTTTTTGTTTTGCAGTCTAGATTGTATTACATTCTTTATTTTGGCAACCCAATTGCTGTGCTGTAATTAAAAGAATAGGCCATTAGTACTAACAAAGGTCAGATTATCATGACTGCACAGACAGTCATCAGGCCACAAATTAAATACCCTTGAATTACAGTAACTAATGATACAAATAAACAATGGTGCTTAGTGTTGTAACAGTGCCAAATTGGATTAACTGGAGACCCCCCCACCCCCCCACCTCTCATTTTGCAGTTTATTTCATATTATTTTTAATTTAGACCTGTGTTAAAGACCACCACAAGCATTTTTGTGATATCTCTGCAGTCTGCACACAGCGCCACAGGAGGGGGTTGCATGCTACCTTAATCAAAGTTATATAAATGTACATTGACCTTTCTCTAGTAAGGGAATACGTGCAATGGCTCTGTGATTAGTATTCCTGTACAGTGCTAATTAAGTCATATGCATTGTTATAAAAGTGCTTTGCTGATTGGGTGATAAACACCTACCACCGAGTCACTGGAAAGACAAACAACTTCTGATCTCCAATTAATTGAGAACACACTTAAACTACAGAAATAACTTTAATATAAAATAGAACACATTGAATAGTCCACAGTCTGGTTAAAAGACAAAATTAGTCTCCTTTTCACCTATGTTTTGCGACAGTGTAATTATACAAGGTGCCGATGTATTCTCCACTTGGGCTCATTTCTACTGTAGTTTGAAGGAATGGTAATATTATAAACAGATCAAAAAAGACCAATAAAATACTGCAGTGCATCAGTTTACAGTGATTCTAGAGCAGGGTTTAAAAACTCTGGCCTTGCTGAACTACAACTCCTATGATACTTGGGCTATTTCTTTCAAAGAATCATGGGAGTTGAAGTTCAGCAACATCTTGAGGGCCAGAGTTTGGATAACCCTGTTGTGGAGCAATTATGACCAACCACAGCACCCTTGATGTTTTAAGTACAATAGCCACAATTCTCAACCAAGCCCTTAGAGAGAGAGAGAGAGCATGATGGGAAATTTAGCACACAAACCAAGGACAATTACTGCTCCTGAGTAACTCTTCCTCCTGTCTTGTACCTTTTAATATACTCCTTTGTGATACATTATTTATATAGTGCGAAAATATTCCACAAAGCTTTACAGTGTGGGGTCAATACAGAACAAAGAAATACAAACAACAAATGCTAACAGGAACAAAATGTGAAGACGGCCCAGCTTAAACAAGCTTACCATTAAACTTATTAATTGGAAATGTGGGGGAATACTTTTAAACAAGTAATATATGCACAGGCTCATTATCACCTTGTGTCTCCTTTGCAAAATGCCCAGTAATGCTGAACAAGTGTTAATGTTTTTTTTGAACAACCAAAAAACACTATATACAAATACACACTGAATCCATTTTCTTCTTCCTGCTTGCCTGCAGCAGCTATTGGCAAGTACAACACAGAATAGCATGTCTTTGTAACCCCAGCCTGCAGGGTCAGAAGAAACAGTCTTTGGGTACAGGGTAGCTGAAAGGTCACTTGTAGTTTTTTGGCTAGTAGGTTCCGTGTGCAACCTGTATCAGAAAGGCAAAGCACAATGCAAAGAGGTTATACGAGGCTGTGTAGACAGTAAAACATTCAAGTACAAGTGTATTGATTATATTGAGTTTAATGTTCTTTTTGAGAAATGGGGTGCAAGTGTATTAGTTGAATGTGCAACTTCACGGTAATTAGGACCCCTGCCTCTGGAAGCTTGTTTTTTTTTGTGTTTACTGTTTTTGTAAAAATGCAGAAGTCCCTCTCCCCTATGGTCATCATTCTACACTAGGAAGGGCCAAAAGGCAGCCCTTGTAATGATTCTTTGGACTGTCAAAGTTTCATGGTTGTTTTAATTCTGCAATTGCTAGGAGCTACATTTGGCCAGCTTTACTCTCCTACATATTATCAATTGGATCACTATGGCTTGGGCAATATAATTCTTTGCCATGTTTTTTTTATTTTCTCTTTCTTTCATCAAAGACTTTATATACCTGAAGGAAATGCTTGTTATAGCTCTTCATTTGTCATAATCAGGGCAGTCTTTACTATTGCTTGAACATCGAGCAAACATTCTACTTGGGCCCCTCGCACCATGCAACCCCACTCCACATTTACTGACATGCAATCACACCCTCCACACACCTCACCCCCCAAAATAAATCAAAAACACATTTTGATACACAGACTCACACTCTTACAGATACAAACACTACGACACACCTGCAGATACAATAATACATATATAAATATACTGACACAGATACACACATTCATATAGTCACATAAAAACACAGACACTCATGTGCACACACGCAGAGAAAAACAGACACAAACAAACATGCACAAAGTAAATTAATTTAGCCACCCTCCTGTGTTTTGATACAGGATGAATAGTTCTATCCACTTATTTGAATTGCAGTATTTAATCCTACACAGACAAGATTGTTTCCTCCATAAAGTAGTTGATCACAAAATTATTCTGGAGAAATGTTTCTAATGGCAATGAGGGAGTTAAGGTATTCCGCTTATTTAAACATATGCACGTTTCTGCATGTATCTTCAGAAGGATATTGATACCTTAGAGAGATCAGAGAAGGGCTACTAAACAGGTTCATGGAGTGCAGGATAAAACTTACCAGGAAAGGTTAAAGGATCTTAACATGTATAGCTTGGAGGAAAGACGAGACAGGGGGGATATGATAGAAACATTTAAATACATAAAGGGAATCTACACAGTTAAAGGAGGAGACGATATTTAAAAGAAGAAAAACTACCACAACAAGAGGACAGAGTCTTAAATTAGAGGGACGAAGGTTTAAAAATATCAGGAAGTATTACTTTACTGAGAGGGTAGTTTAAGCATGCGTGGGATAGGCATAAGGCTATCCTAACTATAAGATAAGGCCAGGGACTAATGAAAGTATTTAGAAAATTGGGCAGACTAGATGAGCCAAATGGTTCTTATCTGCCATCACATTCTATGTTTACCATAATGCACAGAATTATACATACACAAGCGTGCCCAAGAAGGTTAAAATCACAGAAGACAGCAGGAGGAGCAAGTGGTGGTCTGGAGGTGGGTGTCGCATAGTAACCCCAACAAAGACAACAAAATGGCGGTACTGGAACAGGTGAGTTGTATAAATCTCAAAAATGTACTTTGCGGTATGGGGCGATTTAGGCAAACTTGGTATATGTGTGACAGGTTCACTTTAACAGACAGCCAGTTTCATATTTGACTTGTACAGTTACATAGTTATTCCAAGCACCACTAACTTTATTAGATATCAACTAGGCTACAGCTTACCTTCATTTTTCTCTGGGTATGCTAAATTGTGAATGCAAACCGCTTCCAATGTCACGTTAGATCTGAATCGCCAACGGAGTGTTGCGCACCTTCAGCATCAGATTGGGGTGGCTGAAGTATGGAAGTGCACTGCGAGTGTTTGGCCACTTCATTTAGCAATGATAATGCAGTTTTTTCGGTCAATGGGAAGGCCCTGGGTTCCCATTGCTCTATCTGCCAAATAAGCAGCATTAAAATCAAGACAAATGCCATTTAATAAGATAAAAACATACACAACTAGTATAATATGAAGGAAGAGGCTACGGTGTATTCTCATGTATATACAGTGTGTGTAAATTTGAAGGGTGGGATAGGGGCAGTGTTCTGTAGGGAATGAGAGAGAAGTAGTTTATTTTTGGGGTGGGGCTATTTAAAGGTACATTACAGCCACCAGAACAACTACAACTTAATGTAGTTGTTCTGGTGAGTATACTCAGCCCGTGCAGGCTTTTTTCTGTAAAAAGCAATGTTTACATTACAGCCTAGGGACACCTCCAGTTGCCTCTCCAGGTGGTTTCTGTGGCAGTGCTGCACAATCAGTGTATCCATCCTCTGCTTGGAGACACTGAACTTTCCTCATAGAGATGCACTTATTTAATGCATCTCTATGAGGAGATGCTGGTTGGCCAGAGCGGTGTTTGGCTCTGCCTCTGGCTTGCCTCCTTGGCTGAGATCATCAGAATTGACAAACTCAGCCAATCCAATGGGAAAGCCAATTCTGATGATGTCAGCAAAAGAGGCAGATCAGGAGAAGAGCCAGCACCAGCAAACTGGAATAAAATGCTAGTGGTTTAACACTATAGGGTCAGGAATGCATGTTTATGTTCCTGACCCTATAGTGTTCCTTTAAGTTTACTACCCCCTCCCTGAATCTTACCTTTGGCAAGGGGAGGGGTTATAACTCTGGTTTAGTGGTCTTCCTATTGGTCTAGGTATACTCTGTCTGCACCTCTGCTGGGGCCAGATGTTTTAAGCAAGCCCTGGGATTGTGCAGTGTTGGAGTGAGAGAGGGAGGACCCGGCCGAGAGCAACAGGAACTTGGAATGGCCCAGTGAGGGAGACTGGCAAGACTGCAGCTGCATAAATATAGCAATACTTGATATATATTATATAGTACACATTGGGTATATAGGACGCGGTTAGTTTTTTACCTCAAATTTTGGGGCAAAAAAATTCATCCAATATTTAAAAAAAAAAAAAAAATATGGTATCCTGTTATATTCCTGTGCAGTCGTTGGGGAGACATATCAAAGTATTAAGGACACTTTTTCTTCTTATTTTTGGTGCATTTTTTTTTAAATCTGCCTGATTATTCTTTTTTTTTTTTTTTCATGTGTTACTTGTTTTGTATCCTGTATTCTTGTTTTTTCACCAATGCAAGGAACTTTTGAATATTTCTGCCACTTTTTCCAACAGCGAAGTAGCAGAACTTTTCAAATTACAAGTTAAGCAGTCTTCTGGAATAGAAATTTCTGTGAAAACTGGCACAATTTACTATGAAAAAAACTGCCACTTTCAAGATAACATTATTATTATTATTCAGTATTTATATAGCGCTGACATACTCCACAGTACAAACATGGTGAACATGTATCAATTCAAAACGAACAGTAGGACCTGTACAGTCCGTGAGCTCTAATAAATACAAATCAGAATGACTGAATTTAACCACCATTTTAAAGAACACTTTGAAAAATTATCCCCCATTGTTCCACAAGTGGTTAAAACAGAGCTCAAACACAATTATTTATGTCAGCAGAAAAAAGATGAACTTGTACACAAAATACCCTCCTCCTCCACACATACACTTAAGTAACAAGCACAAGTGCTGAGATATTATGAAGGAAGTAAATTGTATTTATCAGTTATAGGAACCCAGGCAAGACAAGATAAGAAGGAAGCCCATCTGGACCTTTGGGTCTAATTGTTTGAATAGCCTAAACTATTCACAAATGTGTATCTAGCTAACGGCATTTAATCATGTCTTGCAACATATCCATTTCTTCACCATGCAGTGGTTATGCTGCAGCTAGGGACTCTGGGTAGGTTTCCTATGGTTACCTTTACACCTATTAAGTATATGTACACAGTTCTAGATGTTTTTTTAAACAAAAAGTTCAAGAAACATCTTGTTTGTTCAGTTTTCTTTATTTTCCTCAAGCCATTCTATAACATCATCTTTATGGGAGTTGTAGTTTAGTCGTGATTTTTCTTGTTAAAAAAAAAAAGCTAACAAACTGCATCTCATAGAAACCCCTGTTGAGTTTATGCAGCACTGCCAGGATTTAAGTGAATAGCCCAGCTTTACCGTCAACCGTAATGAAGCATCACAAGTCGCAGAGTCACTTACTGACTGCACAGGCTGCAAAGCCTGTTGATTTACAGCAAATTTTTTATGCATTTTTGTATATATTATTAATGCATTAACAAATGCTAATTTAGAAGTGCAATCATTTAAGATTTTTAATTTTAACTGCCTCACTGAGGAGGCTGAAAATTAAACCAGAGAACAAGTAAAATGTAGGTTATGTCTAAGATGTATATTTTTCCAATGGCAAGTCACTACCGCTACACCATTTTATTTTAGATGTCTGTGAGCTAAAGTGGCTTGACAAAATCAAAGAACTCGTATGAAAAAACAAACCAGACAGATTAATTACTACAAAATGTATTATGGCAGGTTAACGAGGGACATCCTTGTTCTTAGTTCTTTACAGTAAATGGATTTACACTGATTTTGATAGACCAATAACATAGGAGGCACTAGAACCACAGTATAGCACATGGCATACATTAGAATGACCTTTTCTTGGCAAGTTTCATCTGCAGTTTGTGAGTTCTGTGAATCATTTGTACCAGCTGATGGAGAGTCTTGGGAACCAGGTAACAATACATTAGGACTCATGCTGTTTTCATCTGAAGCCAAGAGATTTCCCATCCAGACACCAAAGCTATTGCTTGAAGATCTGAAATCATAAATCATATATTTATAAGAAGTAGGAATTATTACAGTTTGGAGAATGGATTTGTTTCTCTCAACAGTTGAAATCTCGCAAAACACAGATTAGATGGATTGGGGAGACTAACCTGCTCCGCTTGGGCCATTTGCTTTGCTCCCACAATGACCAACGGGCCTTTTCTTTCAACTCATACTTTTTATGTCTGCAGGAGAAAGCCTCATCTGACAGGTCCTCAAGCTGCAATTACACAGAAATGTCAATCAGAACTGGGGAAGATGGATGTAGTTATGTAACTCACAGAAATGATGTGATAAGTAGCACTAGAGAATTAGAGAACTATTGATGGCAGATCAGTCCAAACCACTTATTTTACATATAGATAGCTATTTACCCAAAACAGCAGGGTTTAGTGAGCATTTGCTGAATTTAAACCAAAATGTTGTTATTAAAGAAACTATTTATTGTCCAAAATGCATGTGGATGTGATGCAGTGCATGAAAAATTGAAAGCAAAGTCACTGACAAATAAACCAATTACAAATATATATAGGTTTACTCAAAGATCATCTTCACCTTCTCCAAGATGTATACTACAATGGACACATGCACATTCACACATCCACATAAATGACATACATCACATACCACGATGACTATACTGACATTTTATATATAAGTGTGTTTAATAGTTAAATAGCTACAAGCATTTATTAGCCAATAAGATGGTGCAAACTATAGATAATCAGACAGAGAATAAAAGCTTGTGATCTCACCTCTTCATCAGGTTTTATTGGTAAAGGTTCAAGTACAACCATCTTCCAGCTGCCAAAGAAAAAACAAAATTCTAGGCATGAAAAAACACCAACCCACCTATAGCATACCCTGGGGATCAGAGCATAGCCTTCTTGTAAAATAATTTGCAGATTAACCTAAGTGTCAGATTATAAAACCAGAAACATCTGGAAATGGTCTGGACAGTGCAGAAGAAAGAAGGGCAAAATAAGAACCATGTTAGTCATGGACAACTGTTGTGGGATATAGACATGAGTGAAAGTTGTGCTGAGAAAAACAGGCCAGGACTGTTGTATGTTGGATGAGATTGGTACTAAAAGAGCAAAGCACAGACAGCTCTGCAGGATGAGGGCTGTATCAGAGAGAAGAGTGTTTCCAATTATTTACACTCCCAAGCTCAACTTGCAGATAAGTTCCCATTTTATACCCATCTAGTCTTTTGTTTCCTCCCATGACCACATCCCATCTTTTCAGTAATGTAACCAAATCTGTGTATTTTCTCATCTTGATCAAGTCATAGCCCAATGGTCCCTTTAGAGAAATTCCATGTACATTTCTTTCCTGTTCTCACCTGCTAATTCATTCCCCCTGCCCATATAAACTGTTCCAACTAATCACCCAGCCCTTAGCCCACACTGTGCTCAGTTTCCCTCTGAAGTACACCAAGTAGACAGATTAGAACGTGGGTGTCCCAATATTTTTGAGGTTGAAAGGAGCCATACCCATTTTGGGATCTAAAGCACTAAATTCTTTATTTCAACATTCTTTACAAATTGAATCAAACAAATAATACCTGGGAGTGAGAATTTCTTTATACTGTAGAATTTCCACCTTTGTTGGTGCAACCAAACTCATGGGAATTACAATGTTGTCAATGTCGTAAGCATTTTCACTCCTTAATCTGCGGCGTGAAAGACTGTTGGAGTCACGCGCAAGGCATTTCTGAAAGAGCACACAAACAGATAAAACACAGCGCGGTGTACTAGAAATTAATTTGCAGAAGTCTGTGTAGAAAACAGAAAGGGCCTTCAAAGGTCCCAAACACAGCACAGCAGGGGAGAACTGACAAAAAAAAAAAAATCAGACAGGAAGGCTGGCCAATTTTTGTTCCAGTTGAGTCGTGGTTAAAAAAAATGTTTTAAATAATAATAAAATGTAAAATTATGAAGAGCACAAATAAGGAAATAAGTTAATTATCAAGAATTAAAGGGACACTATAGTGACCAGAACAGCAACAGCTTAATGTAGTTGTTCTGGTGTCTCCAGCCTGTCCCTGCAGGCTATTTAATGTAAAAACTGTCTTTTCGTTGCAAAACCGACATTCAGCGTCGCCACACTTTGCATGGAGACGCTGAACGCTCCCCCAAAGATGCCAATGTCAATGCATCTCTATGAGGAGATGCTGAATGGCACAGCACGTTGTTTAGCCTCACATGCACAATAGCCTCTAATGGAAAGCATTGGATTAGCAGAGATCAATAAATTTAATGATCCCATCCATGGAAGAGTGGGAACGGGGCCAGACACAAGGAGACCCATGCGGCGCTGGTAAAAAGTTAAATAAATTCACATTTTTAACCTGGGGGTAAAGAGGGCTGGTGCCTAAATGGCTATTTTAAACTTATAGTGTCACGAATATATGTATGCATCCTGACACTATAGTGTTCCTTTAAGATACTGATATATTTTGATTGAGCACTCGGATGTTCGATCGTATCTGTATTACCTACCTGTGCAGAGGGCTTTTGAGCAGATGAAGCTGCACGGTCAACCTGTACATTTCTGAAAGGATCCGACATGACAGACAAGTCATCTAAAATGAATTAAGGAGAACGTGTAAAAAAGCATTGCTGTAAAAATAAAATACAATAAGGATTACATATTGCAACTATAAACAAAGCAGATTTTTATTAGATATTAAAATTTACCGGGTTCATTTTCACTCATGTGTCTTCTTTCCCGTGTGCGCATTTCATAGCACACCTGGGGTCTGCAGCTAGATTTGTGACCATTAGTCCAACTTGCTGATACTAACAAAAAAAATAAATAAATCCACAGATTTTAACATAGCCATGCAAATATTGCAGAATCACATAAATGGGATAAAGAGAAAGCAATGAAGTAGCTGTATACATTCACAGAATATGCGTGATCTTTACTACATTCAATGGTACAATGTCCTGATGGGTTGCCAATCAATGGATTAAAAGCCATACCCTATGACTAAACCAGAAAGGTGGCTTCAGGAAGGGCAGATCAAATGAGTCAAGAATGTGTCTAAAAGGGACACCCAACTGCTCAAAAAAATAAATTAAAAAAGTTCACTGTTTAACTGATAAACTCTAAATCAAAACATGCATGCATGTAATTCTGCATTTTTTCATTGGGGGCATATCTAAAAACAGCTTGCAAAGTCTGCTGTTCTCTTGTCTAAGGCCTTTGCAAGCCCACCTTTCATTCCCCAGTCCAGACTCTCTGTTTCTGTCCAATCATAGACTTCCCAGTGCAGTTTAACATTGGTCCCAAATTAGTACTGTCCTGTCAGATTAGGAAAAATGTGCATGTATGACAGGTTTGCTTGCAGATTCCAAAGCTTGACAATTTTAAAATATCCACACATATTACATGGATTTCACGATTTAGTTTATCAGATGGATTAAAGGGACACTATAGTCACCAGACCAATTACAGCTTATTGTATTTGTTCTGGTTAGTAGAATCATTACCTTCAGGCTTTTTGCAGTAAACACAGTCTTTTCAGAGAAAATGCAGTGTTTACAATACAGCCTAGTGATAACTTCACTAGCCACTCCTCAAATGGCTACTAGAGTGTAATATGCAGTACTGCCATTCAGTGTCTCCACTCTCGGCATGGAGACACAAAACTTTCCTCATAGAGATGCATTGATTTAATGCATCTCTATGAGGAGATGCTGATTGGCCAGGGCTGTGTTTAGCTTGTGCTGGTTCTGCCCTTGATCTGCCTCCTTGACAAGCTCAGCCAATCCATGGGAAAGCATTGTGATTGGTTTAGAACACTACTTCTGATGTCTTCTGAAGTCTCCAAGATGACAAGCCATCTTTAGGAGAAACACTCATTACAGAAGTAGCAGATGAAATGTCAATATTTTTAGCCATTTTTAGATGTCAGTATAACGACTTCTACAGATCCTGAAATTAAAAAAAAACAAACAAAAAAACCCTGTATTAGTATATTTACCATGAACAGGAGAATTTTCCTCTTTTTCTGTGAATAACGTGTTGGTGACAGCTTCTCTCTTAAATTCACTGGTCCTCAGCAACACATCAAAGTGTAAATTAAGAGGGATTTCTACAAAACATCCAGAAAGAAAACATAAAACGCATGCATCGAGAGAGAAACTATTTCTCTTTAAACAGACATCCACCGTCCCAGCTTACCAGATGGTAACGATAAGACAGGGTGAAATGATGGGTCTATCTCGCAGATTGTTTGGCTCATCGATCCAAAACTTTCCTGCTTGTTACAACTAGTCCAGGTGGAGCTGCGGTAAGAGTTGAGTAGTGACTCATCGTACGGAAAAAAAGATTCAGTGGAGAGTATAGCCTGCAGCAAGATTATTACAAAAAAAAGCAAGCTTAATGTTTGTAAAAATACAATGTAACATGACATAAACACGAAGTAAACAGCCCACATGCCGCTGCATCTAGCTACAAAAACAGGTTAGAGTTCTAAGCACACTTATTTCTTTAACATTAAGACAATGCTTTCACACAGATCAAGACGTAAAGACAAATTATTACATAAAAATGTAAGGGACAACAACTAAATACCATTAGCACTCAAACTCCTCTATAATGCAGACAAGGACAAGCCAACAAACCAGTGCTTTCTATTTAAGAGTATGCTGCTGTAGTATTTAGGTGGTGCCTTTGAAGAGTTTGTAGAGTGCTAAGCACAAGGAGCTTGTGCTCCCCTCCACTTCATAAGCCCCCCCAGGTCCCCCCTCACTCTATGGGGGTCAATATGACCTCCATAGTTGCATAAGGGAGATTAAAATCTCCCCCATGCCCCAACTCGCTAGACCTGCTCACTGTAAAAAAACAACTATTGGCCCCCACCCCTAAATGACGGGTGGGGGCCCTAAAGTAAGATAAGGGGGGAGACCTAATGTCACCCCCCCATAGTGAGAATGAGGGAGGGGGGACCTACTGCCCCCCACCCCTGGGCGGCGGTGGGGCCATAGTGAGAATGGGGGTCACCGCCCCCACCCCTGGATGGGGGCCAGTGAGAATGGGCGCGGGTGGGGGGAATAATGAGGGGAGGGGACCTACTGCCCCTCGGCCCCCACCCCTGGGCGGCGGGTGGGGCCATGAAGATAATGAGGGGTCCTACTGTCCTCCCCTCACCCCGCCCCCACCCCTGGGCGGCGGGTGGGGCCCTGAAAATATTACACAGCGTGGAAAGTTCTTTTGAATTTTCCCACGCTAAAATGACACAGAGCACTGTGATTGGATGGCTTGAAATCCATCCAATCACAGTGTTTGTGTTATTTACAGCGTGGGAAATTCTTTGAATTTTCCCACGCTGTGTAAAATGACAAAGAGCACTCTGATTGGCTTAAACCCACCAATCAGAGTGTTCTTAGCCTAATTGCAGGGCGGGCAAGGCTTTATAAGCCTTCCCCCGCCCTGCGGAGCTCAGTCTGTGCGGAGCCCTCCATGGGTGAAGATGGATTATTTTTTTGCGCTCGGGTTTTTTCTTTTTCGTCTGGTTTTTTTTTTTTGCGCTCGGGATTTTTATTTTATTTTCAATTCGACGGTTATGATTGTTTTTTATTTGGCCTTTTTTGGGGCTGAAAATGAAGATTTGAGAAAAAAGAAGACGTTGAATGGTAAGTTTAATTTTATTTTACAGGTTAGTTATTTTATTCCCCCCTCACAATTTTTTAGGGTGAGGGGGGTAGGTAGGGACTTTTTTTTGGGTGGGGGGTGGGTGACTAGGGGCTTGGGGACCCCTAGTCACCTTGGTGGTGGTGGGGTAATTGACTTAGACCCCCACCCCACCCCCAGGGTGGGGGGGAGGGACAGTAGTTCCCCCCCCTCATTATCTTCATGGCCCCCACCCACCGCCCAGGGGTGGGGGCAGTAGGTCCCCCCCTCATTATTGCCCCCACCCGCCGCCCAGGGGTGGGGGCCGGGGCAGTAGGTCCCCCCCTCGTTCTCATTATGGCCCCCACCCGCCGCCCAGGGGTAGGGGCAGTAGGTTCCCCCCCCCTTCATTCTCACTATGGCCCCCACAGGCTGCTCACTGTTTACCAGACATGCCCCTACTCGCGGTATAGCGAGTAGGAGAATATCATTTACTAATACTAAGTAATTTTTACTTAGTATTAGTAAAGTTGGCTGAAATACCAATTTAGGTCTTTCAGCCTTTTAGTAGATAACTCCCTGATACCGTGGGAATTAGGGAGTTATCTACTAAGCGGCTGCAAGATGCAGCCACAGCAAGAATAGGATCGGAGTTTCATTCATTCGAATGAAATTCCGATCCGAATAACATGCCGAATTGCGTTCTAAAAGAAACGAACATACTGTTCTCATTAAGTTAGAACGCAATTCGGCAGTTTTGTGTAAAGTGACAGGAAGCATTGTGGGAACACAGAGGGAAGGTAAGGATCATGGGAAAATTGCTCTGACCAGCGGAAATGAAGCACACTTTGCTCCTCCCCTGGTCAGAGCTGGTCAAGCGGAGGAATCCTCCATAAGGCAAAGAGTCCCTACTTTGTCTTATGATTTTAAAGAAAACTAAAGAAGACAGGAAGAAAAGAAGAACAGATCCTGAGAGAGGGGGAGAAGAGGAAGAGATTGAGGAAAGGTAAGTTCAGCATGACAGTGCCGCTTTAAGCTTGTTTGGGTAGAGCCCCTTTCATCACCTGTTCCAGTACATCAATCAGGTCTTGTTAGAATTTAGGGTCTGTCTTATTTCCTTATTGTACAGCATTACGGAATATTTTGGAGCTATATAAATAATTATAATTTCTTACAATCATGGATTGCTAGAGATCAAAGTCAGCACACAGACCATAAAATAAGCACATTCACCAATCCAGATAAAGACAAATGTCAAGAGGGAACACAGCCAGCTACAGAGATAGCGGAGGAGGACATCAGTGGCTTGGACTGTTCCTTTAATCTATCCCTAATGATATTTGTTATACATACATAATTCTAAAAACGGCAGCACTATAAAATTAGTTTTTATTATTACTTACACATTAGAATTTTGTCCCTGCCACTAAACTGCTCCTGTAGATATGACTGAATAATTATTATTTTTTCTTCAAGTTGTAGAACGTAAAAGTCTATATTTACAAAAACAAGTAATACCATAAAATTGTAAATGGTTAATCGAATGACCAAAGGTATGTGTGGGCATGGGACATATTCTTGTGTAATAGAAAAAGTCTAAATAAAATGTAGGAAATGCTGTCCATGGTGATATGTCTGAGCGGAAAGCTAAAAGACCTAAAAGAATATATATATATGATGTGGAAGTCTTATCTATGATGTAAAAAAGGTTTTGTGTTTTTGTTTAAGTTACATTTTAAATACTGCTTTAAGGCCATTTGATCAGTCCCTTACAATTATGACCTTATTCCTGCATTACAGAGGAACTGCTACTACACTGGATAATCTACCATTTATTAAAATACTGAAAATTGCCAATAACTTGTGTCAACCTTTTTTTTTTTAAATTAAAGATTTAGCAAATTAAATCACAATCCAGTTGATTCACAATGCAGATAAAGAGAAACATTTTCCTCTTAGCATTGCTCTCTCTATGTTAATTGCCAAGCGCAAAGATTAGAACAATGATTGATCGTGCGCCTTCAGCCGACGGGGCGGAACGGAGGAGGAGAGAAGGAGGAGAGCTCTCCGCCCAGCGCTGGAAAAAGGTACGTTTTAACCCCCTTCTCCCTTCCAGAGCCGGGCGGTAGGGGAACCCTGAGGGTGGGGGCACCCTCAGGGCACTATAGTGCCAGGAAAACGAGTATGTTTTCCTGGCACTATAGTGGTCCTTTAAGTAAACAGAATCTTAACAATCCAGGGAAGTGGAAGTGTTTCTCTTTAAATTTTAGATTCCTAGACACACGGATTTGTCATCAAACGCAGATAACTTTGCCACATAGGATGTTTTAGTCAATTAAAAAATATACTTCAGAACTGTATTGTACAATACAAACCGCGTTACTCAGTTCACAATACAGCTTTATAGAATGCATGGTTAAGTGTTCCTTAATAAACAAAATAGATTTGGCAATTCTGAGGGGAGACACTATGGCATGGATAGTATTGGAGCACAAAGACTTCTCTACTACAAAGCTTGGCATTCACTTTTAGATTGTTATCATACCAACTTGGCTGGTGAACAATGCAAACTTGGCTTGTAGAGCTTCCTCTTCTGGAACGTCTTCAGAGGTCTGGTCCGAGCGGAGCTGCTGATGTTGCCTTTGAGAGAGGAAGAAGCCTTAACATGGTTCCTTTTTCTTCTTTTTATTTGCTGCTGATCACAGAATCCATTCAAGTACCGGGATCCCTTGTCATTCTGCCTCGGAGCTCTGAAAGGATACAATCTCTTGAGCTGTGGCAGGAGGAAGTGAGCTTCCATGAATCCATCTTCATTGCAGCAGTAAAAAACATGGATCAGCCCACTTTGGTGAATACCACACCACATGTACGTTCTCTATAATGAGAGTACTACTAGCCAGTCTACTTACCTGTAAGGAAACCCGTTGGATTTTGCAGTATCCGTAGGGGAGATGCCACCTGGGATTATAAGGCTGTTGACCATTTCTGTGAGCTGAGCACTCTGTAGGAGAGATAAAGCAATATAGAGACTGCCTCACTTTCTGACAAAAATCAACAGATTGTTAAAACAATAGATTCCCCCATAATAATCTCGGGTTTATCTAACTACCCCAAACACTGACTCACATTTCCAAAACCGCTCAGCCATCAGTTAAGTTTCAGCTCATTGAAGTTGCTGTAGGGGCAGGAGTGTCCAGGTGTTGTCGTACCTTCATTACATCCATCACATTGTTTTGCTACCACTCTATTACTGTTTCTCTAAATTGGTGATGCTCTAAGCCAATCAATGGTTACCCGCCTAAATCTTACTCATACAGTACTGGCAGACTTCAAGGAAGATGGGGGCAACTGGAGGACCATCTTAGGGTGGCTCTGTCACCTCAAACTTACCCTTTTCTTATTGTTTTCCCTACTCTTCGTCTGTCAGAATCTATTTAACCACTGAAAGTAAGATGGTTCCCAACAGGCTAAAGCTGATATGGGGCTGGGATTAATTCTTAAAAGTAAATGCATCACCTATACCAGTGATTCTTACATGTAGATCAGTCCCTAAAAATGGATCTCCATGTCACTGTAGTGTGTCACAGATTGCAGAGGCATTAGGCCCCAAGCAGCTGACCACAAACTGTTTACTGTAACCTATATACTATCCCCAGTGTAGTGGGGACACATTGTTTTTTGTATTTTGTGACATTTTGGGCAATAACATAACTGATTGCAGCCAATTCTCCAATCGAAAAATACGTCACCAAGCAAATGTTATGTCCCACAAAAAGTTTATACAAAGATCTAGAGTCAACTGTACTGAATCCACTGCCTGCTAACTACCAAACACTGGCAATATACAAATAATATTTCTTTAAGGCACAATATTCACTATGGAAGGAGAAAAAGAGTAGGAATTATTGTCTCATCAGGAGAGGGGAGAATAAATTCCAAAATGTCCACTGGAAGTCTTTGAACATAATGAGAAGTGGTAGTTTACCATTATTTAAACTGCGGGTGCAGTTATCCTCTTCCTGCTGCCGGAAGCCCATGTCAGCGCTGTACAATTGCGCATGCACAAGGATACAGTATTGAGGCCTATGGAGTAATCCGCAAGATCCTCCATAGAAATAGCTTAATTTCTCTACAGCCTCACTAGTGGCGCCTGGGGAAATGACAAGGCTTGACGGCAACAGCTCTGCTTAGTGTTAAGCTTTCTCAAAAGTAGGGAAAATACTGAGACAAAATAATACTTTGTTTCAGTATATTTTCAGACTGGGTTGGCATTTCAGTGAAATTTCAACACAGTCAGAATGAGTATATCATAAAGATTCTATTTTTATAAAATACTTATTTTGGAGAGGGTTGAGAGTACCACTTTAAAGACACATTACTGTGCTAGTTATTACTGTGGAGCATTGTTATACACTTACTCACACCAACAATATGGAGCTACTAAAAAAAGAGGAACACGAAGATAGAAACACAGATGAATGGAACAGTCCTGATTTCTGGGTTCTGTCCCATTGTCCTGAACCTGACTTGCTTGATGGTGGGTGGACCTGTGTATTATGGGCAACACCAGTGACACAACTTGCGTCACTAGCCCATGGAAGAACTCTCTCCCCCCCCCTTGTAAATTTTCTTATTGGCAAAGTTGGGAGTTAAGGGGACTGTTCCTCCTTAATAGGGACACTTGGCATGCATGCCAGTGGTTTTTACCTATGACAACCTATTTGCTATAGAAAAATAATTCAATCACAATTACATATATTTAAGACCTTGCCTGTGTAAAAAAAAAAAAAAAATAATATATATATATATATATGTATATCTTTCACTAGTTTACATCAATATATCCATGTGAAGAATAATAGGTTAATATTTGTGTTCTCAACAAGAACCAGAAGCATTGCCTAATATCAGCAAATACTACGATACATGTGTTTTAATACTCTTCACTGTGACCTTTTCAAAGTATGTTTACACAACATATCAGTAAAACCATATGCAGTATGCAATCACATGCAGTGGCTAAAGACTGAGCAGTCAAGAGTCAGGGCATACACATACCAAAAGGGGTCAGCAAGAAGTGGGCTGTTGAGATGCGGATGTGATGAAATGATGTGGGTGTAAGAAGAATTGAGAAGATGTCAGCTTTTCAATAAATCTGGGCTGTGACTTCCATATGCTTAAGTAGTAGTTTTGCTCATGTCTTTTCATGAATAAAACTATTTGTGACTGTGAAACTACTATTACCATGTCTTTAAAGTATGCAAACAGAAATGACCAGGAAATATTTATGGTCAGTTTCAGCATATAAATAAAACGTTAGCCATCTTAGTCTATCACAACCTTTCAAGCTGGATGGAATTTGACATTATCAAGGTGGGTGTACAATAGGTGCCAGGGAAAAATCTGGTGTTCATTAAACTGATCCTATGTGGTTTAACCAAAAAATGGGAGTGAGTAACCCATAGACTCTTTGCTACAGATCAGTGTAGTAGTTATGATGCAATCATGGTGCTTCCAGAGTCCCTTTAAGCACTTAAATAAACACTCCAGACTAGAGTTGACTTTTCCCCCCCTCTTACTCTTTAGTGGCCAATAAACTAAGCTGACAATAGTGGTTATGGTGGAAGGACTAATTCAAATATTGAAATTCTATCATTAATTCTTCTTCTAGTGAATTGCCCTGAATGTTGCGTTAAAAAAAAGTCCCAAACATTTTTGCATTCCACTAGTGTTCTTAAATCAAAAAAAGACTTAAGCACAGACAAACCAGGCATTTAGTTTTAGAAAACATCTTAAAAATCTGGAAAGCACCCTCTAATATGATGACACTGGAGTACGTAACACTACCACACAACATACAAAAATATATAAAAAAAAAAAAATCATGAAGTCACCATTTCACAAACTGGGCTGGTTTTAGGTTGGATTTTCTGAGAACAAAATATACAATAAACACACCAAAAAAAAATTGCATTAGTCAAAAAATATCTGTTTAACCATCTCTTTCCCGGTCTATTTAGGGAGCGGTATTAGCAGTAGAAAGAGGGAAGTGCTCATGCCATTGTACAGAACACTGGTGAGACCTCACTTGGAGTATTGTACACAGTACTGGAGACCGTATCTTCAGAAGGATATTGATACCTTAGAGAGGGTTCAGAGAAGGGCTACTAAACTGGTTCATGGATTGCGGGATAAAACTTACCAGGAAAGGTTAAAGGATCTTAACATGTATAGCTTGGAGGAAAGACGAGACAGGGGGGATATGATAGAAACATTTAAATATATAAAGGGAATCAACACAGTAAAGGAGGAGACTATATTTAAAAGAAGAAAAACTACCACAACAAGAGGACATAGTCTTAAATTAGAGGGGCAAAGGTTTAAAAATATATCAGGAACAAATATCAGGAAGTATTACTTTACTGAGAGGGTAGTGGATGCATGGAATAGCCTTCCAGCTAAAGTGGTAGAGGATAACACAGTAAAGGAGTTTAAGCATGCGTGGGATAGGCATAAGGCTATCCTAACTATAAGATAAGACTAGGGACTAATGAAAGTATTTAGAAAATTGGGCAGACTAGATGGGCCGAATGGTTCTTATCTGCCGTCACATTCTATGTTTCTATTTTCTCATGCGGAGGTTGAATTTTAAAAACTAAAATATATATTATTTTTTAAGGTGAGTTAGTAAAATGTTCAGTTTAACACATATATACCCCATGTTACGGTGTTATATGTTACAAAGAAAATCTGATTAGCCTTTTTTTCAGATGATTGACTTTTTGTTAATAAATAACATATCATTAACCAGCTCATTACACATGCATGAACACAAAACTCAAAGAGGCTATTGTATTCTACTCTAGGACTCTATGCTTAATCAATCCCAAAATGTTAGATTTTTAACCAGAGTCATGGTAATCATTAAACGGTCACCTAGGGCAGCGAGATATGGAGGGGCTAGTTAACAGACTCAGACTGTCCTGTCGATGCAAACTACGGATTCCAGTTACTGGGATCAATATTCCTTCTAATAACTTTTTTTGTGCAGTTCAGAGATAAAACTGTTAAGAGGGGCATCCTTATAGCAACCATATCCTGCAGATTAGAGAAAGAAAAGATAAAGACTGCAGGGTATATATCCAAATATCCACAATGGTAAAATGGCTACGTTTCCAAAGTACCAACATTTCATTGGCTCTAATTACTGCCTATAAAATAAAAATGTAGTATTGAAAATGTGATTAGTTAGTAATATCCTACCCGTCCGTATGCAATGATCAATTGTGTTTATTATTATTTGTACAAAGCAACAATCTATACTACAAGGGTTGGCTTCTCTACTTAAAGGGGCACTTTGGACCCCCAGAGCACTTTAGCTTGCTGAAATGCTTTATGTGTGAAGTGTCCTCTTTTTTGTTTTTCCATTTTCAATAGGAATATAAATGAACCTCATACCATCCCCATGGCATTCAAGCAGATAACAGGTCCTATTACTTCCTGGTTTGTTTAGATTAGCAGAGCCAAGTTCAAAGGAATACTATACTGTTAGGAGTACAAAACTGTATTTATAACACTGTAGTGTCCCTCTGCCCCCTTCTTAGTCATGAAAGGGTTAATCCCTTTCCTTCACTTAATGGTTTCCAGCACCTAGGCCCTTTGGTGCTGGATTGGGCTCTTCCTGCGACAAATAGGTTTACAAAAAGAGCATGTGCAGGCCGGATTATAGATTTCCCATAGGAAAGCTGATCTCAGCCAATCAGGGGCACTCTGCACTTCCAGAAACTGAGATTCAGAAGCCAGATGACGTATGGAGGCCTGAGGATTGGTGCTTTAGACACACTTTGGGGTTAAACCATTTGAGAATGGTTTAACCCCTTAAGATGCCCTCTTTTATATTAAGTTGTTATGGTGCCTATACTATACCTTTAAGGGTACAGGGGCACTTCACCAAGTTCATTTCAATTAGGTGAAGTGCTCTGGGTACCTATAAATGTCACTTTAAAAGGCAGGCAATTGCCTAGAGCACATTCCTTGCAAAGACTTTTCATTGAGTTGAATTGGGAAGTCTGTGATTGCAAAGCCCCAGAAAGTATGGGTTTGGGAAGAAGGGTAGGGCTTGCAAAGGCAGCAGACAAGAGAAACGCAGCTTTTGCAAGCTGTTTTTAGATATAGCCCAAAGAAAAACAAAAAATACAAACATGTTTTCATTTGGTGTATATCAACTAAGCAGTGTTTTGTTTTGCTTTTTTATTTAGGCAGTGGAGTGTCCCTTTAAATTAATGGGAAGGAGGCTTGGCTAAGTGGAAAGGAGAAGGGAAAAAAGGATTAAAAGAATTTCAATCTCCAGAAGGATTGCTGAGCTGCATTCCTAAAGGACTGACAAAGCACACAAGTTAAAAATGTCCAATTTTTTTTTTTTTATGTCAAAGTGATCAAGCAGTTACTTTGAATATTATTCATCAAGAAGAATCATGGGTAAATGTTTAAAGACAGTACTGTATTAAGTCTTCAATAATTATTATAATAACAGTTTCCTAAAAACACTGTGTGTCTTAAAATCCAAGTTTAACTTAAAGCTGGGAGGTCTACCTTTTGGCCACCCCTGTACAATGTCAGGTCTTTTGAAGATGAAACGACGACTCTAGTTCAAGACAGTGGAATTACCCTAGTGATATTCCTGTATGCAGCAAAGTAGAAGTTAATATTTAATTTCCTTTACACAGTCAGTATTGAGTTGGCACAGAGCTAAGTGTTCACCACTGAGGAGGTGAAATACCTTCACGGTCCTTTGCATTAAATAATTACGTGGCTCGCTGTGATTGTGCTATGCCAAAATTTGAGCTTCTAAATCCTTGGTGCTACTTTACCTGCTTTTCGATATTTCTCAGAAGCAGAGTTGGACTGCTTGGCGACATTTCTAAATCCTTTGCTGGAGATAGATTTGTTCCCACTGGGGCACTTTGTAACCTCCCCACAGGGCTTAATAAAGTGCTTGGATCTGGCAGACGTGGAGGCTGCCTGCAAATGCTTTTAGAGTTTTCTTCCAACTTTACGGTGACCTAGGAAACAATACAATTGTGGTTAAGCATTCTAACAAACATTGAATCTGTCCGTAGGAAAGCAGCAATCCATTTAAATCTCATAGAATACGGTCGCCCATAAAGCTTGCAATCAAGACTGGCGTCTTTAATGTGTCACTGGATAACAGTTGTTAGTTGCCATACTACTGATAAAAGCAGTGATTATTATTTGTAATTTTTTTTGACAGTGGCCCAAATTACACTCATAGCATTAGCTTGCGACCAATTCTTTAATAGTAAAAAAAAGTTCAGTGACTCATTCTTCAAATGCAATAGAATATATAACAAATATGCTCAAAATTCTTAGTTAGGCACTTTCTAGTATCAACGTCATCCACACTGCACTAGAGAGGGCACTGTCACTTTATGAAATTAATTTTGGGTAGTTGCCTTGAGTCCAAAGAATAGGATGCTCACGGTCTAACCCATAGGGACCCACTGACATAGCATAGAGACTCAATTAAAAATTCAAACCAGGAGGTAAGAATCACTGGATTAAATAACAGGAATAAATCCCTATACATCAGCAAACAACTCAAAGCAATGTCTGCATTATTGGTACAATAGATAGAAAAATTTTAATTTGTTCGGCAATAATTAATAGCTGATTAACTCAAAAATTTAAATTCCAAACACAAATGCCACGAGTTGAATGCTAGGTAGGTGGATAAAATCAGCTATTTCTACAGAAAATCAAACTAAAAGTAGAACATAAACACTAAAATATGTCCTTGTTTACGGTCACAGCTACAAAAATGTGATACAATAGAATGTAAAGCTCAATATAACCTTGACAAAACACCTGCATACAAAATTGGGCTGGTAAAAAATGCCAGATATTTTAAATGCTAGTAAATTGTGTGTGGTCTTTGTTTTAGCGAAAACAAGTCTGAACAGAACATTAAAGCTGTGTAATTGTTACATAGTATCTGCTATGCGGCTGGTGGAAAGACGTAATAAAATGCTTTGTGTAGGATTGATTAAGACTTCTACTTATTTCGTTATTTGTGTGAGCCACTACATTTTTAGAGGAGATTTATCAGATTATGAGATTTAGTGGATTATAAAGTCACACTAAAATATAAATGTTAGAGGAAGTAACAGTATATCACAATTATAAATTTATGCTGCTGCCAACAAAGACCTAGGCAGATGATCAAGTTTATTCACTGAACAAGCAACTGTGTAGAATACACGATGATATTGTAAATCCTGACCAAGTATTCAAATTGAAAAAAATACTTCATCTTGGCTTTTTTATGAGTTTGGTAACTTCCAAATACATTAATATTAGTCCTAGCTTTCTTGTCGGGAACACAGTTTAGTTTGGATGGAGCCCAAGATGCAGATAGATGCTGAAGGCAAAGAACCAAGTTCGCAGTACCAAAGGATAGGCGAGGAGAATAGTCGGGGGAGCAAAAGGTCAGGACAGGCGGCACAGGTTCATACAGGTAAGGAAGCATACCGGCAAGAGTCAAAATCAGGAACAGGAACAGGATAAACAGGAGAGTCTCTGAAGGTCTTTACACAATCAGGAGCACAGTACAACTCATCGAAGAGTGAAGGGTGTGTGAGACTTAAATAGGGAAAGTGGGTGGTCTTGTTAATTGAGGTTCCATCCTGGTCTCCACCTCCTGTACTAGGGATCGACCGATTATCGGTTTTACCGATATAATCGGCCGATATTCGGTATTCTCGGCAATATCGGTATCGGCCAATTCAGATACCGATATTGCCGATAATACCTCCTAGGACTGCCAGGCTCATTACAAGCCCGGCGGTCCTGGGGGGGGCAGAGAGCAAGCGCTTACTCACCTCCCAGCAGCTCCTCCAGCTCCCCAGTGTAACTCTCGCGAGACCCGCGGCCGTCAGAGCGTTGCCATGGATCACCATGGCAACGCTCCGCGCGACACGCTGGCCGCGAGAGTTACACTGGGGAGCTGGAGGAGCTGCTGGGAGGTGAGTAAGCGCTTGCTCTCCGCCCCCCCCCCCCAGCTCAGCCAATGCCACTGGACCACCAGGGACTGTCATATCCCCCCTCCCTGGCCAGGTAACAAGCAGGGAGGGGGGACAACAAAAATAAATAATAAAGTAAATATAATTTTTTTTTTTATAATTTAATAAAAAATGCCCCCTCACACACTGCATTATATACACATACACTACACAAACACACTGTGTATATAATGCAGTGTGTTTGTGTAGTGTGTGTATATAATGCAGTGTGTGTTTGTGTAGTGTGTGTATATAATGCAGTGTGTGTTTGTGTAGTGTGTGTATATAATGCAGTGTGTGTTTATAATGCAGTGTGTTTGTGTAGTGTGTGTATATAATGCAGTGTGTTTGTGTAGTGTGTTTATATAATTCGGTGTGTGTTTATGTAGTGTGTTTATATAATTCGGTGTGTGTTTATGTAGTGTGTTTGTGCAGTGTGTGTTTGTGTAGTGTGTATATAATGTAGTGTGTGTGTTTGTGTAGTGTGTTTATATAATGCAGTGTGTGTGTGTTTGTGTAGTGTGTTTAATGCAGTGTGTGTGTAGTGTGTGTATATAATGCAGTGTGTTTGTGTAGTGTGTTTATATAATGCACACTACACAAACACACTGCATTATATACACACACACTATACAAACACACACACTCTGCATTATATAAACACACTACATTCACTATACACACACAGTCTGCATTCATTATATACACACACACTTTGCATTTAGTATATACAGCATTCACTTTACGCACACTACCCACACACTACACAAACACTCTGCTTTCATTATATACACACTACACTAATACACACTGCATCCACTACACACACTAGACAAATACACACTGCATCCACTACACACACTAGACAAATACACACTGCATCCACTACACAAACACACATTGCATCCTCCACACACACTACACACACACAATGCATCCATAACACACACACTACACAAACACACACTGCATCCACTACACACACACTACACAAACACACACAGCTCCCCTGTCACACTGCATCCACTACACGTGGCATGTATATTTTGTGCATTTACCTTTAGAAATAGTTTTTATTTTGGTAAATGTACAGAATATCGGCAAATTATATCGGCTATCGGCCTGAAAGTTCACAGAATATCGGTATCGGCTCTGAAAAATCAATATCGGTCGATCCCTATCCTGTACCTTTAAAAGGCTCTGTGCCACGTGCCCTTTGATTCTCGTGGAGTTCTACCTTCTGTGTGGTCGTATGTGGAAGCAGCTGCGTTCTCACGAACAGACTTCTTTTCCTGCTGTGTTTGGGAGCTGGTGTCCATACGAACAGAGTTCTTCCTGTAGTATAGGTGAGTGGCGTTCGCACAAACAGAGATGCTGTTCGTGTGTATGGAGTCCTGCCTTCTGTGGCTGGTAAGTGCTGTCCGCACTTACATGAGCGGTCAGCATGGGTGGTTGAGCCGACCGCGCTGTCTGTGGGGCAGCGCTCCGACATGGCGTCCTCGTGGAGTGAGTGAGAGACACGGTGTGGGAGCAAGGACCTGATATCTTTACACTTCAGCAGTACTATGCATGCAACAGTAAAAATTTGATTTGATAATTTCATTTGCATGCCATACCTAATAAAGAAGTGGGTGGTGAGAGCACACTAATAAATATTGCACATTACCCTTAATTACATGTAGAATTGGTAAAAAAAGGGCTAATACTCAATCCAGGGTCCACAAACAGATCGACAGTTTATATATGCCTGTAGATTGAAACAGAAAAGGGGGGGGACACACGAAATAGTGTAATAACGTAGAAGCCACTTTTTTATTTTTTTGCCTTTTTCAAAAGTTCCTACTTCACCTTCCTTTCTCGCTGTTTAAATAGCCCAAATTTGGCGCCTTTCTTCCGTTGCGTCATGACGTCTCTATTTCCGCTTCCGGTGTCGTCGTAGCCGCATCCTGCATTCCGACGTCTTCAGCGAGAAAGGAAGGTGAAGTAGGAACTTTTGAAAAAGGCATCGCCGAAACGCGTCAAGTTCGAGTTACAGCAATAGTGGACTTTTCAGGTTTATTTTATTTGTTGTTTTTTAAAGCTACCTCATAGTGTATAAATAAATTTGTTTGTGAAATTTCCTGCATCCTGGAATATTTTTAAGCAACAAACAACTTGCAAGATCACAGAGGAAAAAACAGCTTGGTACCTGATGTCCACGTGCTTTCACCTGATTTACCTTCAGTCTGAGCCAGCTTTTAATAAGTGGCTCATGACCATGTGAGTGGAACCTTTGGAATTTTAAATTGTCAAGTGGCTCCTACGTTATTACACTATTTTGTGTCCCCTCCTTTTTCTGTTTCAATCTACAGGCATATATAAACTATCAATCTGTTTGTGGACCCTGGATTGAGTATTAGCACTTTTTTTTTTTTTACCAATTCTACATGTAATTAAGGGTAATGTGCAATATTTATTAGTGTGCTCTCACCACCCACTTCTTTTTTATTGTGTATGTTTTGATGTGATTAAGTGACTTCACATAGGTGTTGTAGTACCGTTTTCCTACTGTTTAATCTTATATCCTTTGTATTTGCATGCCATACCTGGCAGTGAATAGCCACCAGGCAGGATCAGTCATTAGGACTGTTAAAATGAACACTATAGGGTCTGGAACACAAACATGTTTAACTGGCTGTATAGTGTTAAAACCACCATCTAGCCCCACTGCGCCCCCCACCCCCCCAAATATAATTAAATCTTACTTTTGTTCCAGTCTGCTGCTGCTGGCTCTGCCCCTGATCTGCCTGCTCTGCTGACATCATCAGAAGTGGTGTTCTGAGCCAATCACAATGCTTTCACATAGGAAAATATTGGATTGGCTGAGCTTTTCAACTAGGTGGATCAGGGGCAGAGCCAGCACAAGTCAAACACACCCCTGGCCTATCAGCATCTCCTCATAGACATACACTGAATTAATGCATATCTATAAAGAATGTTCAGTGTTTCCATGCAGAGCTTGGAGATGCTGAATGTCAGTGCTGCACACTGTTCATTCTGCCCCAGGAATCACCTCTAGTAGCCATCTGAGGAGTGGCCAGTGGAGGTATCCCTATGCTGTAATGTAAACACTGCCTTTTCTCTGAAAAAAAAAACAGTGTTTAATGCAAATAGCCTGAAGGCAATGATTATACTAAGCAGAACAAATACAATAAGCTGTAGTTGTTCTGGTGACTATCGTGTCCCCTTTAACTAGGCAGACAATAGGACAGGAGCCACTAGGCAGCAGTGGCCATTAACCACAAATCTACTCCATTAGGTCTTTGGCTTATCTTGTTACATTAGGTTTGTTGAATAATCTTCAAATTTCATTCTGTAAACACTGTGGCATTGCTTGTAGATCCAAACAACGAATCATGTTTGTCACCCCTGCCATGGCTTATCATACACTTTGTAATAAAGATGACAATTTATACATACCGGTTGGTTTTTTTTGTTGTTTTTTTTATTAACAGACATGGTTTGGTCATAGATGATGATTGAGTGTACACAATGTATATGATCCACTTTCATTTTGAAGTATTTTTGTGATTATCTTCATATTTTATCCAGTTATTCTATATCTGAAACAAGTCAGGCTATATACAATTTACGAATTCAAAACCCATCTATAGTCACCCTTAATGATAAATAGAGATATAACAAGGTATTTCATGGTGTTTTTTTCTCTAGATGGAAGAATTTAACACACTATAAATATTTCTATATTTATTTTAAAATTTTTGCATAGAATCCAAGATTATCTGGGAGGATTTCTCATGAAGGGTAATAAGGGAAAACCCAGCAGGAGATGTGATTACCATTTAAGCTACAAGAAGGCACACCTAAATATCAAAGTGGGAGTTTACTCTTCGGAAACATTGGCAAGAAGAAGCTGACTCCTATCACATCACATGTTCTTCAGGCTAAACATTAAGTATCGCCAGAGAAAATAATGTACCTTTGTGTTGCGTATCTGACTGTGAATATCAGCAAGTTGCTGAATTTTGTATTCCAGCTCGGAAATCTGAGCCTGTAGCCAGACCCAGCGACTCCCAATGCTTGCTCTAATTGAAAGCCAGTTCCACTCAGAATTGCTGTGAACAGACACAGAAGAAATCAAGTTACTTTTAACACTGCAAACTCTTTCAGGTATTGGTAAAATACTAGGACATTGTTTATCAAGAAGAAGGAAAAAAAGAATCTAACAATAAACAATACAAAAAAAAAAAAAAAAAAACTCGAAGAGCACACAAATATATAATATCATCAATATAACTGAAAGTGCCTTCTATTATATTCTGGTATAATTAAATTGGATGAGTGTGCATGTTTTTCTTACTACAGTCTGAGAGCACTGAGTGCACGGTTTTCCAGTACAGAGGACGTGAGTCATTATTTCAGTAACACACACACACACAAAGACAAACTTGCAAAAACTACTGAAACAAAAGAGCACCAAAACAAGTTTGCTGCACCAAACGTAAATTAAAGTACAACAGTCATCAATTCTTCACTTCTTGTTTATGACATTTGATGGGACTCTATAGGCACCCAGACCTTTTCATCTCAAAGAAGTGGTCTGGGTGGCATTTCACTGTCATTTTAACCCTGCAACTGAAAACACTGCCGTTTTGCTAGAGGTGCTTCCACAGCTAAAATAGAGCTAAACACGGTTTTAGCACAAATGACTCATTGAGAGCATTAGATTGGTGCAGCAAGGAATTTTGCAGCGCATGTGCATTATCTTTCCAATGCTTCCCTATTGGGAAGCATTGGATTGGATGAGATCATCAGATGAGATCATCAACATTGGTGATCTCAGCCATAGAGCAGGTGAACACCTAGCTAGGTTGTGAAACACTAAAGCATTATAAAAACATGGCAACTAAAAATGTGTTATAAGGCGCTTAAAAATGTGTTCTACTGTATCTCTTCTTGCGGAGATAAAGTAAACCTAGTTTTTATTTAGCTTTGAATATAAATATCAACTTTTAAGTTCTAACAAAAGACCTTCATCAGGACATAATTGTTCCAATCAAAGATTTTTGATCAATGACTAAAGTCACCTGTGACCAGGTGGAAGCCTGACAACTGAATTTCACTCAAGTTTGGAGCCCTTGGAGCTGATTGCGGCCATGGGCCATATCAAAACATACTGAGATCCCTAGCAGTATAATTTGTTCTCATGCCTCCTGTTCCCCACTTTGGACTGATTGAGGAGTCCTGGGCCCCACAATGGAGGCTGTTGGCTGTTTGACGGTCTGCTACTATATGTGTGACACAATGGCAGGCCAAAACCTGGAGGATGTTAAGGCAAGAACATTTGACAAAAGGTGTGAGAAGTCCTGGGTAAGATCACGCCAACGAGCACCACTGAAATCATCTGGTTATTACATTATGGCTGAAGATCAGCTACAGAAAGGCCAGAGACCTTGGGGATCTGCTTCTTTCATCAACTCTGTCTAGCTGTTATGCCAATTTACAGAGAGCCAGCTGGGGTTACCAGCCATTACACTGCCCATACCCAAGGAAAGTTACTAACCGACAAAGTCAAAGATTTTATTAAAGACCCGGAGGCTCCTATTATGCTGCACTCGTTCTTTAATTCCCTCAGCAGCAAGGAAACATTATTTGAAAAAAAATAAATTTGAAACAGGTATAAACATCATAGTGACAATGTCCGCCTAGTAACATGACTATCCAATCAGTGACCTCCTTCTCCTATAGTAGGCGGAGCGTCGATGACCACTTCCTCTTTCTTTGCTGCTTGCCCTCCGATAAGTACAACTCTCACAGCTCCTGGCTGAGAGATTCAATATTTGTTATTATATGCTAACTATTTCTGTATACATATCACTTTACATTTTTAAAAATTAAGCTTATACTTTATTTTATAAACTTACTGTTACATTTATTATTTGAACTATGGTTATATGCCTTTAAGATTATATTTTCAGTTTGTATTGTGAATTTAAAAACCTAGAGTGTATTTGTTCTCTAGGCTTTAGTTCTCCCTGCTACTCGTTTTAGGCTTATTACTCCCCAGGACTCTGCAAGTTCTGGGGAGGTTTCTCCACATGGTGTCCAGTTTCAGTGGCACACTGCCGATGTCGCGGCTGTTGGAACCGCCCTCTCAGCTGCGCATGCGCATCCTGTCAGGGACGCCTCTGGCGGCCATTTTGCATTCCGGCTGCTTTGCCCGCGCTCGGTTTAACGGCCCGAGCGTGAACTCAGCCGCATCCACCTAGCCCCATATAAGAGCCCCATAAGCACCTCGGCTCCTACCAGAAGCCTTCAGAAGCCGCGGCAGCCATCTTTTCGATGTCTGTTTTGCGGCGGACATTTTCTTCTGCGTTTTTGCGCCCATTTCCCCCTGACACGCCCACTGCGCCTCCCGTCGGAGTTGGTGTCCAGTTTCAGTGGCGGACGGTTCCCCCTTTCTCCTGCTTCCCCTTGTTTTTTGATAAGTGACTGTGAGTAACAGTATTTGCCATTCTATTCTTGCAGAATTGTATGTTAGTATTTTGTCTGGGTTACTTAACCCTGCTCTACCATCATTTGCTAATAAATTCACCACTAGCAATTTTCTGTCTGTTCTTTCAATTACCATAATGCAATCATCTAATGATTTGCCTGGTCCCTTTGGGACACAAGCTGAACCCCAAACTTCATTGGGTTTCCCCCCCCTTTAGTTTCTGGGGATGAGGAGGATTTCCCAGCATCTGAGGAAATCAAAGCTATCTTTGACACTAATGTGTCCAAGTCTGTATCTAAAGCCCTGGCATCCGCCATGGACATTATGTCCTCCTCTATTTCAAAATATTTTACACAAGTATTAATGCAGGCCCAATAAATGGTACCTCCGGCTCCCGGCATCAGTAGACAGCCCGCGAGGGAGCAGTGCAAAGAGGTTAGAGCTCCCTCGCCGCGTCTGATTAGCACACAGCCACCCGCCGAAGTGAAGCCACACTGGACCCCAGGGACAGATCCACACCAGCTCTCTAGGTAGGGAGGCTGGGTGGACATTTAATATTAATAATTTGTGTGTATATGTGTGTGTCAGTAAGTATATGTGTGTGTGTGTGTGTGTCTGTAAGTATATGTGTGTGTGTCTGTAAGTATGTGTGTGTCAATAAGTAGATATGTGTGTGTCTGTAAGTATAAATGTGTGTGTCTGTAAGTATATATGTGTGTGTGTGTGTCTGTAAGTATATGTGTGTGTGTCTAAGTATATGTGTGTGTGTGTGTCTGTAAGTGTATGTGTGTTTGTCTCTGTATGTGTTTGTGTCTGTATCTGTTAGTGTATGTGTGTCTGTGTATGTGTGAGAGTCTGTAAGTGCATGTGTGAGTATGTGTATGTTTGTGTGTATGTGTTTCTATGTTACTGTGTGTGTCTGTAAGTGTATGTGTGAGTGTTTGTGACTGTGTGTCTGTAAATGTATGTGTGTGTGTGTGTGTGTGTGTGTGTGTGTTTGTCTGTGAGCAGAGTACTTGTAAAAAGAAGTAAGAAGGTGCAGAGTACTTGTAGAATAAGAGAAAGAAGGTGTAGAGAAAGAAAGAAAAGGAAAAGGAGAGAATTGTTGTTGACTAATAATAGTAAGCGGGCTACCTAGCTCAGCCTGCCTACTAGGCATTGTTATAAGGAAGGTTAAAAAATAGAAAAAAGGAAGAAAAAAAAAAAGGTGGGGAGGGGAATTGAGGAGGGAGAGGAGGGGAGCTGATGCACAGATGAGAAATCATTTTATGAGCAAACAGAGAAGTCTTCTGAATATCACCGAAAGAGGAGACCTTCGTTTGTTCACAGCATCAACCTCAAGGATCTCATTAATCACTAGTAAAGGTAATTTCAATCTACTTTATTGCTTCCTCATTAAACTTTATAAAGTTAAAAACATTATAAACATGCATAAAGTAGAAATAAAAAGATAAATGTACGTACATTTATTTATTTATTTTTTTAAACACCCTCCTTTCTAAAAAATATTCTGCGCTTGCGCGAAATCTGGTGGGCGGTAAGGAAATTTTTCCATCAAGAAAGATGCATTAGTGGGCGGTAAGTGGAAAAAGGTTGACTACCACTGGTTTAGACTTTTCCCTTTATAATTGCCAAGACAAAGTCTTGGATATTTTAGGTCCAGCAACCAAATTTTTTGAAGCCGTGGAGGAATCCTTGTCTCAAGACGAAGCCTTAGATCGCCTCACTATTAGAGGTTGGATTCAGAGAGTGATATGCCTCATAGGCAATGCCAATACGGCTCTTGCTACAGAGCGCATAAATCTATCTTAATTAAAATAGAACCCAAACGTGTAAATATGGTAAATTACTGAGCCAGGAGCCCAAGCAAAAGGGTACCTTTTTGGAGAGTCCTTCGTAAAAGACCTGGGCTCCTATGTACAGAAATTCACGGCCTTAGACAAGGCACAATCATATGTAAAACGGTGTTCCACCCAAAGGTTTTTGTTGGGGCCGGCAGAGCAAGGGGCCGTCTGTCCGGCAGAGTCAATAGAGGTTCGTGCCCGAACCGAGGCTCCTATATGGGGAGACCCCCCTTTCCCGACCAAAGGTCCGCTCCTACCTTCTTCCCCCAACAAGGCAGACCTTGGGTGTCGAGAGGTAAGCTACCTTTCTCAATTTTCTTCACATGTGACAATAGGGGGCAGACTCAAATTTTTCCCCATGTCTGGGCTCTCATTACATCAGATGCCTGGACACTCAGGGCAGTCGACAGGTATTCAATAGACTTTGTATCCCTGCCTATCCAACGGTCCCCACCCAGGGAGATTGTTTTTTCCCCACAAGACACGACCCTCGTCTCCGAGGAAGTTCGAGACTTGGCACTCAAAAGGTGCTATTCAAGAAATCCCGATGCATACCCCGGGTTTTGTGAGCAATCTATTTATTGTCCCCCAAAAAGGGGGTGGATCCCGCCTAGTTATCAATCTCAAACACTTAAACAACCACGTAACCTACCATAACTTCAAGATGGAAGGCATTCATTGCCTACGAGATTTGCTCCAACCAGCAGACTGGATGGTCAAACTCGACCTAAGAGACGCTTACCTCACGGTACCCATTGCGCAGGTGCACCAAAACTTCCTGCAATTCACATGGCAAGGAAGTAAATGGCGGTTCCGCTGCCTTCCCTCTTCTGCACCTTGGTGTTTCACCAAGCTCATGAAGCCCGTCATCGCTCTCTTACGCAGTCGGGGGATTCGTCTAATCATATACTTAGACGACATCCTGCTGTTATCCCAGTCAGTATTACTACTTCACATTCACCTCGGTTGGACCACAACCTTGCTACAGAATTTGGGCTTCATTATAAATTGGGAAAAGTCCATCAACAAATACAGCTCCTAGGACTCCTAGGAAATATCAAGAAAGAGATAAGACGAGTTCTTGCATCTCCGCAAATTTCTCTCAAACATCTGGCCCGTGTGATCGGGCTCCTAGCAGCCTCCATACAGGCCATATTTCCGGGCCCCCTTCATTACAGAGCCCTCCAGCGCCTACAGGTGTCATACCTCAGAGGCGATGCCTCAAATGAGGATGCTCTGACTCTAGACGCAGAAGCGAAAAAAGAACTCCACTGGTGGCTCCTACACATGGAGGCGTGGAATGGCAGAGCCATCTTCGGCTCGGCCCTAGATGTAGTCATAGAGTCAGACGCGAGCTCTTACGGTTGGGGTGCGCGCTGCAGAGATATCTCCACAGGCGGACGATGGTCGGAAGCAGAATCCACGCTGCATATAAATTGCCTAGAACTCCTAGCAGGGTCCTTTGCGATTCGCAACCTCTCCCCGACACTGTCCCAGTGTTCAATCTTATTGAAGATGGACAACATATCGGCTGTCCGTTATATCAACCACCTCGGTGGCACGAGATCCAAAATTCTAGCGAATTTGGCTCGAGACTTTTGGCAGTTTTGTCTGCAACACAACATGGCTGTCAAGGCGGCATATTTGCCAGGGTTGTCCAACACTACGGCAGATTGGTACTCCCGCCACCTGCGGGATTCCAGTGACTGGCACCTCAATCCCCAAATCTTCCAGCGCATTTGGGATCTGTGGGGTCCTCTGGCAATAGACTTATTTTCCTCTCGCTTGAATACCCAACTTCCGACCTTCTTCAGTTGGAGGCCAGACCCTACGGCTTCGGCTATGAATGCATTCTCCCAAAACTGGTCAACCACCAGGAACTATGCATTCCCTCCATTTGCCCTCATCCCTCGTTGCCTCCTCCATCTACAGCGCCAATTGGGCTGCATGGTTATAATAACCCCCCTATGACCTGCGCTGCCCTGGTTCCCTCCTCTACTGGAGATGGCTATAGATAACACGCGGCTCCTCCCGGATTCCCAATCTCTCCTACGGGACCCCGATGGGACCCTACACCCCCTGATCCTTCGGGGTCTCCTCCACCTCATGGCGTGGCTGATTTCCGGGGACCCCGGATAGTCACCAGAACAACTACAGCTTATTGTATTTGTTCTGATGAGTATAATCATTCCCTTCAGGCTTTTTGCAGTAAACACTGTCTTTTCAGAGTAAATGCAGTGTTTACATTACAGCCTAGGGATATCTCCACTGGTCATTCCTCATAGGGCTACTAGAGGTGCTTCCTGGGGCAGTGCTGCACACTGCAAACTAATCTATTGCTATTTGTTTTTATTTTTGTGTATATTATTTCATGAGGGAATGGTGTTTATGTGTACCATCAATTCTTTTCTGTATTTTGGAAATGCTTTTTCTAAGCAGGTTCTAATCTTATTGTACTAAGGATATGGGATCTAAGAGAAGATAAATGGCAGTGGAACGTCTAGGGTGTTTCTAGAAAGTATAAGTATGTCTTCAAAGAAGCACAAACCAGATAAATTGACATGAGACTGCTTTTTGATACGGTTATTTTTGGTTTTGTATTTTATTGTTTATGCGATTATTGATGTATTTATATGCTAAAATGTGAATTGAAGATTTTAAATTATTTATAATAAAGATTATATTTTATACAACAATGTATAAATATACTTAAATTATGGGGGTTTTTTTATTTCTTTTTTTTACATACCATTGTATCTCGTATTAATCTGTTTTTAACTCCCTTTTTTATATTTGAGATATGTCTAGAAAGAACAGGTGTGGTACTAACTGCAAACCCACACAGGAAATTAATTCCAAGAAAACTGCGATCCAAGTATAATTTTTTTGTGGTTAGGCATTTGTATGAAACAAAATAGATTACACATCTGTGTATTACACAAATAACTAAATATAGATCAGGTTTATAATGTAAAACCACCAAAACATTTTTACTGTCAAAAATGCTTGAAACGGGTCTAATCACCAAACAGTTTTTAAATTGTGTGAAAACGTACTAGAGCTGTTAAAATGCCTTCCTGGTCCAAAATTTTCCTTGTGATAGAAAGAAAAATAAAGTGTGTGTAATATGACCCTGCATGACATAATCGGAGCATATTTGCCACACTGATTGTCATAATGCAGTAAAGAAGTGCTATTCTCATGAATTGACAAAAAAAAAACCCCCATCATTTCATTCAGTGCACTTAAAATACCGTCACCAATGATAACTTCTTAATCAAAAAATACACAACCCCAAAAAAGTACAAAGATAACTCATATTTTCAGCAGGCTTGAGCTAGATGGGGTAAGGATTAAACATAAACGTGTTTTGTGCACTTGCATGTACGTTTCAAGATGAATAATATAAATAAATTAAATGATGCTTTTATGTAGATTCAGACATAGAGGTGTTGTCTGTTCCATTGGATGTCTGCTCGTGGAAGCAGTGGACCACCCCAAGTGCAACACCTTGTTCAACTGGGAGCGGAGACAAGCCAGTTATAGGAGTGGAGCAACTGACAGAGCATTTCAATGTTTATGTTCATTTGATTTATTTATCTGTCTATCTATCCTCTCCTGATCTCTCTCTGTCCCTCTTGACTAGTGTCTCTGACTGACTCTCTGCTATTTCTAACTGGATGGCTGCCAACTTCCTTAAACGCAACTTGACGAAAAACTGAAATTCTGGTCTTTCCTCACTCAAGTGTTGCTACTCCTGTGTGTCTCCCTCCAAGTCAACGGTGCTACCATCAGCTCCACCACACAGGCCTGCTACCTAGGTGTTCTCTTTGACTCGGACCTCTCCTTCATGCCTAATGTTCAGTCTATCGCCAAATCCTGCCGCTTCCATCTCCCTAATGCCAGATGTGACTAAGGTGCTGGTCCATTCCTCTGTCCTTTCTCGCCTTGACTATTGTAATCCGCTTCTCAGTGGTCTTACGTGCTCCCAACCTGCACCGTTACAGTCCTTAATGAATGCGGCGGCAAGGCTCATCTTCCTGTCCGCCCGTACCTCCCACACCTCGCCCTTCTGTCAGTCCCTACATTGGCTTCCTGTAAGATATAGGGCTCAATTTAAAACTCTGGTTCTTGCTTTCAAATCTCTACATAATGCTGTTCCCACCGATCTATCCTCTGTAATACACACACAAGTATGACAAGTTCCAGTGTTGTTAGTGTTGCTTAGATTAATAAAGTTTTTTGCATGCGTTCCACGGTGGAACGCACATGCACGTCGGACGCCGGTGAATGGTATGTAATCACGCCGGCGCCCGCGCGCATGCGCAATTGCACAGAAAGAACGCCGCCCGGCATATTTAAATGCTGGTTAGAGAAGATTATGGATCGTTCCTGAGGAAGTCTGATTAAGCACAGACGAAACGCGTTGAGCAAACCCGGGACTTGGATCAGCTGATGGTGAACTGTTTCATCTGTCTTTGCTACAGCCTCTACACAGACGCCCACAGACTGCTAAGACCGGGAGATTTAGCCTATTATAGGCATCAACACTTTAGCACATATTGATTTTATCAATTGTGCCACACTGTTTGTGAGTGTTTTTATTTATATATTTTTTATCATTTTGGATTAAAAGTTTGCACTATGGTGTTTTCTCTTTTTATATCTTTTATGTGAATATCCTCATCTGCTCGTTGGAGGGTAACTATATTCAGTATATATATCTGGTGATAAGTGGCGCCCTATTTCTGTATAGTATATACAGCTCTGTTTTTTGCACATTTGGTTAAGGGATACAGGGAGTGCATCCCCATATATAGTGGCTTGCCTGCACTTCCTAAACGGTCAGTTCTTTTCACCATCCACTCTCTGTTTTGTGTATCTGTTATACTGTTTCTAGTATAATTTCTGCACTCCTAAGGATATTGAGAGACTGGTCCGTATATTTTGAGAACCTGATTGTATTTATTTAAGAATATTATAAATATGGCTTACTGTAGATTAATGAATACTACTATTAGAGAAGCAAGAAATAAAAAATTTGAAAATTTGTTCTCTAGGAAAGAGATAAGCCAAGTCCCAAATAAGACTTTCTTGTTTCAGAGATTAGAAAGACTTGCTGAAAAAGAAGTCAAAAAATGGTGGGAGATAAAATATCTACAACAGTATATCCAACTTGGGATTATACCAAGAGGATTAAGGTTAGAAAAGCAACCCGCTTTTGGTAAAGAAAATGAGAATTTCATGTCAGAATGGAATAAAACTCTTGATAAATGCTCCTTGCAATTAATGGAAATTTTGGTTAAATACCAACAAGAAGCAATGAGTCAAGTAGAAAATGAGTTAAAACAGATTGAAACTGAAATTAATGTAGAATATAATGAGGAACAAATTAAGGAAAATACTATACAACTTAATGAAAAAATTGAGAAATTAGAAGAGAAAATTGTAATTACAAAAGAAGGCAAACTAAATAGAGATAAAGATGATTATAAAAATGGTAAACAAAGAAATTGGAAAAATAAGACCTATAAGTTTAATAAATTTTATACAGAAAGAAAACCATTTTTTAATAAGAAAGGAGAGAGAAATGAAATTAATAAATATGATAATATAAAGTTCATCCCTAAAGAACAGAAAAGAGAACAGAAAAGGGATGAAACGAGTGTCAGACGAAAAGAATATTCGACATATACTGAAAAATATGATTCAAGGCGAAATTTTAGAAATAGCCCTACCCAAAAGAGAGATTTTTTAGGGAAAGGCATACGGGACAAAGGCCAGACAATGTGGAAAGAAAAAGAAAATGTATGGTCTCACAAGAATCGTTTTGCTCCCCTTCAGAACACCCATACCCCCACAAAGAAAAGAAAGCTTTTGGGAGCAATAGGAGGAATAGAGGAATTAGAGGAGGACAAAATATCAGATTAAATAAAGATACAGGCGATGAGGGCATTTTTAATCTTTCTAGTCAAATTTTAAGTAAAGAACAGTTGAGATTATTAAATAAAGGGTTAAAATTTGCCCCACAAAGAGGTCCCAATTCATTTGAATTATTTATAGATTCTCAGAAGTTTTTAAGAAAGTTGACTTTAAAACGTTTCTCGAAAAAAAGAAAAAAAATAGTGATATGGGAAGTTTGGGAATAACTAATATAGGAAAAAACATAGAATCTAATCAAGATGATAATCTAATAACACATACAAATTTGAAACATAGATCTAAATTTTTTCCCACGTGGGAAAAAGGAGACTTTATACCAGTTTTTAGTAGTATGATCTCATCAGAATTCGAAAAATTAACGAGAAATGATGGGAAAGAAAATCTTTCTAAAAAAGAAAAAATGGCATTGAAACAATTAAAAAATGACCCCAATCTAGTAATCAAACAGGCCGATAAAGGGGGCGGCATAGTTATATTAAATCGAGAAGATTATATGCAAGAATCTATGCGAATTCTGGGAGATAATACTACATATAAGATTTTAAATGGAAATCCTATAGAAAATTTTAAAAAACAGTTTTTGGAATTATTAAATAAAGGTTTCGAAAATAAAGTAATAAATAAAGATGAATTAGATTACCTATTTGTAAAATCTCCAAGAATGGCAGTTTTTTATTATCTGCCAAAGATCCACAAGAGATTGGAAAATCCCCCTGGAAGGCCAATAATCAGTGGTATTGGATCTTTAACCAGTAATATTTCTCAATATGTTGATTTTTTTCTGCAACAGTTTGTCAATAAAACTCCGTCTTATGTTAAAGACTCTGCACAAATAATATCAGAACTTGAGAATTTTGATTGGCAAAATGATTTTTTATGGGCAACAGTTGATGTGGCCTCCTTGTATACGGTTATTGATCATTCAAAAGGTATACAAGCAGTAAAAGAAGTTCTTTATGAAAATCAAAGTATGAACAATCTACAAGCAGATTTTATATTGGACGCCACTGAATTTATTCTCTATCACAACTTTTTTTGGTTTGATGATAAATATTATCTCCAAACTTGTGGTACAGCCATGGGCACCAGGTTTGCGCCGAGTTACGCAAACATTTTTGTCGCGAATTGGGAAATGAAGAACATTTGGAAAAATAATCCCTTCGGCGCAAACCTGGTGCTATGGAGACGTTATATAGATGATGTTCTTATTATATGGAAGGGACCAAAAACTCTTTCAGAAGATTTTTTAAAATATATTAATTCTAATTCTTATAATCTGGTTTTTACAGCAGAAATTAACTCATTGAATATTAATTTTTTAGATTTAACTTTTTTTATTAAGGACGGACGAGTACAAAGTAAAGCTTTTTTTAAACCCACTGATGGTAACAGTTTTATTGAGTTTTCCAGTTGCCATCACCCAAATTGGCTTAAAAATATACCCAAAGGACAACAAATGAGAATATATAGGAATTGTACTGAAAAAGGTGACTTTGAAAATCAAGTAGGGATTTTAAATAAGAAATTTAAAAACAGGAATTATCCGACAAACTTGGTTTATGAATCACAAAAACAAGTAGAAAAATATAATAGGAAGGATCTCTTAAAAGGAAAAAAGAAGAAAGAAGGAAATAAAGATTTTAATACAGCCTTCATAACGAAATATAATAACAAGGCACACCAAATTGAAAAAATAATCATGAAATACTGGCCTATTTTAAACCAAGATGAATTTTTAAAAAATGTTTTACCTAAAAAGCCTCGGATAATATATAAAAAACCTGAGAATTTAAAATCTATTTTAGCTCCTAGTGTTCTATCAGGGATTAAGAGCAATAGTGAATTAGATAACTCTAAAAGCAATTTTTTGAGAGAAAAACCAAAAGGATTTTATAAGTGCGGCAGATGCAGCACTTGTAAATACCAATCGTATAAAACACTTGATTTTAAGAGCACCATTACAGGGGAGTCTTTTATTATTAAACATTTTATAAATTGTCAAAGTAAACATGTTATCTATCTGCTACAGTGTAAATGTGGCATACAATATATAGGCCGCACAATAAGAACATTGCACATAAGATTGTTGGAACATTTTGGTGGAATTAGAAGAAAAAGTATAAAACATAGTGTACCAAGACACTGTAATAACTGTAAAGATTTTAAAATAGAAATTTTTTGCTGTATCGGTATTGACCGGGTCAGCCCCCATTGGAGAGGGGGAGACATAGAAAAACGTCTGGCTATGAAAGAAACAGAATGGATTTATAAATTAAAAACTTCTGTTCCAGACGGTCTTAATACAGATCTGGATATTTTAGTGTTTATGGACTAATTCCACCAAGATGACATGTTTTTACACTTATTCTGATTTTAATGGCACATTGGTCTATATTTGATTATATATATTTTATATTTTATATTGATTATATGATTGATTGGAGAATTATTAACTTGTTTCCTCTCTTTTTTATTCCTTTTTTTTTTCTCTTTATTGTATATTCGTCCCCAATTGAGTTATTTTTCAATTTGAATACTTTTTAGTATTTTTAATATTCTCAACAGAATTTTGTTGCTTTGGAGAGCCATATTAGTTTAAAACAATTCTAAACTGTTTAAAACTATGGTATTTTATGATGATGTTTTTATCATTATGTATTTTTATAATCATGCCCTTGTAAAATTAGGCTCTGTTCAAAATTATGTCCTGTTTAAAATTATGCTCTGTCTAAAATAATGGTTTGCCTGAACTATGTTAGTTTAAAATATCTATATATCATTATTATTACTGTTGCATATATATGAATTGAAATTATCTTGATTTAATGTAATATGTTGGATTCACATATTATTTTTACATGCATACAAGCACATATATACATATATATATATATATCTCTTCTTTTTCATTTTATCCATTGTTGTATATATTCATTTTTATATTTATGTTATATACATTCACATCATATGTTATTTTTGAATCTTCTCTATATATGCATTCAACATATAATAGCATCGGAACACACTGGTTTCGTTCTTGACAAGTTCCAGTTTTGTTAGTGTTGCTTAGATTAATAAAGTTTTTTGCATGCGTTCCACGGTGGAACGCACATGCACGTCGGACGCCGGCGAATGGTATGTCATCACGCCGGCGCCCGCGCGCATGCGCAATTGCACAGAAAGAACGCCGCCCGGCATATTTAAATGCCGGTTAGAGAAGATTATGGATCGCTCCTGAGGAAGTCTGATTAAGCACAGACGAAACGCGTTGAGCAAACCTGGGACTTGGATCAGCTGATGGTGAACTGTTTCATCTGTCTTTGCTACAGCCTCTACACAGACGCCCACAGACTGCTAAGACCGGGAGATTTAGCCTATTATAGGCATCAGCACTTTAGCACATATTGATTTTATCAATTGTGCCACACTGTTTGTGAGTGTTTTTATTTATATATTTTTTTATCATTTTGGATTAAAAGTTTGCACTATGATGTTTTCTCTTTTTATATCTTTTATGTGAATATCCTCATCTGCTCGTTGGAGGGTAACTATATTCAGTATATATATCTGGTGATAAGTGGCGCCCTATTTCTGTATAGTATATACAGCTCTGTTTTTTGCAAATCTCTACATAATGCTGTTCCCACCGATCTATCCTCTGTAATACACACACAAGTATGTCCCATCTAGGCCCTTACGCTCTGCTGAAGACTTACGTCTATCTTCTGTCCGTACTCTCACCTCTGATGCTCGCCTTCAAGATTTCTCGAGGGCTGCACTGTTCCTGTGGAACTCGCTTCCCTCCTCCGTAGATGCTCACCCAGTCTCCACTCCTTCAAAAAAATCATTAAAAACCCACTTCTTCATAAAAACGTATCAATTAAACTGTTAATAGCTCCTGACTGATTCCTCTTTTGCAACTGTCACTAGTCTAATACTATCCTTACCTTTTGTGTCACTTTACCCCACTCCCTGGAGCATGTAAGCTCATTGAGTAGTGCCCTCAACCCCTCTGTTCCTGTGTGTCCAACTTGTCTGGTTACAACTACATGTTTGTTCGTCCATCCACTGTAAAGCGCTGCAAAATTTGTTGGCGCTATATAAATAATAACATAATAATAAATACAAACAGTACCTGGCGGGAGAAAGATCATTCTTGGTTATACAAAAAAATAAGAAAGTTCTAGTATGTTTTCAATATTTCTAAAACTGCACAGCATTACAGTACAATGGATGGATGAGACATAATAGTAAGTGCAACGACACAAATTTGACTAATAGGGACAAGAGAAAATGAGGGCCATGCTCAAATTAGTTGGGCACAGTATACAAGTCTGCACCATAAAATTTGGGACAGTCCTAGGGAATGTGCAACATCAAACAATTCACAAGACAAACGTGGTGGTGGGATAATTCAGCATGGAGATGTGGTAATGTGAGTATTTTTTAACACTTTGCAGATTACACAGCTGTAGATACTATACGAAAATGTAATTTCATGAATCACTTTTCATCTATACATTTATTAGCTCAATATATGAATACGATTATATTCCCTATAAAGGCAGAATACTATTATATATAACCATTCATTGACATTTGTAAGCATGCGATCACTGCAACATGCTCACATAGCAATGTCAAGGTTTATAAACATTGCCTGTCTTTCTCTTCTGTTCCCCTCAAAGGAATAGAAGACAGAAAGAGCTGTACATATAGCATCTCCAGAGTATAAACAGTACTCCTCTGTAACTAAAACACACACGGCAGGATTTTATTTCTCTTAATTTCATCTATTTTATTTTATTTGTGCAAATATAACATACTAGAAGGTTGTACAATGAGTAATCTAGATTTAGGCATTATAAAGTAATGAAAAAAATGACAACAGACAAATTGAATATTCTAAAATTCACCCATCTCACAAACAGAAATTTAAAAAAAAGTAATGAAGTGGTTTTGGTGCATAGACCTTGTCTGTCCATTTTCTCTGGCAATGTAAGACTGTGGAGAACACACCATATTTATGAGAAGCATTGGATTGAACAAGATCACCACAACAGGATTTAGATGAGCTTGCTGCCAAGAGCAGATTGTTCTGGCACTTTGTTTTATGAAAAGGGGAGGGAGGCGGAATAATCACACAAGGGGCACACAATGGTTTAAAATAAATATTATTTATTATTAACCCTAGAAGATTAAAGGATTCCTGACCCTATAGTGTATTCCTGATAGTGTTAAAACAACCATCTAGCCCTTGTGGCCGCCCTTGCCTCCCTAAATATAGTAAAATCTTACTTGTGTTCAAGACTGCAGCTGCTGCCTATGCCTCTGTCTGCTGACATCATCAGAAGTGGTGGTTTGAGCCAATCACAATGCTTCCCCATAGGCCTGGCTGAGACTGTCAAGGAGACAAATCAGGGGCAGAGCCAAACACAGCCCTGACTAATTAGCATCTCCTCATAGGGATGAATTGAATCTATGTATCTCTATGAGGAAGGTTCAGTGTCTGCATGCAAAGTGTGCAGCACTGCCCCAGGAAGCGCCTGAGGAGTGGCCAGTGAAGGTATCACTAGGCTGTAATGTAAACACTGCATTTTCTCTGAAAAGTCTGTGTTTACTGCAAAAAGCCTGAAGGGAATGATTCAACTCACCAAAATTACAATAATCTGTAGTTGTTATGGTGACTATAGTATCCCCTTTAAATCATTTAAGAATGAAAATCAATAACTAAAAAAATAAAAAAAGTATTGGTAATTTAGATAATTTTGTAGATAGTAAGACTTACATATCATACTAGGGAACACATGATATCTTAGTAGGGTCATTTGAGAACTGTTCATGCAACTGCTGATTTTAAAAATATAAAGTGTCAAAATGCCCCTAATGAAATGCTAAAGGTATCCTAATCTAAAACATAAACACGTTTGTGATAATAATAATTAGCCAGAAGGAGTTAATAAAAAAAATAAAAAAAATATATATATATATATATATATATATATATATATATCACAATTAGTTTAACGATGGATCTATAAGACTGTGTTTCATTTTCCTTAGAAGTACATTTCTAGTACTCATTATCAGATAGGACCAGTAAGGATTAAATTACTAAATGTGAAAATCTCATTTTTTGTAAAATGCTATAGCTTTAGCTAATCCTTTATTTACAGGAGTATAAAGTTACATTACATTACACATTTTAAATCACTGACTGCTATATACCGCATTAACAAGAAACCACCTATTGCATTAAAATCAGGTTTAAATCTTATGCGGTCTCAATGTGGGGCAATCAGAAAGGACATACTGCTGAGAAAATAGCACAATAAGCCTTTGCTTTTGATAACAGATCACTATATCCAGCTGCGTACAGAAAGATAACGTTAAATTTCCATGGCACAGCAATTTACACAGCCTAGCTCACAGCTGGGAATTAATACATTAGCAAAACGTATAATGCGGCCTCAGAGTCCAATTATTTAAAAAAACATGCTGCATGAATAAATGTTCAAGTGTCACAAGTCTCTCTGAGACTCTAAGTCAGAAACACACCATCAAAACAAAAATGTGCTTTTTGCTGTTCAACATGTCAAACGATCACCGTTATGGGGCAACACTTGCAAGGAAGGATCAACCTGCTTACAGTAAAAATCCGTCCAATATTATTAAAATGAATATAGCGCCAACATATTCCGCAGTGCTTTACAATTAAAGAATTGCGATATTTTACAACAAGTAACGGACGAAAAAATATTAACAGAGACAAAAATGTAAAAAGCCCTGCTCACACATCCCAACTAATAGAAAAACACCAACCTAGCAGGGGGATAACACCAAAAGAGGACCCCAAAACACGACACCTACGCCAGACATTGCATTCAACCAACAACACTCCCCTCCCCCCAACCACATACATGAACGGAGGAAAACAGACCCCGCTCCCCGTATGCGCTGGAGGACAACTGCACTACCCCCCCCCGCTTCTCCCCAATCCCTTTGGCCAACATCTACCACAACGTAAACAAATAAACGACCACTGGACACCCAAACCAACACAATATCCCTGCCAAACAAAAAAAAAAATCCCTGCTCAAATTAGCTAACAATCTACTAATTAAAAGATATTAAATACTGCAAAAAATAAATAAATAAAAGGAATACAAAGGTGATGCTAGATGCTTGTATATTTGACATATTGTATTAGGGTTTTTGGATAGAATTTTATTAATAATCACCCACTACCAATATATATATATATATATAAAAAAAAAAACCTGAATTGGTCCTAACCAGTAAACATACAATCAAAACAAGCTTAATTACATACTGGGTGATTGTGTTCTCCGTTTATAGAATTATTAAAGGGACACTGTAGGCACCCAGACCACTTCATCTAATTGAAGTAGTCTGTGTGCTGCTCTAAGACTGCCCCCAGTGGCTGTCTACCAGACAGCCACTGGGGGAGCTTCCGGAATCCAAACGGACTTTGGGATTTTTGCATTGAATAATGCTTTCCTATGAGGAGGTCTAATGCGTGCACGGCCATTGCCGCAGATGCGCATTAGGTCTTTCCCGCCAGCTGACGTTGGCGGGAAGGAGCACGGGCAGAGCTTGACCTTGCGCCGAGGGACATCAGCGCTGGATTCAGGTAAGTGGCTGAAGGATTTTTAACCCCTTCAGCCCCGCAGGAGGGGGGCCCCAAGGGAGGGAGGGACCTATTAAACCTATAGTGCCAGGAAAATTGCTTTGTTTTCCTGGCACTATAGGATCACTTTAATTTATTTTATCTCTGTTGCTAACCAGATAATACATTTACACACTAACTTATCTAGATGGGAAATAAAAGGTTTAGTGTAATTTAAACATTTTATGCATTTAGAATAATAATTTATGTTATTGAGTTAGTATTATTATTGCCATTGATATAGCGCCAACAGATTCCGTAGCGCTTTACAATATTATGAAAGGGGGGATTTAACTAGAAGTCCTGCAAGCATGAGTTGGCCATACGGGTGCAAGCAGCGGACAGGAGAAGGTCATGGGCAGAGCGGAGAGACCGAGAAGGGGCATACCTATGGATCTGTGAAGAGATATTAGAGGGGATAGAATTGTTCAGTGCTTTATATATGGGTTAGCACTTTGAATTGACTCCTAGGTGTGAAAGGACAGACTAGAGAGGAAAATCAGTCTGGCAGCAGCATTTATTACAGACTGTAGCAGTGGGAAGACCAATTAGGAGAGGGTTACAATAATCCATGCGGGAAACTACTAGAGCATGGACAAGCTCCTTGGTAGCATCTTGCTTAAGAAAGGGGCAGATATGTTCACATATGAAGCAAAATGCTTTTTGAGTTCAAAAAGAGAAAGTTGGAGCTGTCCGTATAATAAATTATGCTAAAATAAATTAATAAACCTATAAATTGTACTATAATATAAGCAGTTGCTGTGAAATGTCCTCCTGTTTAACATGGTTTTGTTTATCAACAAGACTGTAAAAAACTAAAAACTAAACTAAAAACATCAAAAATGTTATTTTAACTCCTGCAGTACTATAGAAGGCAGGAATTAATTGTTGGGGTTAATACGTCATTTAGAAAGAGCACAGATTCAACATATCGGACTCAATAAATAAACAGATCATTACTCCAGAAATATTCTAGCTCATCACAAGGACTTTTAGGCAGTTAAAGCACGCAGGAGGTTGTTTGCTTTATGGATTCTGCTGTGCTAAGCGAACTTTGTTTAATAAGCCATGACTACATGCAGGCCAGAACTTGCCACAGTGGTCAAATTGTGCACATCGGAAATCATATTGCAAGATTGTGAGCACGGGGGTGGATTGCAAAGCAGCTGGGCTCAGCAGTGCCAGTGCATCAGATTTCAGACCAGGGAACCAACCCAAACTCTTCTCTAAAACTTTTTCTGGATTAACGTAAACAGAATGATTACAGGTTTCTCACTTTGTGGAGAGAAGAGAGGAGGGGGGAGGGGGGGGTATAAAAAGCGCATCACATTTCATTTTCAAACGGAGCTCTAAATCAATTCCGTGAAGAGCAATTTAATTCTGTAATCTCACCAGGAGTAACACAAGCCATTTTCTGCTGGCTTTATTCACTGTAATGAAAGCAGAAAGGTACAAAGCTATCGGTCTTTAAGTCTGAATCCGCCTGCAAGTCCAGGATTATGTTTTCCCAGAAGAAAATCAACAGGTGGTGAGATTGGTAAATAAAATGTTATAATTAGCAATATACAGCAGGGGACGGGTACAGATAGAATTATATATATGCTTCTTCCTGTTCATTATTTATTCTAAAATGACTCACTTGGATCGAACAAGATATTTTCAATCAACTTCCTGTTGTTTCAATCAACTTCCTGTGTAACTGCTGCAAACAGTACTTCATACAATATATTAATTTGTTAAAAGAACACTCCAGACACATATAACACTTCAGCAAGCTTTAGGCGCCTAGAACAAGTCATTTTTCTTGACAGTTTTTAACAGTTCTGATTTTATTAGAAGTTGGCATTTTTACACCTGGTAGCGGTAATGCCTACCTAGCGGTCACTCAGAAAGCCAGGGATATGTTCTTCCCCTTCTGTTAGTGTCACAGAGCTAATGGAAGTGATAGGTGCAGTAAGCTAGAGTGAGATTGATTTTGCTACTTCTCAATGGGCTGTATTACAGCTCATTTAGAAGCACTGGAAAGCCATGCACAGAGGAATCTCAATTGTAGATGTAATCCTTGACAATAACTGAAAGTGTGTTGGGGTAAAGAGGGGGTTGCTGCAAAGGAGGCAGCCAGAAGCTTTTGTAAGCTGTTTTTTGTCCTATACACCCAAAGAAAAACCAGGGCCATCTTTAATATTGATAGAACCCTGGACAATCATTTTCTTGGGCCGCCTGGAGCCCCTCCGCCTGCCCCCTCACTTCCTGGCATCCAATCATGCCCACCACTCCAAGCGGCGGAACTAAAGAAGAGTGTTTTTTGGGCCAGTTAACGCTAGGGTGGGCAAAAAGTAGGTCCCCATCTGGCGTACAACTCCAACAATGCTTTGATAGCTGGGGCTCTACCATTTTTCTATGCTTGCAGGGTTGTATTTGGCACTGAGCAGTGTTTAGGTGTTTTAACGTAAACATGTTTTTGCATGGAGTATGTGAATGTAAGCATGTGTTTGTATGTAGTGTTGGCATTTACATTCAAGCATGCATTTATGTGTAGTGTTGGTTTGGAGTATATTTATATACAATTTGGGTGTTTAACACAGATGTGTTTGTATATAGTGTTGAACTTCTAATTCCGGGGTGTACTTGTGTGTAGTGTTGGTGTTTGAATTCAGGGGTGTATTTGTGTGCAGTGTTGTTTACATTTTGAGATAAACATACACTGTCAAACATACACTGTGATACACATACACACACACAGATACAAACACAGTGAAAAACATACAGCTACACAGACATACTGACATACATGCAGATATACAGACACATATACACACACTGACACAGATAAAAACACGATATACACACTGACACACATGCAGACAAACAAACACACAGCCTGATACAAAGATACAAACATTGACACACCTGCAGACACATTGACACATACACTGACAACATACAGATACACACGACAAACAGATACAGACACATACTGACAGACACACTGACATATACACACAGACACATATACTGAAAGATTTACTGACAAAGATATACTGACACGCACACACACAGACACAACGCAAAATGTAATCTTTTACAGCCACACTCCAATGTCCTACCTTTTTGGGTTTAGGAGGGTGGCTGCCTTGGGGTCCAGTGTGAAGGCTGGGGTGGTTGGGAGTTAGGTTCCAGGTCAGCGCCCATGGTACCCTCCTCTCTGCATGCTCTGTCCTGCGCAGCTCCAGTATCTGTGGGAGGAAGTGACAGGCTGTCACCTCCTCCCATGTTGCCGATAGGCAAGGGGCCTGGTTAGTGCGGAGGCTGCACTAACCTAAACATGCATATTTTGCACCCTTCCCTGTCACAGGTACCTAATTCCAGGGCCCTATTAGACCTTGCAATGCAGAAAGCCACAGAAAAATGGGCTTTCCAAATAAGTGTGTTAATCTCATAAGAGCAGGCATTAGATTGTTAGAGTAGGACCTTCCAAACAAATGGGGTACATTGGCACTGTATGATTATATACTGTAACTAAACCCCCATTATTTTTAAGTCGGGTATTTAAAAAACAAAACGAAAAAACAACATTTTGTGAGTTTTGAAGCTGGTGTTTAGTGAGTAAATGAGTGTACTGGATTCTGTATGGTATGAGAATATATAAAGACTCTGGTAATGAATTCAACACTAATGATAGCTCTTTAATAATAATAAAGTCACACCTACCATTTATAGTGAACGTTTGGTGGACTTTTATTACAGTCTTCATCAGAGCTGCTTTCTGTAGCATCAGAATCCAGTTCCTGCTCAATATGCCTCATAATCCCTACTGAAGACACTGAGAACTTTCTTAACGCACTTGCCATGGAGCGATTGAAGCCATTTTTAACATCCTGTTGGCCGATGACCTTCGAAGCGTTTCCAGCATCCTTGCATATGTGATTGTTATGGTTTCTGACAGAGGTGCTAGGGACCTCCACATTCTGCTTCTGGCGATCTACAAAACATTTTACCTGCTGGTTGCAGTGTTCGGCAGCAAGATGTGCCAGAAAGCACTGCAGACGTTTGCGATTTCTTTTTGCTCGATTTAGGATCACTTGTTGCCGTTTCAGACAATGTAGAAGGCGGGTGTTTATTTCACTTTCTTTATCAGGTGTGTCTTCTGCCACATTGGAAAAACCAGATAAATCAGGGGAAGAGGAGCTACTAGAACATGGAAAAGGAAGCAGCTTTTCTGCCTTTTTTCCATTCGCTTTATAGTTCAGATGTTTCAATTCATCCACGTCTTGATTCTCTTTCACGGATCTATCCCACAATCTGGGTACATCTGCTAAAATCTGGCTCATGTTACCGGGGAAGAGCTCCCTTTTGACTTTTCTCTCCGGGTGAGAGGACATTCCGGAGTGTAGAGAGTGTGTGTCTTTCTTCATCTGGAACCTCTGTCTACATGAGTCCCATTCCTCCATGTTATATGTAGGACTGCCTTTATTCTGTGCATTCAAAGCAGCACTTGACGTGAAAAGGAATACAGTATGATAACTTGCAGAGGGTTGGGAGCCAACTTGGTCCAAGTTTGTAATATTTTTCTGAAGACATTGCTCTGCATCAGTGTACGCCAATGTAGAGGGGTTTGCTTTGGAAGAGTTTATTTGCTCCGCAGCCTTAGAACTATCCACACACAGTGTATTATCTGGGCTCAGACTCCGCAAGGCCAAGGAAGGGGAGAAGTGGACTTCAGGGCCTTGTGTAGCAGTTTCGGTGAGAGCCGGAGTCATTTTGGTTTAGTAGGGTGTGTAGCGATAAGTGCTCTGCAGAAAAACAAAACGTTTATGTAAAACACTATACAAACTGTAAAATCATAATTACACTGCGTTGTAACAATCCACAAATGAAAAACAAATCCAGTCTTGTATATGTGGAGATCGTATGTACTGTTATTACAATTCTAAATGTATTTTTACTGTAGAATTAAAAACAAATGTTGGGAGTCAGGACAGGAATGATTGATTAGTGAAAAAACACATTATAAAGGGACTGCACAAGTGATGAGAATACTAAATGTATTGCAAGTGACCAGAAATCAGCTTCCTTGAACAAACTATATTCTCTCATAGCATCTGACTTTAAACTGCAAATTGAGGGGACATTGCCGGAATCAGCATTAGAATTCTCAACAGCAGCTAAATCTGAGGTGCTTTTAAGTTACAAATGGTATAATTACTTTGTTGTGCTAATATTTGGGGATTTTACTCAGTTCGTCCAGATGTTCAATATGTTATACTAATACTTTCACTTTAATCAGTTTCTTTTTTTTCCCAACAAACCAAAAAAAAATAAAAAAATAACGGGGGAAAATAAAAAGCAAAAAGCATTGGGTAGTGAAGTTAGTGATTTTTAAAAAAAAATTTTTATTATCTAGCTTAATTCTGCTGCATCATTAGGCCATAACATGGATGGTATAAGAGAAGATGAAGAAAGATTATTTAGCCAGAAGTGATCAAATGTGCTTTAAAAAAAACATGTTCAGTGCTTTGTGCTGTGAAAGACTTTACCCAATATAAGGGTGGCAAGATGGAGGCGATGCCAGCCACAGGTTAAATGATTGGAACATAGAGACATCATCAGGGTAGGACATTATTTTACATACTCATGCACCACAAGAAGCGGGTGCCCCTACTTATCTCTTCAATAGTGACACCTGCGTGACTGTGAGCTGTAGGGGGACCACAAAATATGCATGTCAGTGTAGGCGAGAGTTAAATAGTTGTGTGTGGTTGGCTATATACATATGTGGCTAAACAGAGGTGTGCGAGAGAATTGGTGTGGCAGAGTGATTAATAAATTTAAAAAAAAAAATTGTGACAAAATATGTGTTAAATTAGAGCAGGTTAAAACCCAAGTACATCAGTGATTTTTCAAAAAGTGTTTTGATATATTTGTCATAAAATGGAAAGTACATAAGACTTGAGGCGATATGAATGTTTGCCCTGTGTGAACATACACTGAGGTCAAGGTTGGCAGCACGGCCTCCCCTCAACTCATGATCTCATCTACCCATGATTTACCGAATCCTGTTTTCAAAAGTGTCAATTATTAAAGCTCCTATCCTACAATTTGCATGTCAAAACTAAGACCTATAATTTCCAGATTCCATTTATACCCTGCCGTCCAAGAGACAGCAAGATTTTACGGTATGTGAAAATCTGGTGTCAGGGTTAACACTGAATTAAATCCCAAGCGCCTCAAAGAATCTGATCAACATTAACAGGTGCAGTATCATTGAACACAAATCTAGGTATACATTTATTTTTATTTTTTTCATTTTTTCTTTAAATAGAAGTTTTCAGATCCCAGTTAATTATTCTAAAATTTTGACAGGCGAGTGATGCTGCCCAAAACATGAATAACAACACATTACCACATGTCTGAAGTTACTAGTGCCGTTGAGACTTAGAAAAGTCTAAAGGAGTAAGCTGGTGGTACAAACAGAACACACAGACCTAAAACCAAAAGGCATCAACGAGCAACTTAAAATCTCAGAAAACGACTTTATAAACCTAAAAATCACGATCAAACATGACACTGGGCCTGCTCACTCACATAATGGAATGGTTATGCAAATCAATACACCGAAAATAATTTTACAATAAAAATGTGGGGAATTTCAGTCTTCTCTACTGATAAGATATGCTCCACTTGGAGTTTTTATAGCATGATGACCAGGGACCTGAAGAGATTCAAAGTGGGATGTTTAATCCTCTAGCGCCTTCTGGACAGCCTTTGACATGTCACCTTAAATTACCCCTCCCTCGTTTTGACGGCCTATTCAGTTTTTTTAAACAAACTAGAGAGAACATAAAACTGGCTTCCCACACATTTAAAACAACGCTGCTTCTAACCTTTACAACCCTCTGCCCAATTTAGTCTGAGACATCTTATGAGTGAGACAAAAAAAAGGGCTAAATACAGTCCGATCTGAATGGGAGATTTACAGGTTGTTTTGTTCATTTAATGATCTGTACCTTTCAAACGTGTCCTATTTCAAATATGTGTATGCTTCAATCACTCACTGTACAAATCGTAAAAATATATAGTTGAATGTTATGTTCTCTACAATTTCCCTATATACACACACTTACAAAGTGTTTTGTGTCCCAAACATAGTACAGTACAATAAAACAACTTATTAGTAGTTGAACTGATGTTGTAAAGAGACCAATTTATTACGGAATTCAAAATCATTTTAAGAAGAATATCTTTATATCAAATTGGTACTAACATTTAAATTAAAAAAAAACAAAAAAAAAACAAAACAGTGAAATATAATGAATAATATTTGTTAATTAAACCCTGCTACTCATGTGAAAGATTTACATTAGTTTTGTAATATAAACAGTTAGTGCATAGGCAATCGTGAAAAAGAACACTATAAGTTCAAGTAGCAAGAATTTAATCAAGAACGCTTTAAAAAAAAAAAAAATTACAATACATATTTTAAAGATGCAGTTTAAATCATCCAGAATTACACCTATAGGTCTTTTCAGCAGTAATATTTCTAGACCTCAGGTTACAACTACAATAAAATCAATATGTGCAAATAGTATTGACATATTTATAATGGTACATACAAAATAAAATCGAATTTCCATGCATTTGTTACACGTGACCATTTTTTAGTGCCAAGGATCTCAATGAAGTGCAGTGTTCCTTTAGTTTTAATATGTCCATTGCTGAAATAAACAGATCTCTTTATTTCGACAATGGCTGTCGGGAAGATGCACTTCCTTGCAAGAACCAAGTCAAGATGATTATTTCAGCTGCTGTGGAAAGAGCACTGCGGCGATTAAAAAAAGTAAAGTTAATCTACCTTTTTACTTCACGAGTGAGGGGGGCAGTAATCTAGACAGTCAGCAGGTCACCATACATAGAAACATAGAGTTTAAAGTACATGTTAAGAATACATGTTTTATTCCTAATGCTATAGTGTTCCTTTAAGACACTCACGAGAACTTAGGCAGATAACGAGTTAGCGCCGATCTTTCACTCTTAGTATAGGAATGGAGGACCCTATTTAACATCTAGGCGGCCACCTTAAAGTGACAGTTTAGACACTTTAACAACTTCAACTAAATTAAGTTGTTATGGTGCCAGGTCTCCCCCCCCCCCCATTTTCCCATTCACAAAACTGGCTTGAAAAGAAACCTATTTCACCCCAGTATTGTGAATGGGGAGTCATTGATTGGCTGAGAGCGTCACCTGCCCCGCGGCGCTCCATGCCATCATAAACCGAAAATTCATTAGCCGCATACTGCCTGGGCGGAGTTGAGATCAGCGCTGGAGGCAATCGAGAACGGTTTAACCAATTGAGGTAAGAGTGCCTCCAGGCACCATAACAACTTAATTTGGATGAAGTTGTTATGGTAAGCCTGGAGTGTTCCTTTAAGTCATTTATAATTTACCTGGACAATCACCTGCCACTTTATCCCTTATTATATCAGGGGTGGCGGATATTCTCCCAGCTTCTCCCAGTACCCCTGTCTGACCCAGCCCCGCTCACCGCACCTCTCTTGAATAATTTCAGTTGAGCACTGCCCCCTCAAGCACCGCCCACGCGCACATCCTGCCCTATCGGGTCTCGGATCTGTGATGACGTAAGGGTACCGCCCACTCCCCTCCCCGCAGTTCGCTCTCTCTCGCGCGCGCGCGCACCAAACCCGCGGTCGCGCGCCTGATACCGCGCTCTGACAGAGCTATGCGTGAAACCCGCCACCGGCCGGTACCTACCGCCTGTCCGGGTCCCCGGACTGCACTCCTGACACAGGGCTTCTCGCCCCGGAGCTGCACGGTCCTCGGAGAGCGAAGCCGATCGATGATCGTGTTCTCCGCAAGTGAGCCCAGGCCCCGCCCTCCGCTCCCTGTTATTGCTTTACCAAACAAAGCGCTGCCTGACACCCACTGACGGCTGAGGGAGGCGGGGCGGAGGACAAGGCACTGGACCAATCAGAGACCGCGGCGGATGACGTCTGACCAATCAGACGCCGCGACACTTGGAACCCGAGCCTGGACTGCGAATGTCTAACTCTGTGGTGGCCAATCGCGCGGAGCAGTGGGCGTGTTTAGGGAAATACTGATCCCCGGCAGCCAATAGGAAGCGGTATTGTAGTGTTACTGCCGCCCATGTTTACAGAGGGGGCGGGCTAGCTGCCAACAACAAGGAGCAATGAGGTAAATATTATGAATGGGGATACGGGTATGTCCTGGCTGCGGCTTAGTGTATCCAACTCCAAGCACCCTCAGCCAGCCATGCTCCAAGCACTCTCAGTCAGCCATGCTCCAAGCACTCTCAGCCAGCCATGCTCCATGCACTCTCAGCCAGCCAAGCTCCAAGCACTCTCAGCCAGCCAAGCTCCAAGCACCCTCAGCCAGCCATGCTCCATGCACTCTCAGCCAGCCAAGCTCCAAGCACTCTCAGCCAGCCAAACTCCAAGCACCCTCAGCCAGCCATGCTCCATGCACTCTCAGCCAGCCATGCTCCATGCACTCTCAGCCAGCCATGCTCCAAGCACCTTCAGCCAGCCATGCTCCATGCACTCTCAGCCAGCCATGCTCCAAGCACCCTCAGCCAGCCATGCTCCAAGCACTCTCAGCCAGCCATGCTCCATGCACTCTCAGCCAGCCATGCTCCAAGCACCCTCAGCCAGCCATGCTCCAAGCACTCTCAGCCAGCCATGCTCCATGCACTCTCAGCCAGCCATGCTCCAAGCACCCTCAGCCAGCCATGCTCCAAGCACTCTCAGCCAGCCATGCTCCATGCACTCTCAGCCAGCCATGCTCCAAGCACCCTCAGCCAGCCATGCTCCAAGCACTCTCAGCCAGCCATGCTCCATGCACTCTCAGCCAGCCATGCTCCAAGCACCCTCAGCCAGCCATGCTCCAAGCACTCTCAGCCAGCCAAGCTCCAAGCACCCTCAGCCAGCCATGCTCCATGCACTCTCAGCCAGCCATGCTGCATTACGGCCTCGGCAACTACAGTCACTATTTATACTATTATTATTATTATTATAATGTCTGTATATTGCAACCACATAGTCCATAGCGATGTACAATATAGAAGATTATAGACAGAACCCCCCTCCCCTCCCCCGCGTGTATTGGGTAAACTCTAAATGTAATATTTACTACAAATAAAGCAGGATAATGTTTGTTAAATGCAAACAGGTGGTGGTACCTGCTGCAGTGATCTCCCCAGAATGGTACAATTACAGGAGATGGGTGGCCAGGTCTGACCTTTTATTTTATTTTTTATCTGAACATGTTAAAATTGATTACTGTATAGGTAGGTAGAAATGTGAGAGAGATGCAGGGTAAAGGCTGTGACACGAGAAAGTTGGTAAGTTTTCCTAAGTAAGTGGTTCACTAAAAAAGGACACTGTAAGCACCATAACCACGCTAATACAGCTGGGGCCCTGTCACCATAACCACTGCAACATGCAAAGAAAGTATCATTTCAGGGCCCGTGTCCTGGTAATGCAGAAACTACATTTTTAGATTAACAATAACCGTTTTGTCCATATATGCATAGCATTCTTTAGCTGAGAGTATCAGGTGAAAGTCCAATTTAACAAAATTAGCTTTGCGCACATGCACACCCTAGGGATCCCAACTCCAAGAGGGAGTACAAAAGATCTCCCTGACTGGCCCTGCACCCCTCATTACTACAAGGGAGTTTGTGCTAGTTGGTGGGGGCTGTAAAGCAACGAATTAACATTTTATTTGTAATTTTCCCCAACGCCCTGGTCTTTCAGGGCTGGACAGAATTCATATTGTAAGTAAATATGAGGACATTCTAGCTGTATAAGATGAACATCAGGAATGGTTTAACCTCCCAAGTCTACAAGCCAGTGCTCAATCTCTCTGTCCCTGTATTTCTACTCATTGCCACAAGCTTCAACCAGTACGCCTTGGACCAGACACACTTATTGGCTGAAAGAATCAGGTAACGCTCTCATCTGCGCCCAGTCTGAGGTCCCCTGATTTAAACCTAGGATGCTGAGCAAGAGAGCAGGAACATTGAGCACTGGCTTGCTGAGGGTGAACCGTTAATGTTAAACCTTCAGGTCAGACAGCACCTAGAACAGGTACTTTATTAGGAACCACAACAGCAACGTTTCAACCCCAAAAGTTCTTTGTCACCTTGACAAAGACCTTTTGGAGTCGAAACGTTGCTGTTGTGGTTCCTAATAAAGTACCTGTCTTGAACCAAGGAGTGCCTGGACCTTTACTTTTTGGAAATCTGGTGTTTGATTCCGGTTCAGCAAGCACCCTGGCTCAGATTTATGGTAATGAGTGCAGTTCCACACACACTACTAAAGCACCTAGAACAGGGCTGCCTAATAGGTAGATCCCCAGATGTTTTAGAACTACAACTCCCATGATGCTTTGCATGTCTTTAGAATGACAAAGCATCATAAAAAGCTGTAGTTTTAAAACATCTGAGGATCTACCTTTTGGGCAGCCCTGCCCTAGAACCTCCTTGCACCATACACAACTTTAATTGCGTTAAAATTATGGTGCCCAGAGTGGTCCTTTAAGGAATGAAATGTGAGGGACTAAACTTCATGTAAGTATATCCTTTATGTTTTTGTCAGTACAGTATATTATTTAACCGTATACCCATGTGAAGGTGAAAATGGCAAATGCATTTTGCAGAGGACAGTTTTATTTAAAAATAAGTGCACTTAGTCTAGAAATAAAATTACATTTTTAATTTAATATGCATGTTCTAGCTGGAACTCCTTCCCATCAGTGTAAAGCATGCAGACTACCTCATTCTTTTTTGATTTACTTTAGTCAATTTTGTATTCACAAACTTGATATAGATATCCAATATTAAAAATGTATTGTTTTGTATTTTGAAAAACACATTAAAGAAAATATCCACTTTCAATTTGCACGAATCACAAATCTTTTAATCATTCTGCCTAAACAGTTAGCTTTTGGCCTCGTCATAACATGCAAATTGCCAATTGTCTCTTAATGATAAAGATGGGATGGGCAATGGGATAATACTTGTTTAAAGGGTTACGCTAACCAAAACAAGTGTATTTAAAAAAAAAAAAAAAAAGTGTTGGGAGTAATCCATTCCATCTTGCACCCCCTAAATACACTTTAAAAACCAAAGAAACCCTTACCTCCTTTTCAGCTCCAAGGCAATATAGACATTAGCCAGCCCTCATATTTTTATTTCAGACTGGCTAATGACGCCCCAAATGATCCTGCCGTAGCTGGAGTTACACGTTACTTCAAATCGCTGAAGTGGTCATGGTTGGAATAACCCTTTAAAAACCAAAGAAAACCCTTACCTCCTTTCCAAGTTCTCCCAAAAGAACTGAACAATTTCAGGCTGGCTAATGATTCTTCAAATAACACTGCTGTAGCTGGAGTTACACATCTGACTTAGTCACTTAAGTGGTCTCACTTTCAACTGTATATTGCAGAAAACTAAATCCACTAGCATGCAGTAATGCAGCAAAACACTGCAAAGTATTGAAGAGTGACAGGTGGGTAATGGGCATGCCAGTTAAGCAATGTATTCACTTCTGAATAAGAGTCATTTTTATGTGTTGTTCAAGCTCCCTGAGCTGCCATGCACATTGCCACACAGCCAGGCCTGCAGATGCAAATTTCAAGTGTTCACGTATTGGCTTGGCAGTATCTTGCAAAAGTCTAAATTTGTGCTTATGGTAGAAGAGAAAAACAAAACACATAGGACAGCTTAACATTGGTCCCAAATTAGTACTGTCCTGTCAGATTAGGAAAAATGTTTGCTTGCAGATTCCAAAGCTTGACAATTTTAAAATACCCACACATATTACATGGATTTCACCATTTAGTTTATCAGATGGGTTAAAGTTTAAATACTTCTATTTCTTCAAAAATCTCTAAATGTGTCTAAAGTTTTTTTTTTTGATGCTTTGTAAATTTGTTGTTTAAAAGGTTTTTCTTTTCCAATTCAGTATTGTTAAAATAAACCCTTAAGGGTGATTAAGAGTAAACCATCAAACAAATTATTTTATAAAAAACCAATTTGCAACCATCTGCATATGTGTAGATTCCACTTAAAATGGAAATCCTATCTAAAAAATATATAATACCTTTTGTACAAGGTAGTAAAAGAAATACAATTTTCCTAAACTTCTAAAATTCTACTTGTTCTTTAAATTCTGTAGCTAAGCTGATAGACCCCCACCCACCCATTTTTTGCTCAGCACAAACTTTCATTGCTGGGCAGTATCCACATAACTGATCTTTTAGAAGTTGTGTGAATAAAATACATTGTGCTGGAATAGATCGTAAGAGGTGTTTTTCCCATATATAAAGTGGTTCTAACTGCTGAATGGCAGAGAATCAAGCAGTGCACCAAATAAACTTTGTAGCAGACACAGGAGGCCCTTTTACACAATGGTTTGTCCCTGCTACGAAATGGGAGAAGACCAACAGAGAGCTGTCCTTTCCAGAACTACCTGACTGGTAGTGCCAAATATATACTAGAGAGCAGCAGTAATAGAAGTTAAAATACCTCAAAAACAGCTGGACAACTGATAAAGTGTAGAACAAAATGGCTTGTTTATTGAGGAAACAATGGAAATGCTGCCATGTGCCATCCCTGGTGGTCTAATGGAGAGTGAACTCTAGCTTGCAGGGCTAGAGTTCACTCTCGCAAGATCTGAGCGGTGCCGCGGCAATGCTTAGATCTCACAAGAGGAGCCCGGTGAAGCTGCTGGCTAGAGCTCCCCAGCCTCCCTCCATGTTGCTGTGGGCCGGTGAGATAGATCTTTGATCTCCCCACCGGCTCATGGAGGCTTAGAGATCTCCCCTGCCAGTCTCAATCCATAGGCGTGCCGCAGGGATTAGGGTGTGCCCAGGCACACCCCGTTCGCACCCTTATGCTCCATGCACAAAAGTGGTATAGTGTCAGGAGTGCACTGGCACCCTTCCAGAATTATCGGTTCTAAAACAGTTTGACAAATTACGCTAGGAAGGCACCAGGGTACTCCTGGTACCATAACCACTACAACAGGCTGTAGTGCTTAAGGAGCTTGGAGTTTGTTTTTTTTTTTGGTTTTTATAAGAGTGGCAGAGTAGCCAGTTTGAACTAGTCTGAAATGCCTCAAAAAACTCCAGGTAAAGACATTGATACACTTTTCTTAGACAATGCAAAAACATAGCCCTTTCTGCAGAACAGCAATGTTTTACATTTGTCAGAGCGCACACACACTTCTAGTGGCTGTCAGCCTAACACTTGCTAGAAGCACTTCCTAGCAAGTGGGATTTTCTGAAGTTTTCACATTAGGCTTCCACACATCCAGCATGGTGAAGCTGAATGCAACTTCTGATTCTGTGCATTATAAGGACAACTATAATCAAATTTTCACATAAAAAATATGTTTTTTTAAATTACATTATATATTTATACTGTTTTTTTTTTGTTTTTTTTTATAATCCATATTGATTTGAGAAAACTTAATTTTTTTTTTACTTGGCTGAGCAGGCATGTTTGGTCAGATTCTACGGTTATATTATCAACTGCTGCTCAAACTAAGTTGCCTCCTGCGGTTACCTCTGTGTGAACCTGATACTGCAGGCAGCTAGTTAGATGACAGACTTTGACCAAACATGGTTGCTCAGCCAGATGGGAAACACATAAATATATATATCTCAAGTTTTATTAAATGTAATAATGAACTTTGATTTGATGACAGTTTTCCTTTAACAAAAGTTAATTTCCAATTTAATCCCAGATCCAAGCAACTAGACACATACATAAGAGTGATCCATTTTATTTTAACCAATTTTGTTTTTGTGAATTTTTAATAAACAAACAAGATAACATGTTAATTCACTTTATTAATTAGGTTTACAACAAGTACAGATTATTATTTTACAAGAACAGATGTCGGTATTAAAATTTCAGGCACGTTTTTCAAGTACAAAATAAAGGATTACTTATCCTTGACAATATCTCTTGCAATAAGTTCCTTCATAATCTCATTGGTACCCCCATAAATTGGCTGAACACGAGAATCTACGAACGCTCTGTAAAATAAAGTACGCAAGAAAAACAAAGTTAATGATTATGTGTGTTGTTTTTTTGGTCCAGCAGACCTAAATAAAAAAAAAAAAACAATACATTTTGTAGCCTTTTCATGCCTTTTTAAAACCCACATATGTCCTAATATCACAGACATTCTAGCTCTGACTAGAATTAAACTAGTGAATACACCCCTAAATTAGCCACAATTGTTATGTAAATAAATAAATCTCCTACAACACTTACTTTGCAATTGGATATTCCCACATGTACCCCCATCCACCATGAAGCTGTACACACTGTGTTGCCACACTATTCTGGAGATCAGAAGCCCTGGAATGGGGAAGAAAAAAAATAATAATAATTTTAGCAAAATAGAGGTCTCATAAGGCAAAAAGTATATCAATTCTGCAGAACCCAAGGAACAGTCTTGTCCCTGCACCCATTCAGCTCATCTTCATAGGTTATTCAAATGTTACGGTGTTAACAGCCATTCTAGTATCATAGAGCCACATTATGACAAGATGATAGAAAATGGTTACTTGGCATACTGCAATGTGTTGATCAAACTGCAGTAATGAAGTCATCATGTAAAATTCATACATTTGGTCTTTAAATAAAAAAAAAAGTTTTTGTCTATTTAAAGGATCACTTTATGCACCAAAACCACTGCAGGGCATATAGTGGTTACTTTTGTTTTCCCTCAATACATTGTTAAACACAGATCTGCACACCAGTCAAGCCATAACACTTGCTTTTCCCACAGAAATCACAAATTTGCAGTAATGTTACTACTGCAAAGGATTCTGGGTGGGCATATACAAATTAGTTCAACAAAGAATCACATTGTTGCCTTATGATTCCAATATATCTCTAGATATAGATTAGATAGATATATGTATACGAGAGAGAGAGAAAGATAGATATCTATGCACAGATACACACACACACACACGCTGCACTCACCAAAACATGCATACATTATAAGGGTGCTGCTGGGGCCAATCATTTACTAATCAACAGTTTCAAAGTTCACAGTCACAGCACAAATGTATTGCATTTTTTTGGGCAGATCCTATCCTAACAACCTAATGCCTGTTCTTCTGAGATTAACCCACTTACATTTTGCTGTCAATTCTATAAAGTCTATGACCTTTCACACAAAAACAAGCTACAGAATTAACCACAAGTTCCAGGAATGCACCCATGAGAAAAAAAATCAAGGGTCTGCTATTGTGTCAGCAGGCATACCTGACCGTTAAATGAATCCGTGCTTTATATGCTTATAAACAGGGGAATGCTGACGTCCAGCTTCCCTTCAAGAGACAATGCCTTGAAAAGATCAAGTAGAAACAAACACCAAGGAGCTGAAGGACAGCTCCATGGAGACCAAAACCTGTGTTAAAAACAGCTTAACCCAATAAGTTAGAAAATTCACTACGTATTACTCATCAAGGCTGGATAGGCACAGTTACGTTTTATCAAACTCATATCTATGAAGACATTTCAGGCGGACATCTATATTTTAATTATCAGGAGATCAAGGTCCTTTGATGTATGAACGGTTCTTGGATACAATGCATTCTACACTGGTTTATGCTCACTGGCAGCCAGACAATTCTGATAGGTAAATAAATGCTCCTTTGTGTGCACATTTTAAATTCCACCAACAGTCCCTTTCTCACGCATACCAGTATTTCGCCATGGAAGCTGTGCCAGAATCCAAACGTCTTTGTGCATGAAGTTCGAGACAGTTGTCCACAAATGTACGACCCACACAGATCTGAGTTTTCAACTCCGCAAGCTTATGTTGAACGGTCTTAAGTGGGAAAAATAAAACAAAAACCACAAAAGTTTTATAAAATTCATTAAATAGGTTAGTCCTAGCAAAGCTTGTTGCCTAATAAGAGAGTATAATGATTTGCAAATAAATTTTACCATCCCCCCACCCTCCCCCCTCCCAAAAAAAAAATCAAAAACACACACCAACAATTTTGTATTATGCAAAATAAACAGTTAAACAATTATTATAAGGGGGTTAAACTGCATACATCTAAGAAGTGGAAAGTATAAATAATTAATGTAGAGTGCATATTCCTGGAGAGATAAGAGTAACAGACTCGTTATCTATTTATTATATTTGATATTCTCTGAAAGGGGTTCAGCATGAACCTCTACTTCTGAGACTGTAAGCTTGTTTGAGCAGGGCCCTCATCTACCCATTGTTCCTGTGTCACCGTGTAATAGTCTAATTTATTGTAAATTTCCCCCTTTCAGAATATTGTGAAGTTCTGCGGAATTAGTTAGCGCTATATAAATACCAATAATAATAATAACTGGCAGAAGTATTTATAAATTAATTTTGACAACGATAACTATACTACTGGTGTGTTACCAGTAAAAAAAAACCACTTAGTCTTTAGAGATTACCTAACAAAAAGGTAAATCAAGTTATTAACCTCTGAAAAAGGCAGAGTTCACCAAGCTGGGAAAAACACTGCAGCCCTTTGAACAGTGAGCACATAGAGCACTCTTGCTGGTCAAACTGAATTATTCATAAGATAACCCATTAACACCTTTTCAGTCTTTGATGTTTACCAAGCTATATCCACATTACAGTAAATTGAAAAACTCATGGTGAAATTTAAACAAATCCCTGATTTGGGAAAATCCACGCACGAAGCTCTAGGACTAAATCATGGGCTGGGCTATTTTAGCCTGCATTCTCATATTTGGTTTTAAATTCACTCCAATTTAGTATATAACCCTCTATGTCTCTTTAAAGGCAGAATATTTCATGAATCACCTTCACTTACAGTGGCTCTGTCATTTCTGAGTATTTTAATAATCTTCATGAAATAGAGATGCCAACTGCGTTGAAATTTAATTGAATTTCTAACGCAACCCAAAGATACCATGTGACAAAGTATGGACTACACTTTGAGCTTCGCCGTAAACCTTTACCTAATCTCAGCAAGCTATCGCAAGCGACCGCTATGGATTCATTCATGGTCTCACTCCTCGCAAGAAAACACCTAAGAAAGACTTAGTGGAAGATGGCAGCAAAGCCAAACCTTACCATCAACTGCACCCCTCTGCCACCTGACCAGAGTTTCCTTAATTGGCCTTTGTAAAATATGCAAAGACCCCCAATAGCTATATATTAAAAATTAACAGTTTCTTAAATATAACCTTGAAAACAAACAAAAAAAGAAATAAAAAAAAGAAAATACCTCAGCGAATCGGCCAATATAAAAAAAATAAAGACAGATGTGATGGTGTATTTATTTTCCAAACTAAATTCAGTATTAGCAATGTGACAAGTAACATACCTGTAAATGTGCAACGGTTTTTCCAAATGCCTTCCTCTGTCTAACATAGTTCCTGGTTTCTTCAAACATGAACTCACAGCTTGCAAGGGCCATGTCTGCAATCAATAATCTTTCCTGAAAGGTAATGTGAATTACAAACATCAGAAACAAAGATACCATTTAAAAAATAAACTCATCCCACTCAGAAAGAAAAAAAATAAAAATTGATTTTTATGAGTAAGCTGAATGTATCCCATAATCCCCAAAGCTTTCCATACATTGTACCACGATGACCAAATAGACTGGCTCACTGCTTTCAATTCAGGAGATAGCTGGAATGAGAAGCACTCCGTCAAGGACAAAAAAAAAAAAAAACACCACACAGTGCAGCATGTTTTTAGGAAATACAGACACACATAAGATGCAAGTGAGCGCATCATTAGCTTCCTGGAATATCCCTTTAAAATATTTTTATTCCATATGACTGCAATTGCTACAACTGCTATGACACTTCTCCAACTTTAAAATAGCGCTGTCACTCCAAACTTAACTTGCTCCCATTGTTTCCTCTTCTTTGCCCCTGTCAGAATCTGTTCTTTTCTCATCTATCTTTTACAAAGTAGGGGCTACTTTGTCTTAAAGGACACTCCAGACTCAAACAACTTTAGCTTGCTGAAAAGCTTTATATCTAAGGAGTGTGTCTGATTTTTTTCCCATTTTGCAAAAAGTGCAGATTTGAATAGAAATTGACACTACTATAAGTTAGCCTGGTTACACCCCTTTGGCTTTCAAGCAGACAACAGGTAATGTTACTTCCTGGTTTCGTTAGATCAATGCAGCTGACCTGAAGAGGCAACCATTGCCTACAGCACCTGACTTACAAAGACTTCTCATTAAGCTTTAATGGTAAGTCTGTGATTGGACAGCCACAGAAAGTCTAGGCGGGGTTAGAAGGGGAGAGCTTGCAAAGTCAGCAGACGAGAAAAATGCAGGTTAATTAATTGCATGCACGTTTCCATGGGAGGGAGGGGGGCGGGGGGATATTTCTGCTAAGCAGTGATTTTTTTAATTTTGTGTTTGGGCAGGGGAGTATCCCTTTAAGTATTTTTCCAACGCTTGACAAAGGATGGTGCTTAAGGCAAGCCTCAGTTCCTTTGTCGAGCATGCGTAGGAACTGGATCCCATGCCATACTCTGGGCAGAAGAACGCAGTGATCTTACACCACTACCAGTAATTAGAAGGTGGTGGAAACCTGAAAGGAGGATCCAGCACCGTGAACAAGAAATAAAACAAAAGAAACCAAAACACAGATAAATACGGGTGAATTTGGTATTTCTAATTACTTTGTGGGGACTGTTATCAATTGTATGGTGGGTGAGAAACAATTTGCAAAAATTAAAAATCAACCTACAAACCACGACAAGCCCCCATCTAACACGCAAAGATTGAAAAAGTAACAGAGGGCGATAGCACCCATGACACATTTCAGGTATGCAGGAAAGCCAATATTTACGATAAAAACAGGTCAGGCTGCACTTTGGCCTCCAAGACAATGTCTGCTTTAAAACCAGACAGCACAACGTATGGTTGAAATAAAGAGCCACCATGTAATAGGACACGTTTAGAAAGCAGAGACTACTTTGTGTTGAACAATAGGCTTTCCTGCTTTCCATTTGCTAGAGGGCTAAACCCATATTTATCCACAGGTAAGCCCACTAACAGCCATTAGCATGCAATATATGACTATATAGCCAGTCATCCTATGAACATACATGGCAAGTTCGTGTTGGTGTTAATCATCTTGTAGGATCTTCTAGGAGGCATCTTCCATATTCTTAATCCTACCTGAGAATAAAGGTGATGTAGGGGATGGAGTGGTGCCAAAAGGCAGAGATAAAGTAGCAGCACCAATATCACTGCCCTTTCAAAGCAGAATGTTTCATTTCAAAAAGTGTAAAAATGGTATGCAACATATCATCCAAGGGTACAGTAACTACCGTGTGTATAAAAAATAAATAAATAAAGCGCAAAACACCTCACCTGGGGCAGTTCAGCCATTAGGTAGTAAAAACCCTTATTTTCCTCTCCTAACAGAGCATCTGCTGGAAGTCTCACATCTTCAAAAAATAATTCTGCAGTGTCCTGAAATAAGACACCCCACAAAAACAATAAAAATGTTTTCATTAATTAAACTAAACATTTAAAACGGAGGAGGTTCACCATGTTACAGCTGATGTACACAATTGACTTACAGTTTGCACACATTGAATAACTGTTAAAGTATAATGGGGTCTATTTACCGAACATCGCGTTGTGGGGAGTTGACATGCAAGTCACAAAAACTCCCCAATTCAACTTTGTTTTCCCCAATTTACTATAGTGTACTTTAGTTGGATAAATCCCTTATTCCTCCCCCAAAAATATATACACACACAATTTTCAAAACAGGAATTTAACCTTTGGATTGTATGCACTCTTATATGTACATACAGTAACACAGTATATGACTGAACAAGTTTCCAAATCACAGTCAAATCTCTTTTCCCCAAAGTAGACAGGTTAGCAGCAAACACGGTACCTGTGCTTTCAAACCAATTTTTTCCAGTTTCCGTCCTTTCACAAAGCCTTTGGTACCGTTATCGACGAGAAAGAGGCTGATACCATGAGCTGGAGTGCGAGATTCACGGTTTGTGACGGCAACAACAATGACTACATCACTCATCCAGCCATTGGTGATAAATACCTACACAAAAAAAAATAAAAAAATAAAAAAAACACTTTCCAATTATTATTGTTTAATAAGAATCATTCACTCTTAACCCTTTCAGCACCAGTTGTGTCCTGTGACTATCACAGTGTTGCATAAATGCTCTAAATTATGAAATAAAACTTTACGAAAAAATATGCAGCTTAAAAGGACCACTCTAGGCACCCAGACCACTTCAGCTTATAGAAGTGGTCTGGGTGCCAGGTCCAGCTAGGGTTAACCCATTTTTATTTTTATTTTATTTTTTTATAAACATAGCAGTTTCAGAGAAACTGCTATGTTTATAAATAGGTTAATCCAGCCTCTAAAGCCTCTAGTGGCTGTCTCATTGACAGCCGCTAGAGGCGCTTGCGTGCTTCTCACTGTGAAAATTACAGTGAGAAGACGCCGGCGTCCATAGGAAAGCATTAAAAAGCCGAAGAGGAGGAGAGCTCCCCGCCCGGCGCTGGAGAAAGGTAAGATTTTAACCCCTTCCTCTCCCCAGAGCCCAGCGGGAGGGGGCCCCTGAGGGTGGTCCTTTAATAGACTCAAAATAGATATGATGTTTTCCCAGGGATATATGCATCAATGTATACTCACAGTCTGTCTTGTAGATCACATATACAATTCTGAATCAAAGTAAATGTACACATTTTAGAATCAGAAGCCATGACAACATGACATAATAGAAATGAGAAAAAATAAAGACATTTAAAAAAGTACAGATGTTGTCCTGTGGTAATTCATTAGTTAATGGTATTTGACAGGAAGAGATCAAACTCCTATGTCTTTGCCTAGGAAGATCCATGAGTAATTGTATTTACAAAGGAAAATGTCAAGATACATTGATTATCTAGCAGAGAGCCTTACCTTACTACCATTCAGTATCCAGTCACTGCCATCCTTCTTAGCGTTTGTGCGAACACCTTGCAAGTCACTAAATGAGAAGATTAACTATGGTCACTTTAAACTGGATTTCCATTGTTCTCTGTATCTTCCTGATAAACCTTTTTTCGCCAATTTCATTAAAAGGGACACTAAGCACTAGAACACCTTTAGCTGAATTACGTTTCTTAGTGTATAGATCAAGTTTTGGCCGAATATGGCGCGCGGCGGTCCTCTGCATGGCACATGAGGCCGCCAAAGGCAAATGGGCCAGTTAGGGAGATCAGTGGATCTCCACAGTCGGCCAGGAGAGTCCATGCACCCTGGTGCAAGGGAGCCTTTGGTGTTCACCTCAGGAAACCTTCAAGCATGCTCTGACGCTTCACCAGGATTTAGGCCATTGCCTTGGGTTACAATGACAATGGCCTGTTTCATTAGAAAAGCGCCAGATCTGAAACAAAAAGGTACAAAGGGACTGCACCCGCAGAAGGTGCAGACTGCAAGCTGCGACCAGCAGGGACCGCCAAGTACTCATGCCCTTCACCATGGCAAGAGGGTATAAAAATTAAAAAAAGTGACATTTAACCCAGAAATTTTAAAAGTGGAGATTTTTTATTTAAAAAGGTGGAGCTTTACCCTCTGTTATCTTGACAAAGGAAGTGGACCTTGCCTTAAGCTCCACCCTTTTGTCAGGTGGAGGGAATAAAAAACAAAAACATAAGACTCTACTTTGCCTTTTGTTTTAAAGAGAAATAGATCAGAAAGGAAGAAAATAAGAACATATTATTAGAGAGGGAAAGAAGCGGAATCAGCAGGAGAAAAGCAAGTTTGAGGTGACAGAGCAACTTTATGTAAACCGGACACCAATTATATTGTTATGTTTTACTTAAATAAAATGTAGGGGGGGGAGGTGGAAAGTCTTTCTGCTTGGCTGCTGACTTCACTTGCTCTCTCCAGCTTTATTTCTATAAACTTTGACAATCTGAAAGGCCATCTTACCTTCCAGCTCCGGGTTCCGTCATAGCAATCGCGCCTATCCATTGACCAGCAGCCATCTTAGGAATATACTTCTCAATTTGGCTCTTACTGCCATATCTTGAGATATAAGGCATCACGATATCAGAATGAAGGCTAAATCCCGGGCCGGTGCAATTCACATACATCCTGGAGAACAAAGAGAAGCATTATTGAACAGTTTGCAAAGGAATGGAGCCATTCACGAAGCTGTGAATTACCATGGAAACAAAGTGAATTTAAAATTGTGGGCCAAAGTAGTTGAACTGCAAACATAACAGGTTTTGAAAATGTCTCTATTACTGTGGCCTAATATATGTAACTCACGCTTAAATCCAGACAATTCACACTATAATGAATAACAAATTATGCAAGAAGAAAATAGAATTAATTTCTGAATATTTATTTAGCTATCTACATAGGTGAAAGTATGGTTATTGCTACCTATAAAGAAAGTTGGTGATTTTACTGCGGCGCATTATTTAAAGGGACACTATAGTCACCTGAACAACTACAGCTATTTGTATTTGTTCTGGTGAGTAGAATCATTCCCTTCAGGCTTTTTGCACTATACATAGTCTTTTCAGAGAAAAAGCAGCATTTACATTACAGCCTAGTGATCACTTCACTGGCCACCACTCAGATGGCAGGTAGAGGTGCTTCCTGGGGCAGTCCTGCCTAGTGTGCAGCAGTGCCATTCCATGTCTCCACCTTCTGCTTGCAGACACTGACCCTTCTTCATATAGATGCATTGATTCAATGTTTTTCTATGAGGAGATGCGGATTGGCCAGGGCTGTTTGACTTGTGCTTGCTCTGCCCCTGAGAAGCCTCCTTGACAGTCTCAGCCACTCCTATGGGGAAGCATTGTGATTGGCTCAGATCCCCACTTCTGATGATGTCAGCAGCCAGAGGCAGCGACAGCAGCTTGAGACTTGAATACAAGTAAGATTTTACTATATTTAGGTAGACGGTGGTTTTAACACTATAGGGTCAGGAATATATGTTTGTGTTCCTTTAATATTGTGATTAAATGGTTAGCCATATACAATGAAGATCCCAACTGATAATTTGACAATACTAAAATTAAAATGTATCATAAATAACTAAAAGAAAATATTGCAATTTGAGATGTGATCATATCAAAATTAAGTTGTGTCATACCCCATATTTGCAGAGAGAGAAAAAAAATAAATAAAAGTATCAAACTAGCAGTAATTAATAGCGCTTTGGAATTTTTTGCTCTAAATGTGATATCAAGACCCCCCTTACCTCCCCCCCATACCACCACCTTTTCCGAAAACTGCATAAATCAAACTATTTTAATAGTTTTAGTTATTTAATTTTGCCTAATTTTTTATCTATTTCTGGTCTTTTTTTTATCCAAGTAAAATATCTTAATTGAAGATTTCACATACATATGAATCTTCTTTTGCTAAAGAGTGCCACCTACTGGCAGTCTGACATACGAATTGAGTAAGGAGCACAGCCATAAATGTTTATATACAAAAAAATCTTTATTAAATGGGTAAACACTAATAGCATATCTCATTAAATATGAAACCAAAAAGTACACAATCATAACATGTTGTAAAGCAACTGCCAGAAAAATTCTGGCTATATACAAGCGCCAAATGCGTAATGTATGAAATAACTAAGTTTCAATATCATAGGTAACTAAATTAGATACCAATACAATCCAAACCCACAAGAACAAACACAGATAGAAAAAAAATACAAAAAGCATACCAGACCTAGTGAGAAGCAGGGACAGAGTCAACCAAAAAGCTCCCAACGTTTCAGCAAAATGCCTTTATCAAGGGAGCTCCCTTGATATATATCCAGAATTTTTCTGGCAGTTGCTTAACAATATGTTATGATTGTGTACTTTGGTTTCATATTTAATGAGATATGCTATTAGTGTGTACCCATTTAATAAAGATTTTTTGTATATAAACATTTATGGCTGTGCTCCTTACTCAATTCGTACTTGCATCTTTTTGGGCTTTTTGGGGATACAGCCTTATGTAAGTGAGCACCAAATACCTAGTTCTTACAGAGCTCCATTTAAAGGAGCTAGCTTGTATTAATTATTGGAGTGTGCCTACCTTGCTTTATTTTTAATACTACAAAGACTAACATTTCTTAATGGTGAAAGTTTTCATATATCTCCTTTGACGCTTGTTATTTTCCTCATTCACAATGGATGAAGAGTTTGAGGTTTTGCAATGGCAGCATGCGTGCACACTCAGCCAATTAAAAGGGACACTCCAGACCACCTCCACACTCAAGAGGCAGCAATTGCCCAGAGCACCTGACTTGCAAAGACTTCTTATTGAGCTGCATTGGGAAGTCTGTGATTGAATAGCCACAGAATGTCCGGGCAGGGTTAGAAGGGAGCACTTGTAAAGGCAGCAGACAAGAGATCTGCAGGTTTTGCAAGCTGTTTTTTTTTGGTTTTGTTTCTTAATTCTTTATTTATAAGTTTTGATTTTACAGTTCCTACATACATCACAATTAGACTGTACGGTACAGGTTGCAAAAAGGTATGGTACATGGCATACTATTGTTATTAATGATATGTGTGACCAGAGGCGTAACTAGAAACCACAAAGCCCAGGTGCGAAAATTGCCCTGGGGGTTCCCCTATACGTCTACCCTACGCCAATCACCCATACGTTGCCCACACACACACACGTATACATCCAGACACACACATATACAGAGACACAGAAACATTAATACAGACACATACCCAAACACACACACACACACGATTGTCACAGACCCTCCACCCTTCCCTCTACCCTCTGTCACATCCCCTCCACCCTCCTCTGCCCACTGTCACAGCCACTTTACCCCCCAGTCACAGCCAATCCACCCCCACCCTGTCACAGCCCCTCAAGCCCCCAACCATGCAACAGCCCCTCCAGTCCCCTTATGCTCCCACAGCCCCCCTACCCTGTTACAGCTCCCCTACCATGTCGCAGCCACCCTACCTTCTCACAGTCACAAACAGAAGACATTCATCATACACACATGCACAAAAGGTCACATGCAGCCCTCATAAATACAACACATTGCAAGCAGATACTCCACACACATACAGTCCCAGACACATTTATAAAGACATACATTCACACACAATGATACTCTCGGTCAGACACACACTTTCATGCACATACACAGATAGACAATGCCAGACACACTCCGGCACTAATGTATACACGACTGCCAGGCTATGTAACCATGCCCCACAGTCATGTTTTAAAGATTAGCATAATTGCTAATTACATTTGTTTATTGCAAATTAATTTAGTTTGTAAATTATGCTATAACAGTGGCAGAGCTCGCTCACAACGCAGCGGCACAGGGAGCCGCGACACTGCAAGCCTCTGAACAATGAATACATAAACTAGCTCTGCAAGCTTGTTCTTCAATACAGCTACAGCACCTTAAACACACACAATGCAACCCCCATTTTGTTTTCCACTTTGGATGTTAGTGGGGGCCTCATGTTTGAGTTTCGCCTAAGGCCTCACGAAGTCTAGAGCCGCCACGGTCATGTGGGAAAGGGTGGAGTAAAAGGCAATGTCGTTGGTGGGTGAAGCTGCAATCGAGAGGTTTAGGGAACATCCCATTCAGCATTATGCCTTCTGCTTGTTAAGGAGGTAGGAGGGCTGCAAAGAGCCTGCATAGAAAGTGTGGCAGTCCCTAATCTTCAGTTGCCACTGCCTCTTATCTTCTACCGGTACTAGCTGGTGGCTCAGAGTGGCTCAGAGTGGTATTGGCTGAAGTTAGGTCACTGACCTGTTTCTGCAGCTCGATGAATTGTGCAGCATGTGCTATGGTGGTCTTCTCACTGCATCCAGTCGAACATTGAACCCTCTGACCTGCGAGATTTCTGAGGATAGGTTTTGACAGAGGTCCACCAAGAGGCTGGTAAGTATTGCTGTGGTGACACCTCCTCAGTTGGCTGGGTGGGCTTGGGTGGCCAGGTCTTCCACATTATAAGGACCGTAATCTTTCGACGTGTCAGAAATCTCCAATGTCCGCCACCATGTCAGGACTCCCCTCGCCACACAGCCTCTGCAGCAAATCTGCGATATCGGCCGGAAAATCTTGGACGATCCGGTCGGGGTTTCCATCTCATTGCATGAGAAGCACCTTCAGGTTTGTTTTGGGGAGGTTGTGCCCCTTACTGCTCTCTATTTCGGAAGTTTTAAGTGCCACACTTTTAGAGCTCAGCAACCCTGTGGCAAAGTCATAATGCCACACAGTTTGTAAATTGGCAAAGGAGCAGCATATTGATTTACACCTATAAGCTCCCAATGCTCATACATAAAAAGGACACAAAATAAAAAGGTTAAAGGTATGTACTCTGGGACTACTCTGAATTCTGTACCTGCATGGAATGTAAGGTATGCCAAAGAAATGTGTGGGTTAAAAAAAAATTAAACAAGTCTACGGAAACCCTTGGGTTTTGTTTTGTCTAACAATGCTCAACTGACATTCAAATCACAAATCAAAAATAAACTTAACAATAGCTAACAGATGAACTAATAACTCAATGAGTTCTACAGACTGGTCAGAATGTTAACACGTTTAGTACTCTAGATTTAAGTGAAGGGAGTTAAATAATTTAACATTCATTAAAAAATGCACACACAATGATAAAATTAACTCTATAGGCACCAAAACCACTTCATCCCAATGTCTTTTCAACCTTGCAACTAAAAACCATTGCCTTTTGCAGGAATAATTTTGTTGGCATTGCAAGGTTAATATGCCACTAGTGCCTGTCTTTTTGACAGTAAATAGAGGTGCTTTGGCTTCAATTGCCAAGTTAATCTCGACTATTCAATCAGATGATCTCATAAAGACCATTTGATTGTCAGAGTGGCATTTTTCATTAAAGGTTGATGATCTCAGATGCGGAGCTTCAGCATAGAGACCAGTGTACAACAGGCTATAAGGTAAGTAAATCTTACCTTGGGGGAGGGACCCCTACATAGGTAGGGTAACACTATAGTGTTAGGAATATATGTTTGTATTACATAAAGGAACACCCCAGATTACCCTCCACGGGCTCTGCTGCAGTTCAATTTATCAGATAAAATAAATGAAGCTGCTGCCTGAACAGATAGCTCTGTTAACAGATAAAAAAAATTATTTGTAATCAGGGCTATTGGATTTCGAGTCCGACCTGCGAATGCCTTGGCAGGGTTAGACAAAATTATTTTGCGTGCCTTATACGGCCCGCAGGCAGGACATTTCCCACCCCTGCTTTAAATAGAGGTACAGGTACGGATGCGGTTCTGAATCTTTCACAGAAATCAGTTAAGGAACATGTTAGAGCAGGTAGAGACTCGTACTGCAGGTGCACACTATACAGGTACTGATACTTGGACACACTGGGGGGGTGGGAGCATTAGCTTCCATTTCTGAATGATGGTGTGGGCTTAAACAGTGATTTTTACAAGTCCGGATACAGTATTACGGAACCTCCTTTAACCATAACGTTTGCAAACAGCACAGGTTGTTGTAGCACTTGCATAGTGCATTTGGTAAATGTGCCTGCTGATATTCCTAGAACAGAAATTAGACACAGAATTTCAAAAAAAAAAATGTCTTCAGAGACACTACTTGACATGAATGTTTAATCCTATAATGGACAAGCACATATAAAATTTGAAAATACATTTACAGGAATTTCCTAGATTACTTACTGCTCCTCCCACACAACGGCAGAAGACAGGATGTCCCCACCAATGCCACCATGATCCTCTGGAATAGTGGCTCCTAGAAGACCCTGTTGGCCGGCTTTCTCCCAAACTTCACGGCTCACCTGTCCAGCTTTCTCCCACCTAAAAATAGGAAACAGTACGTGAAAATGTGTAAAAAAATGACAAGTTCTATACCATAAGGGACATGGGTGTATACGTATGTGTAATATACACACACACACACACACACGTTTATCAATAGTGTATAAATAGATGCTATAGGAGTTCACATGGACCATACATGAAGCTGCTTCCCCACAACAGAGGAGGTATATGACTGCCAGGAATAGAAGAGGCCTGCGCCTTTATCAACACTATCCATGGCTCTGTGTTGGACCTTCGAGACAACCATGGTGGTAGTGGTAAGGTGAAACAGTTCAGAAGTCTTAAGGACTGCATAGCATGAAGACGATTGTGTTAAACGGTACTAGAAAACAAAATGAAATAGTACGGCAAGCTTAGCATGTGGAAGAGCAAACAACCTCACCATAGCTTTACCAGTAAATTTGATGGAAACTGTAGTCTGACGCGTGGTACAATTGTAACCATGTTTAAGGCCAGTCAGTAGAATCCTACCATAGTTATTCACTAAAGCAGGGATTCCCAATTATTTTTTCCCTTGGAACCCTTTAACATGGTATAGCCAAACTTTTGAACCCTAAAATGAATGAAAATAAATAAAAAATTTAAATGTGTGCCAGTAAGCCTTACTTCAGTGGTGGGGAAAGTGATGGAAACCATGTTAAAGGATAGGATTGTTGAACAACTAAAAACACATGGATTTCAAGATCAGAGACAACATGGGTTTACTTCAGGGAGATGCAGTAGACATTGCTTACCTAGATTTCAGTAAGGCTTTTGACACTGTTGCACATAGAAGGCTTATCAATAAACTGCAATCTTTAAGTTTGGATTCCAATATTGTTGAATGGGTAAGGCAGTGGCTGAGTGACAGGCAACAGAGGGTTGTAGTTAATGGAATATATTCGAAGCTTGGACTTGTCACCAGTGGGGTACCTCAGGGATCTGTACTTGGACCCATTCTCTTTAATATTTTTATTAGTGATATTGCAGAAGGTCTTGATGGTAAGGTATGTCTTTTTGCTGATGATACTAAGATATGTAACAGGGTTGATGTTCCAGGAGGGATAAGTCAAATGGCAAATGATTTAGGTAAACTAGAAAAATGGTCAGAATTGTGGCAACTGACATTTAATGTGGATAAGTGCAAGATAATGCATCTTGGACGTAAAAACCCAAGGGCAGAGTACAGAATATTTGATAGAGTTCTAACCTCAACATATGAGGAAAAGGATTTAGGGGTGATTATTTCTGATGACTTAAAGCTAGGCAGACAATGTAATAGAGCAGCAGGAAATGCTAGCAGAATGCTTGGTTGTATAGGGAGAGGTATTAGCAGTAGAAAGAGGGAAGTGCTCATGCCATTGTACAGAACACTGGTGAGACCTCACTTGGAGTATTGTAGACAGTACTGGAGACCGTATCTTCAGAAGGATATTGATACTTTAGAGAGAGTACAGAGAAGGGCTTTTAAACTGGTTCATAGATTGCAGGATAAAATTTACAAGGAAAGGTTAAAGGATCGTAACATGTATAGCTTCGAGAAGAGACGAGATGGGGGGGGGGGGATATGATAAAAACATTTAAATACATAAAGGGAATCAATACAGTAAAGGAGGAGACTATATTTAAAAGAAGTAAAACTACCACAACAAGAGGACAGAGTCTTAAATTAGAGGAACAAAGGTTTAAAAATAATATCAGGAAGTATTACTTTACTGAGAGGGTAGTGGATGCATGGAATAGCCTTCCAGCTGAAGTGGTAGAGGTTAAAACAGTAAAGGAGTTTAAGCATGCGTGGGATAGGCATAAGGCTATCCTAACTATAAGATAAGGCCAGGGACTAATGAAAGTATTTAGAAAATTGGGCAGACTAGATGGGCCGAATGGTTCTTATCTGCCGTCACATTCTATGTAGAGTAGCGCAGCGCAAACCTTTCAATGAGCAGAGTGTAATGTTCTCTTTTGCTGGCAAATTATTTTTAGATCTGGTTTAATTGTTGACAATTGTATTCGCATGTCTGCAGTTGCGTCAAGTCGATTTCAATACTTTGTTTTTGTTGCAGAGTAAAGCGAGAAGCCAGTTTCACATAAGTATGTGCTGGCGATTGGCAACAGAACTTTGATTGCCCGCTTGGACAATTCTGGGTATTATTCACGTAAATCACTCCAAAAAGCAATAAGAGAAACTTCTTTGAATTTTTGGCTTAGTTGGCTGTCAGACGTTATATCGATCAGATTCTCAAAATCTACATCAGAAATATTGGCTTGATGTCTTTTAGAATGGATTTTGAACCCACTCATTGTTTTCATTCAAGAATGGAAAATACTGATTAATAGATGTGATTAAATGGCAAAGATGATCTACAATTTCATTGAGAATTTCACCTTCAAGTTCAATTTCTGATTCTTCAAGAAATCCTTAAGTGTTGGCAAAGAGTTCAAATTATTTTGCTCATCAGATGAGGTCCAAAACTGCAGCTAAAAATATTAGTGTTTTTCCCTTGGAGTGATAAACATACGTCATCTAATTTTGTGAATATGTCTGCAAGATATGCTACTTTGGATAACCACAGAGTGTTTGTTAATCGATCAGATAATCCAAATTTATGATCCTGGAAATATGCAAACAACGCTTGACGCAATTCAAACAAACATTCTAACAAGGACTTTTCCTTGTGATAGCCAACGGACTTCTGAATGCAAAAGCAGAGCAGAGACTACCCATATAATTTTAGATGTAAAAAACAGATAAAATGTATATCTTGTAATACCTTTTTTATTGGACGAACAGAATTTTTTAATGACAAGCTTTCGGGTATGAAAATATAAGAATTTTATCTGTTTTTTTACATCTACATCACTGGACAAGTACTGCTACAATCTCTTCTTGAACATATAATTTTAAATAGTTGTGACTGTAATGGTCAACTATTTATAAAATTAACCCCTTAAGGACGGAGCCAAATGTGCACGTTGTGAACGAAACAAAATGTAAACAAAACCTGGCATTTGCGCTACATGTCTGTCCAACCGTAATTCAACTCTTTCATAGTAAATGCACCCACCCTTATTATATATAATTTTATTCCGGGAAAACAGGGCTTTCATTTAATATCAAATATTTAGCTATGAAACATAATTTAATATGAATATATATATTGATATATACGTGTATATATATTATTTCGTTCTACGTGTATTTTGATATATATATATATATATATATATATATATATTTTAATATCACAATACAGTTAGAATGAAAGAACACTTTTTTTAAATTTTTTAATTTTTTTTAACGTATTTACATATTTAATTTTTTATATTATATATAAATATATATATAACAATAATTATATATATTTAATCAGTATCAGTCTACGTGTAATTTGATATTAATATATATATTAATAGTAAAATACACCTAGACAGTGTATGTGTATATATATATATATATATATTTTTTTATTATTTTTTTTTTTTTTACACTTTACTTTTTAATTTTATTTTAATTTCATTTCCAGCCAGCAGGGGGACCACCTGTCATTACAGGCAGCCCCCCTGCTGGCAATGCAGGAGGCAGCTACCCCCGGCCATGTGATTGTGGGGTCCTCGCAAGGACCTCACTCTAACATGGCCGGGGGGCACCGGAGGAAGAGGACCTACCGCGGGGGGGCTCCCTGGGAGTCCCCCCCACCGCCACCACCGGCGTCCGACCGCCGGCGACCAGGTAAGTAAGAAAAGACCGGAGGGCGTACAATTACGCCTAAAATAGGGTGTAATTGTACGTCCTCCGGTCTTAAGGGGTTAATCATCTGGACTGATTCGTCTAGCACAGTTTTAAGTGAGATTGAAGTATTTTTAGCTACCAGTATAGGTCTGTGAAGAACACAGTGAGAACTGGTGTGGTTTTTGCTACATTTCTTATTCATGTCACAGCGCTTGCCACCTTCCCAACCATTGCTTTGGCACCATCACTGCACACCTCTACACATTTGTCCCAATTTATACTGTGCATGTTTATGATACAGTTAAAGATGTTCTCACCAGTGGTATGAGTTTTCAAAGTTTCACACAGAAGCAAGTCTTCAATCTGTTTGTCAAAATTATATCTAACAAAAACCAACAACATTGGAAGTCCTGCAACATCTGTGGACTCATCTAATTGCAGTGAGTACCCATCACATTGGTGCAGTCGAGAAATTAGTTCAGTATGGATGTCATCAGCAAGATCATGAATATGGCGCAAAACTGTGTTGTTGGAAAGTGGCACAGCTTAAATTTGTTTTTGTTTTTTTACTACACTCAACTACTCACTTAAAATACATGACACTATTTCTTTGGCACATGGTTTTATTAGGGATTCCTAAATTGTGTGTGTGTATGTCTCCTGCAAGTGCTATGCGATAACTCACTCTGTAAGAAGCCTCTGTGGCTTTTTCATTAGCATTTTGACATTTTTTTTCTCATAAAATTGTTTACTCTTCTCAGGGCCGTCTATAATATGAATAGGACCCTGGATGAAGCATTTCCTTGGGCCCCTTCCCCTTTCCACCCCCCCTCAATTACGCCCAACCCTCAAATCACACTGACAGACATACTGACACATTAAGACATTCACAAATACATACTGACACACACATACACTGACACACAAATATATACTGGCAGACATATAGACACACATTCGGACACATACACTGACAGACATATTGACACACACACATTTAGCCACCCTCCAGGTTCTTACCTTTTTCTGGAGGGTGGTCTCCCTAGGGTCCAGTGGCAGGCTGAGGCAGTTGAGAGTTCTCCTCTGGAACTCCCCTCCTCCCGCGCGGCTCTGATCTCCAGTGGGAGGAAATGACGGGCGGCACTCACTTCCTCCCAGCCGGCTGCCGAACAGGAAGAGGCCCGGTCGCGCTGTATAAGTGTCACAGCGCCTGAACAGGCCCCTACTGACACATGCCCACCAGGTCGCCCTTAGTGCATGCGTGCATGAGCCACCTGGGGGGCCTCCTTAGTGTGCGGGCCGGTGTGGCTCTGTGCAGCCGCAAGCCGGGTCTATGGGGGCTGCGCAAATCGCAGGGCCCACAGGGCAGCTGCTCTGGTGCCCCCCGGAGCAACTGGGCCCGGGGAAGCTGCCCTGTTTGCCCCCGCGTTAAAGATGGCCGTGATACTCCTTCTGATACTCCTTTAGCCTTCGCTTTAAAAAAAAAAAAAAAAAAAGTCAATGTCTTTATCTTTGTACTCTGCGTGGTTTTGCTCACAATGATGACGTAATTTACCAGGTGCCAAGTGTTTGGCAATATTTTATTGCAAAGTACGCATTGTGCTTCAGGACAATCTTCCTTTTTGGCACTTGTAAATCCAAATGACAAGTAGCGATCATCAGATTTTCTTTTCTTTGTTTGAGAAGAAAATTGGCTAGCATTGTGTGCTTTTCTTTTTTTTTTTTTTTAACTTGTCACTTGTCTCTGCTATTTGAGGAACAGTAGAGTTCCCTGCTTTAACCAGCTTTCCAAATTCATGGTTGTTTATTGGTATAAAAAAACAGTACTTGAAATAACCCTTTATGATCTCATTTTGGAAAGTAAAAGAGTTGTTGTTTTAATATAGTAAGACAAATGTTGGAAACTGCACTTCAGAATACTCTTGCACAATGGCCTAATAAACATATTGAAGATTCAACAATATTTTATATCCACTACTTCATATGTAGTAAAAACCAAAAAAAAAAATACAAAAAAAAAAAATAAAAAAACTTACTCCGTATGGTGAGGGACTACTTCCTGTTGGAAGAACCTTCTGGCACTTTCTCTGAAAATATCATGATCACCATTAAATACGCGTCTTGTACCAATGTCCATTAAGGTTTTTGCATGAGAAGGCTCAGGGCGTGCGTCATCACTGGCTTTGGAATGTTGGCACCTTAAAAAAAATATAGAATATAAAATAAAAATTAATTTTCTGAGAGATAGATAGAAGTTCTAAGCCACATATACAGTTCTAAGACACAGCATGGTCTGTGTGCCATCACCTTTGAAATTATGTTCAACCCCCACCCCCACTCTCCTAATATCAATGTAAAAAATAAAACCAGGATTATAGTACAAACCAAGATAAACCATTTACTAAATAATAAGGATTTATATATATGGTGGGATTATCCATATGGGATGACTATTAAAAATATCAGAAAAAAAAAAAAACATCCATATTAAAAATAAATATAAAATTAAAACATGTCATATTGAGGAGAGCCAATATTCCCTGAGTCAAATATATCCCCTTACAGTATGTACACCACCAGTACATGTGCAATCCAGTATGTGGCACATTCATTCAAGAGATTGCAAGAACATCTTAGACAAAGTCCAAGCACATAGCGTACCACTGTCTGGTCACAGCCCCTTCTATAATATTAGAACATCATTGGTCCAGATTCCTTCCAGTAAGCCAAGGAGTGAAAGGGAACGTCTCAAGGTTGCTTATATCCCAGTTTACAGATTCTGATATTATATACCTCTTTGAGACTGTATGACGGATCTTCAATTTAGTTTACTTTTAATTATTCCACAGTTTGTCATATTGGTTAAGATTTCCTTTTTGTATTTTGTTACAGATATTTTTTATGTATTCAGATCTCTGTTCCCATGGTTTAAATAAGTCATCCTAACGCACATGCTAAATAGTGGACTCTGAAATTAATTATCATTTAATGAAAATGTTACTGTTGGCAACCAAACCTCAAATATTTTTTCTTTGTTCATATGCATTACCAATTCAGTTTGACTTTTCTAGGACAAAATATCTTAATTTTTTTGGAAATACAGGTATATTTTTATTGAAGAGCATTTTCGGTAAAAAACAGAAATATCAGAGTGGGTCTTGCAGGGCCCAAAAGCATTATTTAAAATACGAGTCACAGGTCTCAAGTAGATCTTTTTTGTAAATCAACATTTCCATTGAGGATGTAGGGAATGGATATCATGAATGTCCACCACTGGTGAGACACGCAGGTCTTTCACAACATGACGATCAATCTGGCCACGCAGGGCCAAACTAGGAGATATCGCAGCATATATATATAAACAGAATTGCGTATAGTTAGGGAGACTATCTGGCAAATATCCTGTATGATGTGATCTTTGTGATGTGTGAAGAGTCATCACTCACCAACCATGGATCCTGAATTAATAGTTGTGGGATAGTTAGAAGGAATTAAGCAAATTAACCGTATAACACTTGGTATAGGGGAAAGAATTTAACCCTGATATACTACTGTGGTGTGTACAGAGAAAGGATTGGGGGCACACCTGAGACCTGAATTTCGCATGAAAGGTGCTGCCGCAGTGACCAAACTTCATACATGAAAAAAATAGTTGCTGCGCACTCAGACTACAAAAAAATACAACACAAAGAAGGCTTCTAAAATTGCCTATCTAAGAATAAATATGGGGATTTAGTTCCACCATGTATGATGTAAAGCCCACCACTGCTTTCAAAGTACCCCAATGTTGGTGGGTCCTACGCTAAAATGTGGGGGACATATTAAATAGTACTAGTGTTAAAAATAAAATGTATTACAGTAAATCCTTGTAAGAGCAAAGTGAGTATACAAAATAAAGTGATGAAAGCAATTAAAAACAGTGCTAAACAATTAAAGTGCTAGAATGAATATACTCACTATTGCATATGATATCTGTGTTGAATAAAGAAAATAATAAAAGTGACCTGACTATTGAAAACTCCTCCTATACACACACACACACACACACACACACACACACACACACATACACCTGTGGCCACCTCTAAAGAGGCCTCTGAAGCTGGACCCCAACGGAATCTGGTCTGAATTCCAAATATACTGTGTACAAAGAAAGGATTGGGAGCACACATACTACTGTGGGGAGTCTATTCAGCCTGGATGTTGGCGTTTGTAACCTCCAGAAGGAAGTGACTGGTGCAGGTTTTAGGTCGTTGGCAGACATCACTCAGCCAATAACTTGGCCATGCATGGTAGGAGTTAGCTCAGTTAAGCCATCTTCCAAGCTATAGTGGTTATAGCGTTTCTTTAATATATGTCTCAAACAGACATCTTTGACCTAATATTTCTGCAAATTAATAAACAGTCTTTAAAATCTCTATGGAGAATAAGTTATCATGAAATGACCACGACTTATATTGATTAGCCTTTTTGAAATCAGTTTATACGGAGTGTTTTTGTTTTTTTTTATATCATTTATATTTCGTATTAACGTTAGTGTTTAGCAAATAGTAATTCATATTCTACAAAACCTGTTAACCAGGATATGCATTTAGTTGTGTGAGGGGCAAATAAGGCCGTATAGGAAGCATACCAAGAGGAGCATAGTAAAGGGGGAAATAAGTCAGTTGAGGTGTGCCGGAACCGACATCGCGGCAGGCCTGTAATAAAAAAAAAAAAAAGAGGGCCCACCCATGAGATGTAATGAAAAATATAGATAGAGGGAGTGGAGGGTGGGGACAAGTGAATCGTTAAAATCACGTACGGGACGGAGGAAGGTGAGTAGGTGGGTTTAAGTAGTGTAACATACCCCACCCACAACTGCAGGCCAAGCCTTTGCATTTGTGTGAGGGGCAAATAAGGCCGTATAGGAAGCATACCAAGAGGAGCATAGTAAAGGGGGAAATAAGTCGGTTGAGGTGTGCCGGAACCGACGTCGCAGCAGGCCTGTAAAAAAAAAAAAAAAAAGAGGGCAAAAAGTTGATACATGCCAGAAACGTAGAACAATCAACAACTGATGAGAAAACCTTAATTGCCTAGCTATATGGTAAATGCCTGTCGCTAATCTTGGCGGTACGTGGTACATTTGGGGGAATATGCTGAGAACGTCCATTGACCTAGAGATTAAATATATACGGACCAAAGTGAACTAGATTGAAGCCATAGATGCCACCCTATCCTAGAGGGGTGACCAGAATAGTAGAACGGATTAAATCTGACCCCAAGATCAATGCACCAAAGAATAGTAAGTATGTCGTAGTGTGAGGACTGGCCCCAAGTAGTGAGATGTGTGATAGTGAGGCTTGATTAGAAAGAGAAAGTAAATAGGTCCCCATTTCCTTGTGGTTGATCCAAAAGAAGGCAAAAAACCCAGTTTGAAGCACTGCCAATTTGCAACAAGCTAGGGGGAAAAAATCCCTCTTGACCCCAGAATAGCAGTCAGATTTAACCTTGGATCAAGCAGTTATTACCCTACATTGAATGTTGGTGTCTGGTTCGTAAGGACAGGCATCTAATAGGTCTGATAGTGATTGAACTAATTGGATGCGGATGGGATATCTGCAAGATTTTAAATTCCCTGCGAGCCAGAAATGTCTTGAGTATGGTACTAAACTGGTATGAGGACATGAAACTGCGTATGAATGGTAAACCTGTAACAGCATGTGAAGTTGTAATCGGTAGAGTTGATGCAAGTTAGAGGTGGCAAAAGAAGCAAAAACAATCGCAGACAACATGGCAAAAGACAGTAAACGTGAAAAAGGAGCCTCAAAGGAGAAGAAGGCCCTAACACATGTACCACGAGTGTAAACAGAAAGAGCCAGATGAGAAAGATGACGACCACGAGCTAACAAGGCTGGTAGTCCGCGAGCAGACCGCGAAACACAGGGAATGGCAGCGGCTACGGGAGAGGCCGAAGGCAGAGCCAAGTGGAAAGCGTGAAAAAGGTGCAGGAAGTCTGGCTCGGATCCAGCCAGAGCAGCAGACGCCAATTACCTAAATTGCCAATCCGAAACCGCCCTATAGACAACAGTAGCGTAGAATGGAAGAGCGAACTCGGGGCCCCCTCCGGCAACAGCGTTACCCATGGAGGCAGACAGACGCTGAAAGTTCAGCTGACCGAAGGCTGCTGGGAAGGGAATAAGTCGACTCGCAAGAACTGCAGCGAAGTGAAGTAGTGACCAGGACACGCAAAGAAGGTAGGAGTAGCCGAAACTCCACAGCGCAATGAGTATCAGACCTAGCCAGAGAGCCAGGCGGAAAAAGTATCACGCCAGCGCCAGGCAGTGGAGACTGGCTAAATAAAAATTTTTTTAAAAAAGTCAAAGAAACAGCGCATAAGCTACCCAATGTGTATGTGCGCGTGAGTGTGAGCTGGCATACTAGCTAATGCCAAAAGGCGAAACAATTAAAACTATGTTTGCTGACGGGGAGGCCCTGCTAAATACCAAGCGGCATGAGAGGCTCTATCTATGCGTTGACGCGAGGGGATAACGTGGCCACTGAACTTTGCGGTGGAGTGTTGGCCTCTCGGTGACAGTTAAACATAAGATAGAACGGGAGTGACAGGTGAGGCCCTCTCTATGCTACGAGGCGACTAACTATGATTTGGCCCGAGGGGCGTAGTACCTCCGAGTATGAGGATGGGTGTAGGCCTCGCAGGACCACTAACCTAAGGCAAAGAAGCCTGGGGGAATTACAACTAGTGGACACCTAGGACCATGACAGCCAGCCACAGCTAACAAAGAGAAGAGGGATGGTAGCGTGAGAGAGGATGGATTTGATGAACGCATATCGAAAGAACGTGAGGGTGAACGAGGAAGTACCGCAGGGCTGACCGTAACCGAGAAGCAGAGTAAGCATGTCAGAGTCCAGGCGGTCAAGCCGAAAGGAGCATTCCCAGCAATAGGTAATAGAGTACGTGTTGATGTAAAGCCCACTGGGCTCACGAGACCCAGTGTGAGTGTGAGTGTGAGTGTGAGGGTGTGTGCGTGTGAGTGCTGGCATACTAGCTAAAACCAAAAGGCGAAACAATTAAAACTAGGTTTGGTGACAGGTGAGGCCCTGCTAGATGCCAAGCAGCGGGAGAGGCTCTATCTATCTTCTACTAACCACATCATGCTAGCAAGAGCAGTGGGACTGGACAACAGTTAATGAGAGAAGCTCCTAATGGTGTCACATTTTATTAACATTGGACTTCATCATAAGGCTAGGCAGTCTCTGCTTTGTCTTATAGTATCCTAATGGCAGTGAACTTCCAACGCAGACAATATGAGAATTTTAAAAAATATGAGAATTTTATATAAAAAAATAAATAAATAAAAAAAAATAAAAAATTATATATATTTTTATATATATATAAATAAAAATAAAATATACTGTCCAAGTAATGACAGAGCTGTTTTAATAAAATTAGAGAAATTTGAGAATAATGTCTGGCTCTATGACTTTTCACAGATCACAAATACATATAAGGCAATTATTATTAAGAAATAATTTAATGAATGGTGTTAATGTTGCAATAAATAAGTGTTGCATGAAACCTAAATCTTCCCTGCACACTGATAAACACTGTACGTGTCTCTTTATTACATCTTGTCAAAAAGTAGGGCAAAGTTCACACCTATGAGAGAGCTAGATATGATCAGAATGTGGAAGGCCTTTAGCAACAGTAGTCAGAACATAATTACTAGCAGAGTTAAAATATTAATATATTTTGCCTGTTTCACTCCCTGCTCCCTTTCCATAGGGTTGTCGGACTACCACTCCCATCTGGATGGCTTTGTGATGGGGGTGTCTGATGCCTGTGCTGAGAGTTACAGAGGCCTGCAACAGCATATGAAGGTTAAATGAGTTGTGCACACTGATAAACACTGTATCTGCCCTTTTATTTAAATCCCCTTCAAAACTAGGACAAAGTTCACAGCCATGGAAAGTCAGAGGGCTGTGAGCAACTTGTGCCAGCTTACAATACTTACTGGGTATATATACCTTTTAGGGATATTCATCAAAAGAAACACACACACAGAATAACATTAAAGGCTTGATTAATAACAATCTGGCTGTATCTAAGCACAATTCGTATAAATACTGGAAAAAAAAAAAAAACTTTTCCTATAAAGTGGAGTAAACCAGTTTTGTTACCACTGACAAGTCAGATGTTTGTGGACTACACTGCCCAAGATGCACAGCCATCCTGCTGGATAAGCTTTATAGGAAATCTAGTTTACAAACATTTTTTATCTATCCCTGCATTATATCACAGTGATATGGCATAGGAATACAGACATTATTTACCTGATGTGTTCTCCAGCCCATAGAGAGCCCCTGGTTGATACACATGGGGCATGCTTGGTGTAGATTCTGTTTAGCTGCTGGGCTGATCTCCCCAATATACTGAGCCGGGTGGCCATTGTAGAAATTGCTCTGTCACAAAATGAACAATGACAGGGTGTAAGGCAGGAAGTAGCAATAGTGGAGGTGGAGACTGCTGGTTTTACATATGGACTTTGCAAGCTATTGATTCTGGGGCTATTGCCAAAGGAAGCTCAGCGTCGCCATCTAGTGGCCGTTTGTTGGAATTGCGTTGATTTCCTTTCACTGCAATTATTGTGGGAGATAGAACAATTGTTATTATTGTGTGAGGGGCAAATAAGGCCGTATAGGAAGTAAAAGGGAAATAAGTCGGTTGAGGTGTGCCGGAACCGACGTTGTGGTAGGCCTGTAATAAAAGAGGGCCCACACATGAGGTGTAATGAAAGTATAGAATAGAGGGAGTGGAGGGTGGGGACATGCGAGTCGCTAAAAACGTAACAGGACGGAGGAAGGTGAGTAGGGGGGTTTAAATAGGTACCATGCCCCTCCCACAACTGCAGGCAAAGCCTTAACATTTGTGTGAGGGGCAAATAAGGCCGTATAGGAAGTAAAAGGGAAATAAGTCGGTTGAGGTGTGCCGGAACCGACGTCGTGGTAGGCCTGTAATAAAAGAGGGCAAAAATTGGGTACCTGTCAGAAACGAAAAACAATCAACAAAACCTAAAAGCCTAGCTGTATGATAAATGCCAAGCGAGGAAATAGTTGCCCAGCACTTTAACCGGCACTCTTAATTGTGCAAGGGAAGGTAAGGTATATGAAACGTGTTGGTCCCCCTAGGGTAGACTAAATGTGGGGTATAGAAAATAATCAGTAGACTGCATGAATAGGTGAGACTTCCTAAGATAGTGCTGCAAGAAGGACGTGGTGGCTGAGGGAAAGTATGTGAGGAATAGTGGCTCAACAACTAGATTACAAATTTAAAGTGACTAGTTGCCATCAAGTACAGCCTTCCTCACATTGTGTTTAAACGGTTGATCCAAAAGAAGGCAAAAAACCCAGTTTGAAGCACTGCCAATTAGCAACAAGCTGGGAAAAAATTCCTTCTTGACCCCATAATGGCAATCAGATTTCCTTGGATCAAGCAGTTATTGCCCTACATGAAGGTTGTTTCCTGGTTCGTAGTGACAGGCATTTAATAAGTCTGATGGTGAATCAGATACTTGGATGTAGATGTGAAATCTGTAAATTAGAAATTCCCTGGAACCTGAAACGCCTTGAGCATGCTAATAGTCCGGAATGAGGACATGAAAACTGCATATGAATGGTAAATCTATACAACATGTGGAGTTGTGAACTGGATAGGTAGAGTTGGTAAAAGAAGCAAAACCAAAAGCAGGCAACAAAGCTATAGAAACAGTATTGGTATACGCGAAGAAGGAGCCTCAAAGGGGAAGAAGGCCCAAACACACAAGACCGCGAGCATTGGAAAAGGAGACAGACGCGAAAATGAGCTAACCAGGCTGGCAGCCCATGGTCGGACCCTGAAAGGTGCTGGAAGCCTGGATCAGAACCAGCCAAAGTGGCAGATGCCAGTTACCCTAAACTGCCATCCGACACCGACATAGACGACAGCAGCGAAGACGACCAGGAGGCGAAATGGAGAAGTAAGGGCGAACTCAGGGGCCCCCACCAGCAACGGTGTTACCCGTGGAGTGCGGACCAGCAGTCCGAAAGGCTGCCGGGTGGGGGGTGGTGGGGAAGGGACTCGCGAGAACCGCAGCGAAGCAAGTGAGGGCCCAGGACCCAAAGGAAAAGGTAGGAGTAGCTGAAGCACCAAAGCGTGAAGGGTACCAGACCAAGCCAGAGAGCCCTGGTGGACAATACCACGCCAAACGCCTAGCGGCGTAGACCTGCTAGAAAAAGAGATGAATAGGCAGCGCATAAGCGACCCAAAGCGCATGTGTGTGTGCGTGGGTATGTGTGCTGGCATACTAGCTAATACCAAAGGCGAAGCAATTAAAACTAGGTTTGGTGACAGGTGAGGCCCTGCTAGATGCCAAGCGGCGTGAGAGTCTCTATCTATGAGTTGGCGTGAGGGGGTAATGTGGCCACTGAACGTTGTGGCGGGGTGTCGGCCTCTCGTGACAGGTAACATAAGATAGAATGGGAGTGACAGGTGAGGCCCTCCCTATGCCACAATGCGAGGTGACTAACTATGATTTGGCCCGAGGGGCGTAGTACCTCCGAGTATGAGGATGGGTGTTGGCCTCGCGGGACCACTAACCTAAGGCGAAGAAGCCAGGGGGAAATTACCACTAGTTGGACACCTAGTACCCTGACAGCCAGCAACAGCTACCTAAGAGGGGAGGGTAACGAGTGAGAGAGGGGACATTACTGTGTGAAATGAAAAGAAAAGGGGGCGGGATTATGAGGGAGAATCGTAGGGGCTCCCGTAACTGGAGGGCAGAGTGAGCCCGTCAGAGTCCAGGTGGTCAGGCTGTAGGAGTACACAAGGGAAATAGGAGCAGAAAGTGACTTCGTAAGGTCCAGAACACGTTCCCGGTAACAAAAACACGACGTTCCTTCCAGAAAATAACACGGTTATGGTGGACAGACATGGCCCATCCAAGCAAAGAAACAAAACCCGAAGATAAATGCAAATTAAACCTGAAATCTTTAATAGAAGAAAAAATAGAGTACAAATGAAACGCACCATCTATCTGCACTATCCTTAGGACACGAAGAAGGGGTAAATGGACGTGTGACGGTATGTGGGGTGGCCACTTGGACGCCAGTTGGATAGCGAGTGTAGATGTGAATGTGCGATAGAGCCGCAGGTAGTGAGGGAAAGAGGAGTCTGAAGAAAAAGGAAGGCACGTGATAGGAACTTAGCTTGGATACTGTACCCTTAAAAGAGGAAATCACAAACGCATTAACTACACTTTAATAACCATAAAACCTGAAAAAAGCCATAGGAGAAAAAAAAAAAAAATTAACTCTGCACCCGTGACAGAACAGAAAAATTTATATAGTACAGGCTGTCTGCATGGGTTGTGGTTTAAAAACGAACCCAAACCAGCACATCTTTCTGCCCAGTGACACAGGACTCTCCAGATTAAAACACTGTCTCACCTGTCAGTCATAGCACAATAGAAGCCCTAATGCCATCAGTGTAGTGAAACGAAAGAGGAAAAATATAATCTCACATGTTCCTGTTATTGTGCAACAGTGTCAGGTGGGTAAAGGTGCCTGTTATAGGAGTGGTACTGTGTTTCCCAAATAGGAGAAGACAGACCGGGGGGGGGTCAACCAGCAGCACATCACAAAAACTTCCCAATGGGGTATTACTTCTATGTGAATTACAACAAAATTGACTTAACTGCCAGTTGGACGCTTGTGTCACAAGTCCAATTAACGTAGACCAGGTGTGTGGATGAATATATATTGAAAAAGGTGCGCCGTTTTGTGTAATCTCTCGAACTGCACTATCTGCCATGCTATGGCAGATGTGCAATTTTGATCGATTTGCTTATAGTTTGAATGGATACTATGTTATATCCATGTGAATAAAGTAAAAACGCTAGGTAATTTCACAGATCTTGCAATGTGTAAACAAAAACAAAACTACACTAGATTAAGAACAGGGACTAGAACTGATAAGAAACTGGTCTCCGATGCCAGCGAAACGGCGGCCGTTCGGGAAAACAGCCGCATGCCAGAAATTCATGAAAACACAGAACCATGCGAACCCAGCGAGCGACAGGAAACAAGGGGAAAGAAAAGCACTCGAAATGGAGGTAAGAGAACTCACAGCAAGAGGAGATTTTGACTGGATAGACAGCCGACCAGAGCAGACCCCAGAAATGACCGTGGACGGATCGAAAACGGCGGGGGAAAACGCCAGGCCAGGTAAGGAGAACCACGAGGGAAGCAGAGGACGACCGGAAATAGCGACATGCGAGTCGCTAAAAACGTAACAGGACGGAGGAAGGTGAGTAGGGGGGTTTAAATAGGTACCATGCCCCTCCCACAACTGCAGGCCAAGCCTTAACATTTATATCTCCCACCCCCTCCTCCCATCCATGAATTGAATTACTTAGTCTGGTCAGGTACTACCAGCCTGCACATTTAGCTAGAACAGTAGACTGGAACTGAGGGTCCCACTCAAACCTGATCAAAGATGGGAATAGAAGATTCTCGGGAGGCTCTGCCAAGGCAGTTTGGTTAGACAGGCAGGAAACCCCACAGCCCTTACGTAAGCATCCACTGATAGGCCCCACTTTGGCAGTCTGGTAGTGGTGCCAACTCAGATTCAAGATGGACCTGTCTGTTCTTAAGGGATCTATGTGCCCACTGACAACTTGTCAGGATCACTAATTGATCCAGCACGCAGAACTGTATCACACCTAGGACTAGTGGTAATGTCTTACCGGGCCTTAGAATGGCCAGACTTAATGCACCAAAGAATAGTCAGGATACTTGCCGAGGTCGGGGGTACAAAATTAGACACACCGATAAGGAAAGCCAGAAGTTAGGGATACCAGAATACAGGGAAGTCAAAACAAAGCCAAAGTCAATAACCAGAAATAAACGCTCAGGAACACACTCTCGGACAACCACTAAGGGAATACACGACAGAGGGGTGTCTCCTGGGGTATCTGCCATTCATTTAATTATCTAAGGCACCGAGCTTCCAAACACCTACCCTCCTACCCCTCTTTTTACTAATTTACCTTTTTTTTCTCTCTCTCTCTCTCTCTCTCATTCTCTCCTTCTCTTCATTTCCATTTATTTCTCCCTCTTCCCCTTCTTCTTCCAGGAACTTAGGATCCTATTTTCCTATCCTTATTCCTTTGTGCAGCCAATGGGTCTGGTAATGTGTAAGAAGCAGATGCTCCCTGGCAAATCAAAGAATGGGATTTTTGAACAGTGAGCTCTTTCCCATCTACCACTGGTGCGGAGGGGTAGGTCACAATGGGAGCAGAATCTCTGTTATAATTGCAGCATTATAAGCATACATATCTAAGAATGTTTAATAATACTACTTGAATTATGTCTGAAAGGAATGTTGTACCACAACCACTGTTAATGACTCTGTATAACTTGTCTGTTTCAATCAAACAAAACAAAAAATGTGAAAAAATCCTGCTGTAAAGATTGTAAAATAAAATACAATAACAGTATGCAGACCCAGAGGATGTGCACATGAGGTAGAATTCCCTTCATAAAAGTATCTTTAACGCTCTCTCCATGGTGATCTTTTCATCGCAATATATAGTTTCTTGTAATCACTGTTCCCTCTAAGGTGTGCGTTTGTGCATGCGCATACATCTTTTGGAGGGAATTCCCACATGGTCTGATTTTGTGCACAGCTCCTCGTAGCATCCGCCAGAAGATGGGTGGGCAATGCGAGGAGGGGGCATCCCCCTTAGGGCACTACCATAGCGGGCACCTACTCAATAATCCAGAATAGGCACCTGTTTACCCCACATGGCAGCTGCCTACTTGCCGAAATATTCCAGACTGAGGGGGAGTAGGCAGTTGGTGGGGACGGTGAGAGAGCGCTGATGATGTGTTTCTAGTTTCTCTCTGCTCTCTGTAGTGATGCTGGGAGCCGGAATATGATGTCACTCTGGCCAGGGCATTTTTACAGAGGGTGCATGAGGGAGCAGAAAGGAACTGGAGGATTGCTGGGAGAATATCAATTCTTCACAGAACCCTAGAGAGAAAATATCCACTGGACCTCAGGAAGAAAATCCTCTCTGGACCCCAGGGAAAAAATCCCCACTGGATATCAGGGAGAATATCCACACAAGACATGTATATAAGAATGTGTAAATGTGTCTGCCAGTGAGTGTGTCTGCCAGTGTGTGTGCATCTCTGCCTGTGAGTGTATCTGTCAGTGAGTGTGTCTCTCAGCGAGCGTGTCTGTCTGTCAGTGAGTGTTTCAAATCAGTGAGATTGTGTGTCTGTGACTGTCATTGAGAGCGTGTATCAGTGTGTCTGTCAGCAAGTGTGTCTGTCAGCGAGTGTGTCTGTCAGTGAGTGTGTCTGTCAGTGCTTGTTTCAAATCAGTGAGAGTGGGTATCTGTCATTGAGAGTGTGTGTTAGTATGTCTGTCAGTGAGTATTTCTGTCAGTGTGTGTGTTTCAATGCAGTGAGATTGCGTGTCTGTCATTGAGAGTATGTCTGTTTGTTTAAGAAACATTAATGTACATTTCACTATTTATTGGGCAAACAGCTCCTTTTGAAAAATCTGTGGGTGATATTTCTCCAAAAAATATTTGCTATTGGTGTCTGCTGAGTTGGGTTGTTTGTTTCTCCTGTGTACTTTGGACATATCCCATCATATCAAGATACATTTTTTGTTTTTTAGAAGCATTAATGAATATCTCACCATTTACTGGGCAAAGAGCTCCTTTTGCAAATTCTAAATCAGGTCTAAACACTCAGGATCTCTCAAAAACAGATTTTATTACAGCAGAAAGAGCAACGTTTCAGCCTACGCAGCGGCCTTTGTCAAGCTATCACCCTAGTGCAACCTACCCTATTTAAAGAGTGTAAATCATATTAACAATCAATCAATTAACAATTAATGTGTAAAATTCTGAAACACATCCAGGAGGACACAGTCCCTAATTTTCTCCTAGGGCAGGTGACATGGCATGTTTGCTTGTAGAATAGGTCTCCAGTACATCTAAAAAGAACAAGAAGGGAGGCGGGGGGCAAAGCCTTGCAGGGAGACAAAGAAGAAGAAGAAAAAAGGAACCAATGCTGTAGTATTATCTGGTAAGTAGAATAAATTTACAGTTTAGATAGGTGGTGATTTTACACTCACACGTGTAGGAGCTTATGACCAGGTCCAAACGTAACAGCATGCAGTGGTACAATCCTTGCTGGAGGATATATAGCACAGTTAAACAATGTTAATTTTGGCAGCAAATTTCATTTTAGTTTTAGTCATAGTCTTTTGACCAGAAAGCCATTTTAGTTTTAGTCGTAGTTTAGTCATCTGAATGTTGTCGTAGTTTAGTAATCTGAGTGTTATTTTTGTGTTCCCTTTATTTTATTGAGCAGTGTATATATATATATATATCAGACATGGAAAGAAATTTGATACAAATTATGTAAATTGCGTTATCTATAAAGCATCCAATGTAACAAAAAAAGTCGGAGTGAGTATCTCCCACAGAAAAAATCACTATAACGCACAACTCACAACCTTGGTGGATTACTAAAGTTAAATGGTTAAAGAAAAACCACTAAGTGCTCAACTTTGAAGGGTATCCAGATATGTGTGTATAAATTACCTAATTAGTAAAAACCACCTAAACACTAAGCCTTAAAGGGGAAAGCCGCCTGACAGGCAAAATATTCTTTGGAACTCTGCTCCAACTCTTATTTTAACCGGGACATAATGCATATACATGATCATTATATTGAGCAAACAGATTTATTCTCTGGCTAATTTGGGTATGAGGCCCTAAAGGACCACTATGGGCACCCAGACCACTTCAGCTTAATGAAGTGGTCTGGGTGCCAGGTCCAGCTAGGGTTAACCCTTTTTTCTATAAACATAGCAGTTTCAGAGAAACTGCTATGTTTATATTTTTTTTTTTAAATTCTTTATTTTTTCATCTTGACAAAAGTAGCCAGGTAACATTAACATTACGGCTTATGCAAAAGCCCGATAAGTAGTAAGCAAGTTCAATTGTAGTTATACAGGTGCTAATGCAATGCATAAACAGTAATTATGGTAACGATATGCTGATTTGGCTACCTGCCAAGGGATTTTTCTTTTTTTGTAAAACTTTGATTTTGCACAATAGACACAGCAGGATTACATAAACTTTTGGGTTTACGCAGAAGCCAACTTGGATATAAATTTTGAAAACGTACCGTAAATCAGCCGATACAACATTGGCCCTTTCCTCGAAATAAGAAAACGTTGGTACCTGTCATCTACAGAGGGCTTTACATTATCATACCCAATCCCCTTTTTGTTGGTTTCAATTCTGTGAGTTCTCTTTTGGGGAATTTAACTGTCACCATAAACAAAACAGGTGTATATACACTCTTGGGCTCACTAGGAAGCCAAAAGGAATTACATAGCTTGTAAAGAGATAATACGCAACCTGAACCTTGCATGCGTTTTCTGCTAGAAACCCTTGGGGCCCCCAGTCTATTAGGGTAAGTTATGTTTTAACCAAGGGCAGGCCGGTAAGTAGATCAATTAGCCTTTATGTACGCTTATCTTTCTAGTTCTTAAGCTACATCATTCCTCTGACCGTATGATCCTGCTTGAATAAAGAAACTAAAAACAAAGAGGTAGGAAGAATGAGAAAAGAAAAGGAAAAAGTTGGGATAGAAAAAACCAGAGAAAAAACGAGAAGCAAAGGAGGGGTGAAGGGAGGATGGGGGGGGCAGCGCAGCCACGGCAATGACAGACGTGTCACCTTCCGTACGGATGTGTATATCATGGGTTCATTCCCATATGTGTGAGGCTCTCAAGCTCCGTTCGAGCCCATTATGCTATTGTCCCATGGTTCCCATGTTTTTTGGAATGTCGTGATGTTCCCTCTCACCCTTGCAGTTAGATCGTCCATGATTCTACACTCTTTGATTTTGGAGATAACCCCTGTGAATTCTGGGCCCTCAGGTGTGAGCCACGCTATCGCAATCGCTCGGCGTGCACACAAAGTAATCTTGTGTACTAGTGTCTGTTCCCTCTGTGTCCACCCGTCCACAGATCTATTCAGCAAGTAAATCCACGGATCCAGTTTTAGGGGCCGGTCGAACGTCTGTCTTACCAAATCCTCCACGGATCCCCAAAAACCCCGCAACTTCGGCATTCCCACCACATGTGGATGTATGATCCTCGTACTCCGCATCCCCTCCAGCAATCGTCAGTCTCCAGTTTGTGCATTCTATGTAATTTGATTGGGGTAGTGTACCACCTAAACATAGTTTTCCAAGA